AAATCGCGATCATATCTAGTAAAATTTGTTAGCAACAGCTGCACTCGAATTATTCGCGAAAAGAGATTTATTTTTAAGTTGCTTATTAGCCCGCGTTCGTTTTGTGCGCCGGGCGCTGTTAATTAAAATTTTTGCACTACATAGCATAATTAATTAATATGGAAAATTTGTTTAACGTTATATAAGCCATTAATATTAATTGAATAGTCGAAATGAAAGCGTTCTCGTTCGCATTCCGTTTAATGAATTAATAAAACGCACGGTAGACGAGCATGAACACTAAAGGAAAACACAATTCGCACTTTAAACTGAACGACTGAAGGAACCGGAGAGGTTCCATTAGATTAATAACACTCGTACATTCACATATTCGTAGATATTATGTCGTATCAAAAGATTAAAAACTGCAGGTGCAGAGATTTCCATTTTCGAAATCGGACAATCGCCGTGGAAAACTCAATCCAGCAATGCAAGAGGGAAAATTGTCCGAGTTGATCGCGAGACCGGGGCCAAAGAGCACGCGATCGAACTCCTAACTAAATTATGAAGTTGAACGGGGAGTGACATTGCAACTGAAAAGCATAAATATTTCAGGTAAATGGAAAAGGTTCCCCACGTAAGGGGATTGGGAATCCCGGGTTGACGTCTGAATGCATGTCACAGCTGTCAGAGAGGAAACAACGCGAACGAAACGACGGTGCAAAACTCCACTTCGGTATCGATTACGGCCGCTTTTCCAACGGAAAACAATCATTACCTGTTTCCACCGTTACCATGGACCCGTCCATATTTTCATTTCATCCTCTATATACTCTATACCGCATGTACTCACGACGATCGGTCTGAATGAACTGTTTTGTATAATTGCTCGTTAAATGTTAGAAGCAGAGTGTTACTGAAAGTCCCGTTTAGTATGCAATTTTTATAAAATATAAAATATAACACAAAAATCAACCAGTACAACGTTATATGGAAATTGGATTCTTCAAAGCTTATATAAAATATTAACTGCAAATGCATATTAATCTTGCGACTTGCCGAAGGAAAATCCGGGGAAACGTTCATCTGATTACGAGTATACATGCTCCAGAAAACCGAAAGCAGACTTATTAAAATATATCTATATCTTGTAGTTACTCGAAAACAATTTTGTATGACATCCAATAGAACCGGCCCTACCAAGCGGAAAATTTGAGAGGTCTAACGAGATCTCGAGCTCCCGACGACAAATAACGTTTCTATTCACAACAAGGCCTTCTTACCTTTGAAACATGTTTCCCCGTTGGATACGGAAAAATATCAATTTCTTTACCTATTCACCAAAAGGCTTTTATTTAATTGTTTGGCAAATAAACGTTAAATATTTCCCAATGTTGCATATTAAACCATCTTTCACTCTCGGATACAGAACATATAGAAAAATGCCTTTTTTCAAAGACTTTCGGAGTATATTTCACGTTTTTAGCCTTTGTATTTTCTAATATGCAGTGTATTCAACCTTGCGAGTAATCTCCTTTCGGAAAAACGGGCGACGGAAAAGCTTTCCGTCGAGCGCGTGTCGCACGTCTTCCTTTACCGGAGCACTGACTCTCTGGTCTCGGATCGGAAATTCGGAAATGGGAGGAAATACGATTCGTTTCTAGTATAAATGATGCAACGAATAAATCGTACACGACTGACGAAATTATCGAACGAATAAAACCCTCCACTTTAGCTGGTAATCACTAATTAAACCATACGGAGGCACTAATTGAAATACCTCTTCCGAGCGAAAAAAAGAGTATCCTTCCGGCATTCTCACCGTAAAATACCGACTCGCAGGAAATAAAATTTACCGTTGGCGTTAATGAGAGAGGCACAGAAGGAAAGCGCCTCACCATCGGGTGTACGTTTGCATGAGTGTCACATTCACTAATCTCATTAACACCTAGTAAAGTCGGGCCGAGTTCGAGATGTCGGGGAACGTCGGCGTTTCGTTGAAGGGATGATGTGCAGTCCAGGATTTATAATCCCCCGGCTTTGTACGGCAGGTTGAAGTGTCGTAAACTCGAAAATTAAAAAAGTTAATGGCGAGTCGGGGGGAATTACGCCGGACTGCTCGGAGTCTTTGCGAAATTAAACTCTTTTACGTCGAGATTCTAGTAGGACTAATTTTTGATTTTGAAGAGCAGTTTTATTCGAAAATCATGATAGTAATAGTTGCAAGTTTAAATGTAAAACTAAATCGCCTTATTCGATTTAATAATAGTTTTTTTACGTTTCGTCGTGATACGTAGGTACAATAAAATTATGATTTCGTTTAGAATTTTATTCAAATAAGAACAATAATCTAGGGTTTATGTAAATGCATGGAAAGTAATTAGAGCTTAAGTGAAAAATAATTGATACCTAGTCGAGGATTATCTTTATTCCCGTCCTGGATTTAATTTTCCGGTTAACTATGGTATAAAGCGAATTGAAAAACGTCAAATGGGCTTAACGTTTGCGAACCGGGTTTACCCCATTATTTATAATAGTCGAATTATAATAAAATTTCCACTTTCAGCGAAATCGCCAGAGTTTTCCGGCTAATGTTGTGGAAAATAAAATCAGAGAGTTGGCTAAATAAAACGCTAATAAAAAATTTAAATCACTTTTACGTAACAAATGTACCTAGCAGGTAGAAAGTAGAAAAAATTTGTTACTTATTTCATAGTACCTATCCAAATTTGCAAGATACAAATTTGATGGACAAAAGTTCTAGATAATTTATTTCTAATTATAGATATAAAAAAATTAAGAATAAAATAATGCACATCTGGACAAAAACTTGACAGGTTATGGTTTGGTTTTCGTTTTTCAGTTTCACGAAAGCACTGCGCTAAGCTTTTAATGGAAAAATGCATCCGTTATCCTGCTTTCTCACATACTTAACGGATTATACCTTTGTTAGCAGGATTTGTCGTTTTCGCATAAAGTTCATCATTCCAAATTTTCCGCTATGCTTGCTTTGTTTTCATTAAAAATTAAATAATTCCACAACTTTCCTCAAATCCCTTCAATCGCATGCAAGCTTTTTATCTCATCCCATACACGTCTATCTGTTGGGTTTCAATCTACATTCTTAGCTTTTAACGCGAATAACGAGTTTAACTAACTTGTTTAAACAATTAGGACGAATCGATACCTTTTGTAAACGCAAACGGGCTGCGTCGCGACGCCGGCAATAAAATCCGAACTCCATTTGCGCCTCTCTCTCCTCCGATTTTAATAGGGCAAAAAACGCCGACTAAGTAAAAATTCAGCGTCGGCAGCCAGGAGTGGAAAGGCTCTCCATGAAAATCTCGAATGGGGAAACAAAGGAGGAATGTTCGAATGAATAGAGTCCGCTCGCGAAGTATTTCCGCGAAACGAAGAGCGAGGCGAATTTTAATTGTATTTAACTCTTACTATCGTTTCGCTTGTTCGTTTTACTATTCGAACATATTTCGCGACGAGTTAATTAAAATTTAAAAGTTCGTTACACGATAATGCTGCCTAATAATTCGCGCAATTATAAATTAAATCATAATTTAACAAGGTTAGAGAAGTTCTATACATTGTGCAACTTTGCTCATCACTGCAAGCATGCATAAAACCGAATTGAAATAATCCTTGCATCTACAAATACCCTACCTATACGACTAAAACAGCAATAATATCTAATGATTAACTCATGTTTGCGTTATTGGTGCCGCGTCTGGAGGACCGACTGTATGTATACTAGATTGCTAATCTTGCTAATTGAAGTGGGTATATCAACTGATCAAGACGATGTTAATGGTACAGCTCGGTAAATTCGGTTTGTGTCTGTCTTCTGCGGAACGGCTGCCGGCTGTTCTCTAGATTAAACAACATGTACCCGACCTAATTGATGGATATGTGCCGGTAATATTCCTTTCAAATTGGCTACGTACGGCCCTATTTGCAGTAAATGCAACATTCAGCAAATGAGGGATTACATATACTTTGTTTATTAGCAGTACAAGGAAGCCTAAAGCTTGTACACAATTCTACATTATGTACAAAAAGAGCAGATGTGCTTATTTTTTTAAGAAAACACAATTTGCGAATTTATTTTAGCAGGATTCGAGAAATAGGTTGATTTACCTCACCTGCAAAAAGAATAAGGAAACAATTTGCCTGGAAATTACGGGGCGAATTTAATCTTCGTAGGCAGTTACTGTCTCGAAGTAATTTTAATTTACCGGAGTATTTAACTGTCATAAGACATATTATATTGCCCCGAGGCAATTTAGAGATTTTGTTCAATTTCGCGTGGGCCTTCATGCTAGTTGATCGATGAGGAAGTTCCTGGAAAACACGGATACACTGACGGGAATGTAATGAGAAATTTTTGCCTATTAAAACGGGACAATCTCGTTCGCTGGAAAAAATTGTATACTCTGGTTCGTGTTTCATTAAAAAACGTATTGCAATTTTAAGGACATTAGGTTAATATAATAGAAAGATAATAAATGTTTGTGTGGTAAAATATCGAGCAATTCTTGTATAATTAGCGGAACAAAGTTGAGAAACAAGTACAGAAAAAATTAACTTACTCAATAAATTCATTTGTCACGATTCCGATCCACTAAAAATTTCAAATTCAAAATCGCCACTTTCTTCTTCACACCAATTGACAAGTGACAGAGTAATGACATTTTTTATTTATTCCAACAAACGAACAAACCTACCCGTTGCTCCAATTTTCTCTAATAAACTTACATAGACAAAATATAATACTTTCTTTCTCTATGAAACTCACCTTTTAGAGCTCTCAAACAATTTCAAATTTAAATGCATACAGAAAAACCGCCAACTCTTTCATTCACATGCTTACCAACGTCAAAAGTCAAAAGTCACTGACAGTAACTATAACGATTCCAACAAACGAACAAACCTACCCGCTGCTCCGCTGGCAACACCGCGTTTATCAGATTGACATCGCTTCGATTGGCAATTTGGCAACTCCGCCGAATGAAACGTTGTAAAATGAACTACTGAACATCGCGGCGTGCGTCGTGTAGCGGAATAATAAACGAAAAAAAAAAACTCGAAAGAATAGGGCCGCCTGGATGCTTGATGGTTTCGTTGGGTTTGGGTGCCGGTGTGAAGTGATTGATAAATTTGCGTGATTGTGATTTCTACGTAAGTTTCCCTTTACCGATTTAACTTACGTGTACTTTGTATATTGATCATCCACAACACTCCGATCGCGATGTAGTGGTTATGTTTGTCATTTTGAATTAAAAGTTTCCCATTCGATCTGATAGAAATTTCGTTTGTTTAAAGCCAGACAAACAATTGTTTTTGCCGGCTAGATAGGCCATTTATGCATAAAACTCATGAGCTACTTGATAAATTGTTTGCGAGTCAACAAAATCAAAAGAAAACTCGTTCTATTTATAGTAATTAGTTGCATCTAGTTCACCTCTCTTAGTAGAAAACTGTATTTTGATTTGATTGCTGTTAATTAGCAGCTTACTTTGTTTTTATTGCATTGTTTAATGTTCGTGAGATTGTAAACATTCCTAAATGAAAAGTTCATTATACCGCAATGTACAATAATTGAATGTACAAAGTGTAATTTTTAGGTTAACCTTAGCCTTTGTTCAGGGCAAAAATAATGGCAAAATTGTGTGTAAATTATTTGGATGGTATTTTTAGATAGATGCACTAATTAGCATTCTAAACTCTATTTTGTGTCATAATAGCCCGTGGAGAATTTAAAGATAATATACGAAATACTTCTCGAATAGTTGTTACTTCCTTCGTACATGAATAAAATTATTCACCATCTAGATAAGAACAACATTTTCGCATAAAGCCATCCTGGGATGGCATAAATGTAATAAATTAAAAAAACGAGATTGTGAAGTAGGCTAAATTCTCATTGTTTTTGTTTTTTGTTTCAGATTTGAATTCCCACCTTCCTCAACTACCCTGATCCAAAATACAAGAACGAAAATGGACGGGCAAAACGACGTAAAGATGTTAAACGATGACTCAAATCTACAAATTACAATTAGACTGATTATGCAAGGAAAGGTAATCTCAAACATTCAATTAACTACCATCTAAAAATGCCCGTTTTATGCCATGTTTTTATCCCGTTGAATTCAACAGTAAACAAAACGGAAAGTCTCTCTATCAGTGTCGCATTGGAATAAATATCGAAATCGTCCGTGTTTGATTTACGGTGTTTTGTAGCGATTAAATCTTTAATTGCGTAGCAATCGAGTGCAAAATGCACTGATATAATTATAGAACGTCATTAATAAAAAAGAAAGAGAGTAAAGGAGCTGGCTGCATACTTCTATGATAGATCATGAATATCTTGGCAATGCTTCTAGTGATTGACCCAGACTTGTATTTTAGCGCGATCCCAGTATCAACTATAATTAAATATCTAATTGGCACTTAACAAAAGAAATTATTTTTGTAATCGAAAATACTTGGAGTAGCATGCAAAATACACTTTATGAAATCGATTTTATAACATACGAAAATTTTATCTTCGTTCCATTATTAATCGGAATCCCTCTACATATTTTAAAATCACTATGGTTATTTGAAATAATTAGGTGAAGCAACAACATGTGTTGCCTAGTTAAGTAAGGAAACCAAATCTCAAAAGCCCTACATATTACTTCTAACAAGATTTATTCAGAAGCCTTTTACTTACAAATATAATAACTAATTTTAAGAAGTATTTAAAATGCTAAATCCGAAAATCTTCTGTTTCGGTTATTTACTGCTCCATATCCGAAACTATCAGAAGTTTGCATCTTGAATTCCTCCCGATATTCCATACTCGCTATTTACTTTGGAGTATTTCATGCGAAGGGAATTGTTACGAAAGTCTACTAATGAGATCATATCAAACTATCGAATTTCCCTAGCCCAATTTACAACAGGCTCGTAATAATATGGACATAAATCTGACCTCAACACTGACTGGGAGGTATTATTGATTGATTTCCAAATAGTTCATCAACTAATTTATTATTTAAACAAACTCGATGAGTATTAAATGGGGATATTGTAACACCGAGTATGTTAATGATTTAGGTGCATAAATATTATATTTACTCTTTATTATTACGATGAATTTATGTATTTGTTTTGTTTTTAGGAAGTTGGAAGCATTATTGGTAAAAAAGGGGAAATTGTAAAGAGGTTTAGAGAACAAGTAAGTATAATTTCATTAATTTATTTCTATGCTGCATTTAATATCTGAAAATATTCTATTAAATATGCACGACTGATGATGTAGCATCAGAAATAAAGTAATTATTTCTACAATTCCAGTGGATTCCTTTGATTAACTTTTGTACTTTCGAATCAAAGGAAATTGTAATTAAAACAACTTAGGCATATTGTGAAGTCCGAGTAGAATTTAAATTACTTTTTACTTTTGCGATTATAAATAACAGCATTGAAAATCTCGCAAGCAAAGCGATTCCGATAAATTGATTCATGCTCCATATATTAATAAAACATTTTTATTTTCAGAGTGGTGCCAAAATAAACATTTCAGATGGCTCGTGCCCAGAAAGAATTGTCACTGTTATAGGAACAACAACTGCAATTTATAAAGCTTTCAACTTAATATGTAAGAAATTCGAAGAGGTTAGTGAACTTGCGTACTAACAAAAGTTAATATTTGCACAATAAGAATAAGTACCCTTAACGCCAATTCTACTAGTAGCTAGTTAAAAAAATGTTTGTTCAGTTCCAGGAAATCAACAGCGGCAGCGGTTCCGTACCCCGACCGCCCATCACCCTTCGATTGGTCGTACCGGCCAGTCAGTGCGGCTCGCTCATCGGCAAAGCGGGATCGAAGATCAAGGAGATCAGAGAAGTGACGGGCGCTTCGATACAAGTGGCCTCCGAGATGCTGCCGAACTCGACGGAACGGGCTGTGACTATATCCGGTACCGGTGAAGCGATTACACAGTGCATTTATCACATTTGTAACGTCATGCTCGAGGTGAGTCCGCGTACGAGTTGCTCCGCGGGTTTTCACATTTGTTACTCATTCAGTACTCTTGGGACATAGAACTGTCTTATATAGTAGAGTATTTTGATTGGACTTGATCGAATTGAGGTGTATGATACATGGTTCCAACTCTATGTCCCAAGGTTACTGTGAACTTTATAAATATTGGAATATTGATAATGGCTTTGGTTTTTTTTTTGGTTTGTTTCAGTCCCCTCCCAAAGGAGCTACCATCCCTTACCGCCCCAAACCCCAAGTAGGTGGTCCCGTAATCCTGGCCGGCGGACAGGCCTATACCATCCAAGGCAACTACGCCGTTCCCGCCCACACAGACGTAAGTAGTTCTTCGGTAATGACCCCTCTATTCGCTCCCGCCCCTCCGCCGCCGCAGCACCCCCTGTCCGTTTGCCATCCGCTGACGGCAGCGGCAGCTCCGGCGCAGGCGCAGCTAATCGCTGCCTTTGAGCCGCTCAAGAACGGACACTTGCAGGCCGCCCTACCGCCCGCGCATCTCTTGCCAGATGTAAGTTAATCGTATTGGTGCTCCCCCTAATCTCTCCTCCGTTATTTACGTGTATTCATTTTTTTATTATTGTTTTTCTGTTCGTATCGAACGATGTATGATGTTTATACAACCTGTGTTTTAAACGTGTATGAGCCTTTGAGAAGTCTCCTGATTCTGGGTAAATAGTCATTGTATGTATGTAAATGCTCTTATAATGGAAGAATATATTTTATTGTTCGTAGTGGTAACGTTTTGTTTTGAAGATAAGGTTTGTTGATTCATTTGAAGAATTGTTATCGAAGAGTTTAAAATAAAATGTTCGAAGCATGCGTCAGTTAGCCTTTAAATATTCTGTATCTATTAGTAATGTAAAATTTACAAATTTGTCATCATCTATAGCCAATTTATCGCTAAACAATTCATCGCCTTTAAAATCTCGTTCGACCTGCGGTTCAATAAAAAAACGTTCGGTAATAAAATTTTATTAAAGTTACACAAACGTGCGTCAAAATTGATGAATCTATCCTATCCTACGGGCGATGAATAATTAATGGTTCATTACTTCGAACGAGCGTTTGTGCATCCAGTGAAGGGAGTTGTTATAGAGCGAATTTACTTACCAGCATCGCTTCGTAAGTTGTCTTAACCTCCTAACACATTCATTTTGATTTTGCTACAATTGTTCGTATTAATTGCTTCAATTCGAAACTAAAGAATACTAACATGTAGTTAGTATATCTGTATTATAAGTTTTTAGGTGCTTTTCCAGAATCATTTGACTGAAACTCCTAAACGATACCTCTGTCGGCCCTACGCCCTTCCATACATTTAATTTTCGACAATATAAAAGGTTCTAATCAGTATTAAACGCGCAAAATGTCTTCATTGCGTGGTGTAAAAGACCTTTTAAATTGTCATCGGATATTCAAATTAAAGCATGCCATTTTTTGGTGTATTTCATTTAGGAATCCTGATCTTTTTACAATATTTTATGAATAGAAATCCATTACTTCTGTAATTTAATAACGTCGCCATCTCTGTTGAAGAATGCCAGAAGTTATAGCCAGTACGTTTCCTAGGAACAACTAATAGGCAATAAGCAGAGAATACATTTTTGTATATTCTAATTATTGTTAATCACATCTGTTTATGCTTTCGAAATTTAATGAAGTTTGTAATCACTGCTTTGCCCGTACCACATTATTCAAACTTATGAAAATACCTATTGTATATGCATGGTAAGAGGATTATGAAACTATATTATTGGTAGTCGTAGCGTTTACTTTTGGTATTGCCTAAATATTACACTAAATTTCACGATATTTTTGCATGTATTGCAAACTTACATCTAATTAGTTGCTTTTTAACATCTTAAAAGTTAGATTTAACTACGTTTATTAACCAGTCATTATATTGTAACTTATTAATTTGGTAGTAATGATGTCGCATTAATTCTTTTTTAAACATTTATCGTTCTGCTTTGTCAATTTTCTTATCACAAATTTTTATTCGGAGTGTTCTAATCTATTCGAAATTTTACTCTGTGTTTATTTTTGCTTTTCCTTGTAATAATAATTGAAGTTAGTTAATTAATAAACTTCCAAGTCGAGAAGTGTACATACGAGTATAATATTTCAAGACTTGGATATTACCTGCAATATTAAGTTTCTTACGTTTTCATCATAACGGAGAAATAGATAATAACACAGGTAGAATTTAATTTTTATTCCGCTATCCTTTTATTGCTCGAAGCGCAGCTTTCATTAAGAAAATGAAAATTTTATCGTATACGTTAAAACACTCTCGTGAGTTATATTATTCCGGAGACTCTTAGAATTGCATGAAGAGGAGGGAGACCATATGATTAATTTTATTGTCAATTTAAAACGGATTCAATATGCTACACTAAAAACAAAAATGTTAGTAAAAAGTGTTAATTAGATAGCGTCGTTTTAATACACTCGAGTTGAAAAATAGTGTAGTAATTATGCAATAATTATAGGTGCCTCTAATATAATCTGTTTATTTTCATTGCAGTTAAAAAATATGCAATTATGTTTCATTATGTAAGAAAATGAACAGGTTATTGATAGTAGTTCTTAGTTTATGTGTATGTACATGGTTTTATTGTTTCAGATTGCGAGTTTAGGCAAAAATCCCCTCGCAGGTTTGGCTGCATTAGGACTAGGCGGCTTAGCACCCACGGGCGCAGGAGGTCTTAATCCAGCAGGTAGTGTAAAATTAACCTAAACTCCACAGTAATTACAAGCACTATTGCTGTAATTACAGTTACCTCGACAGGAATCTTAGGGTAAATAGTGCTAAAACTTGTCTACACGGCCTCTAACTATTCTATGATTCAGTCCAAAGTAACAAAATACACTCTTTACATCGGTATGCAAAAGAATCGCATATGCATTCGTGTCTGTTCTTAGTTTTAACGCAACATTTCTATCTAATCTTATTATTTTAGCGCTTGCAGCGTTGGCGGGATCGCAATTGAGAACGTCGAATTCCAGGAACCAGCAGAACACGAACCACCAGACACACAACATGACGGTGCCGAACGAGCTGATCGGCTGCGTCATCGGCAAGGGCGGCACCAAAATAGCGGAAATAAGACAGATCTCCGGCGCCATGATACGCATCTCGAATTGCGACGACAGAGAGAGCGGCTCTTCGGATCGCACCATCACGATATCCGGCAATCCGGACGCCGTCGCACTGGCGCAGTATCTCATCAATATGAGGTGAGTTCGATTCGACGAGGCGCCCGTCGTTGTGGCTTTCATTTGTTGAGAATATTTCGGAAATTTCGGCCCGAATGCGAGTTCTTTATGATTTATACTCCGTTAGCCATCAGGAGATGATAACAAAACCTTTTTGAAGCACTACATTCAACGACTAATAGGCACGATTGATTGTATAGTGTACAGTAGAGATTCATATATCAGCGAAAGCGATGTTTCATTTTAGTGTACTAAAATGAACACTGTTTTCAGGTCGCTTTATCTGGGACTAGAAAATGATTTCTTATTTTTAATTATTCATTGTAGGTATACTGAGTGGGTTGTAACTATCTCCTAATGGCGAACGGAACATATATAGGGTGTTAATTAATTGAGTGCCGATACTTCAGGATGTGAATATTTGGATGATTTGAAGAAGAAAAGTAGATTTCTAAAATTGTAAAACCCTGTAGCTCGAAAAGAAAACTAGGAGGTTTAGGACATATATTGATATAAACTTTTCTTCTTAAAATCATCCAAATATTCACATCCTGAAGTATCTGCACTCAAATAATTAACAGCCTGTATGATGAATTAATAATGAAGCAATTTCTACTGTCCAGAGAGGACTGTTTTATGATATATCGCGATTAACAATTTGAACTCGCATTTTGGAAAATGATTAAAAAAAAAACTAAGTTACAATCGAATAAGAACCCGAGAACATCCTTCCCCCTGTTCTTTGTGCTTTTATCATAGATACAAGTGTGCGAATGTTTTGAATGATTGTTTCGCTGAACTATTTGCAAATTATAATTTAGTCAGTTCCCCGTTTCGAAAATTCCTTTTTTTATCAAATTTCGCGCGCTGCAATTGTAACATGAGGCGAATCCGAACGAATTGCGGCGATTATAAGTTTCAAGATTTTTTAAATACATATTTAGGGAACGAACTAAAGTAAGTCGATTCATTAACGAACAATTCGGACCGCTTCGGCATCGCTAGGAAGAAGCAACTGAAGGAGATGCCGCGACTGTATTACTTGAATCATTTGATGTGTTCTTGGATTGTTCAAAAACGCTCCGAATCCGAACTGTCCTGCTAATTTTACGTGTAAAAGATTCCCAGATTTTTTCCCAATAACACATCAATTGAACCAGATTATCCTCTTATTGTTTTCTCTCTGTTTTTCCCGTAAATACGCAGCCGATTTGCGAATTTATGGGATTCGATAAATCTATCCTTTCTAGCGCCAATCCAGTTGGGAAGCCTGTTCCAGATCGTTCCAGTTGCGTATTTATAGCTTTCAATACTTAGAAATTGTAATGTTATTTGTTTAAATTATTGATCTATCAAGGTATTGAAAAGCTATAAATATACAGGGTGGTTACTTAAATAGTGGATAATCTTTTGCTTGAGAGTAAAGCACTGTATAGTCTACATGAAAAAGTATATTTGACCTACTACAAAGGTTGTAGTAGGCGAAATGTACATTGTCTGGTAAACAATAGGGTGTTTAGGTTATACACTATTTACACCCTTAAATATCCGTAAACAAAAAAAACAATTAAATATCCTGACAAAACGAAAACATCCCCAATATTTTTCTATGTATTTTCCCAGTGTCGAACTGCAGAAAGCTAACCTTGAGGCCCAAAATTCTCCTAACACCGGCGGTACCGGCCAGTCCTCCACCACCACAACCGCTAGTGCCGCCTCCCCCCTGGCAAGCGCCATCCCCATTGCCCAGTTGCTGGCTAAGCCGGGGGCGCTCAATGCGCTGAGCAGCCTCACCGCATTGGGCGGCCTCACCGAATTGCTCGCTGGTCAAGGGGGCGGCTCTCCCTCAATCCAGACCACCGGCGTCCACCGTCCCCACAAGAGCTATACGCCGCGCCTGCGCTCGCCCGGCGGCGGTAACGAGGGATCCAAAGTCAAGAACGAGCGAAACAAATTCAATCCCTATTAGGATTAGGTTTAGATTATTTTATTTTATTTTTCTTCTTGTTCTTTATATTTTTTATTTGTTTTATTTGAGCTAAATTAAGAGTTTACTGGACGGTTTTCCAATCATTTCGAGCATTCGGATTTTTTATTGAATTATGTGGAATATTTTGTTGAAATTGTTTATGTTATGTGAAGTATGAACGTTGGGAATCGTCCAGTATTGTCATTGATTTTATACACATTATAGTGTATTTTCTTTATCAAAAAAAACTAGATTTGCCATTTTCTGCTAAAGAGCTTTTGGGTGTTTTTAGGCCGGCTACCGGGATAAAAAGTTTATTTATAGGATTATTAAGAACACGTAATTAACAGTAAGATTTTTTCTCTAAATGTTTTATATCTTAATTAGGAATTAGGCTTTAAATCGGCGTTAATTGGTAATAATAAGTAGGGACCAATTTTTACATTGAAACATTAACTAAATTTTGGAAAAAAATACTAAGAGTAGCGGTAATTTGAATGTACAAATTAAATGTGTTAATCGCCTGGCAATTATTATTTATCGAGACTATTTCTGCTTAACCCTTAAAATTCAAACAAATTTGTAATCGAATTTATTTAATTTTATCATAGAGTCAGTATAAAGTCAATGACTGTTGAATTTCTTATTTATATAAGATGGAATTATAATACTTATGCCATTTCAGGTATATTTTAAAAAATAGGTTACATGATAAAATATGATTTATTTTTACAAACTGAAATCGTTTACGTTGCTTTATACATTTTATTCATGTGAACGTCATCTTTATATTACTCTTAAATTACGTTTGTATAGTTGGGCGTAAAAGAGAATAAAAATTTCATTTCGCTAATTTTCCCCCGCGACGGATATTTCTATATTTTTGTAATGATTGTAGATGTAAAGCACAAAAACATTAGGTATAAGCTAAAACAGGGTATTATACAATTTTAAGCTGCAGAGGGCGTCCGAAACTTTTAGTACGACCCCCGTATGCGAGTATACACCTTGGTTCATTTCAGTTTACAATATGGGCATTTCTACGAGTTGAACTAAGAAAGGTTATTAAAACAACCGTTGTTACAGTTTTCTTTACGTGTCTAATTGGATGTCCTTATCGCACCCACAGCCTATATAACCTACACTGCAAACTAAAATGAATCAACCCTGTATATTTGCGTACTTTTCCAACTATACATGTTTCTGTTATATAAAGATGTCTAATTATTCGTTTTCGAAGTAATACTTTTATTTTGTAATTTACATGTCTTTAATTCGATCGTTTCTTATTAAAGAAAATAGCGTATGTTAGCCAGCTTAATGTTTCACATATCAGTGGCGTTTTAGAATTGAACAGTTTTTTTTACGTGTACCTACCGAATACGGATATTTGAAACTATAATGGACTCGTTATGACTTTCGAACAAAAAGGTTAATTCGTAAATTATTATTATTATTATTATTACACAATACGGCTTTATTTTTTCCGCTTTGAGTGTCCACTGTATTTTTTGATTATTTTTGCTGCATAAACGAGATAATTAACCTTTTTCGTTGGAATATAATTAATGGGATAGCTTTTAGTCCATTCCATAGTACGCTAAAAACGTAATATTTAAAATGTATTTAGTAGAAACTTATTATTTATCATTTAATATTTTTTTATTTCGCCCTTTATTTTGGATTAATATTAGGTACTGATGATTTTAAACAGTTAAATGTTTCGAATCGTATATTAAATGTAAATTAGTCTAATACAATTTATGTGTGTAATAAAGTTATTTCATTTCCTAACCAATGGACAAGTCATGTTTGTTGTTTCAAGGCGTAATTTATCAAATTTGTTATTGTAACTTTTATTAAAATAATAGTTTGAAACAACAACAATGATCGTTATATTTTCGCGCAATTTATTATTGTACTATTAATTTCAAAGTGCGTTTATTTTCAGCTCTGCGCTAATGTATTTTTTTGAAAAATTTTCAAGCACTAAATCACCGTTTGGTGCCGAAATTTTTGCGCAGCTTCGGTTTTTTCTCACCTAACTTACCTTCATTCATGCATTCTCGATTTACGCTACGAGAAAACTACACATTTTTGATTCCACTATACTTTTGATTTGATTTTTTACTGAATGAAAGGGCGTAAAGTGTATGTGTTCATCCTAAGCTAACAGACCGATGCCTTAAAAATACGAACCAACCAACCAATAGGCAAGAAGATTCACCAATATCCTGGATCCTGGTAAGCTTCACCTTCCATATTATCCTATCAGTACCATTGCATTTTTTTACAATCACTCGCTATATTACGAGCCGAGAATTTGCTTCTCGTTACAAGAATTTGTTTAGCTAGTGATTGAGAAGAAGCAATCAAAATATCTAAAGAGGTAAACCTATCGAATCCTCGCAAACCAATTAGTTTTTTAATCCTGTGTACATTGAGTTTCGACTTGTATAATTTCTGTATTATAATGTACACGGTGTTTTGAAATTTTTTATTTATAGGAAAAAGTATTTTTTGGAGTACCTACCTCAGAAATAAAGTTAATTAAATGTGTATCTGTTACGGATTAAGCTAGATAAACGACTAAACCTAGGTTTACGCGGGTAAGCTAGGGTAGGTTTTTTGGGTTTCTTGGGTTCCTGTTATGCCACAAGAAACCACTAAACTAGGTTTAGTGGTTTATCTAATATTACCCGTAACATATCTATAATGAGAATCACTAGAGCTCTTAAAATCCGCAATTTACCCCCATTTTCCCTACTCGAATTGTTGAAATACACATTAAGCTAAAATGTAATCTAGTGATTCTCGTTCGAATTCGAACGTTTGCATTAAAATAAAAGTTATTTCGACAGGATATCGATGGAAACGGCCGGCCTCCCGTTGCCCGGCTACCATTACATCGCCCCCAATCACATCGTGAAGGCGCCCATCCATTGAAGACGCCCCCGAGGCTAGAAGAAGTGCACTAGGTGAGGCCCCACGTCCTTTTCGTTCGTCTATTGTAAACAAAGCAACACGTCTGAAAGGAAATTTATCTCAACTGTGAAATTATACTGTTTGACAATATTGTCGCTTGTAATCACTCTTAAAAGCAAATCCACAAGATTGGTACTGGGGAACAAAGCCAAAGATTTTTATTTTCGCGTTTTATAATGTATATTTATATAAGATGTTTAGATGAACTCAAAAGATGTTTCGACTTTTTAGTTGTTAGGTACGGTTTATTATAATTGATTACTGTAGTTAGTTCCGTTTTTTCGAAATCCGGACGTACTATTTTTACAAAGCAGTTAAATTGTTGCATAATATATCGATGTTTTATAGTTGATCGCGCTCGTTCGTTGTCCTGTTTCAATGCGTTCAGAACAATTAATAATATTATATCGTAATAATACTTGTTAATGTGATATTTTATACAATCATAGCGAGGTGCACATTTCGAATTTCAAAACTTGACTGAACTTTCTGCATTTATCCCATAGTTTAATACGAACAAACTCGCAATCTACCGATTGAATGTTGTGATTTTTGCCAATATAGTTTTTCCAAATTCAATTGTATATACAGGGTGTCCCGCATAAGAATCCACACAAGGGTAGCCCAAAATATGTTGCTAACTTTATACAAAGTACCTACATTCCTAAGAAGTTATAGGCCATCGAAGTGGAGTTACAAATTAGAAAAATTAATATCTCACTCGTTATAGCAACTAAATTTGGTAAACGTTATGAGTACTAATGGCTTTAATCGATAGTTAGCAGAAATCAATTAATCTATTTCAAAGGGTTCATTAGGGATAAATCTCCCTTAAAATGGGACGAAGGAGCAACTTTTGAATTTAGTGTATTTTCATACAGGAATAATTTGAGAACAATCACAACATCCACTCTGTATTCTTCCAGTAAAACAAAATTCGATAGTTAATCGAGTACTTAAACTCTAATTAAAATTCAAAAATGTGTACCTGCTATTTAAATCCCGCATTGCTCAAATGTATCCCTTATTATATCGTATAGTGCAGATCCGTATCGTTGTATTTTAAAATATCAATATCTCAGCAATAATATAAATATGGATCGTAATAAAATTAAATGTGATAACACGGTTTAGAATTAAAAAAAAGATTACCATAAAATATAACGTAGCATTCTATAACAATCAATTAAAAAAATTAATAAATAATCGAGCGATAATTTGCAATTTTAGCAATATTGTAATGTTAGATAAGGTATTTGCTCATGCTGTAGGACAATGTAAAAATAATTAAATAGAATGCTGCAAGTGTATAAATTAGATTTGAAAGTGAAAACGGGACAATAAACGAACGTAAATTGTTTTTTAGATAATACGGCGTTCTAAGTTCGATAATAGTAAGTTTATTGAAAACAGTATTGTTATATACGGAGTGATATGGGCACTTTGTGATTGTAGATCTGTGTGAAATTTTAGGAATTTTCGTAAATTAGGCTGTGGTACATAAGTATTCGTTAATTAGTGTTTTCTTCCAAAAGTATCGTATGTGCCAAAAAAAAGTATTCACGACGTTGCTCATCATAGGCTGCATATTTGTATACCTTTTTCCGGGCTATTAGACTGTTTCCCGCATTTATTCCTCGATAAACGTATTTTCAATTGGCCAAATTGCTATTACAAAGAGACAAATTGTTGCGGTGAAAAGCAATGGGTTTCTTTTTTTTATTTCATCGATTTTTATCAATTACACGACCCTGTCGGAGTGAATCTCCCCCGTATTAAGGAGTTTTTTTTTATAACCAAATGGTTTTGTAACCAATAATTATATATTTCTAAATTTTAAACATTCGTAGGGAAACTGTAATTACTATCGCTTGGAAACGTTCTAATCGCTGTAAAGTATAATAGAGTAATAATTCGATTGTAAATTTGACAATCCTTACTGAAATGCTCATTTCACTCGTCTCTAATCTAATAAAGATGCAATATTTTTGCAATTTGTATTTGTGAATAGCGGTAGATTTACTGTGATCACATTACTGATGTTTGCACTGTCGCAACATGTTATATCGACGGTTTTAATGTGTTTTACTAGTGTGAATAGATTTTTCGTGTGTAAAAGTATACCATAGAAATATTTATGATATACAAAATTTGATCAATTGTAAAATTTAACGTGCATATGCCAGGTATCGACACATAAAATAATCCATCAAGGTATCGATGAACGATGAAGAAATTATTTTAATTGGATAATGAAATATTGCTCAAATTTCGTGCAATACGTTATTTAATCACATATCTGGTATATTTGTAATTTTATCGTGCGAAAAATGTGTAATTTTTGTCGAGAGATTTTTGAATACTTATGTGGAAAAAAAAGTTTGTAGGTAGTATAATAATTTCATAATGTACGCTTGTTGATAGTATTAGTGAAATATTCGTATTCTAGTCCTATAAAAAAGCTCATCTCTATATTCGATATATTAGTCTAGTCACTTTTCTTTGAGAAAACGGACCGGATCCTCCGCGATGAGCGCGGGATTTCGTCTGTTCTTCGCTAGACTGAATGTGCCAGTAGTTAAAAATTTCAAACATACACCGCCAAAAACGCTCGGTGTTCCCATTCCCATCTCGAAAATTCGTTTACCCCGCGAATTATTTTCCCGGACTACAAATGCGCATTGTCCTGCAGAATCCTTCGAGAAATATTTTTGATACACGTACCTCAAAGGATGCAGTTGTATTGCGAATATCTCGAATATATAATTCCGGAAAATCGAGAGATGCGTCCATTTCTGGATTTTCCGAACTTCTGGCATCCGAACGTAAAGTGTATTTCATTCGAATAACATTGACTATAATGGGGACAATCTGTTGTTATTTCTTTACGTTAATATTTGATATATTTATGAGAAAACAAAGAGAAATTGTATGTAATGTGCCAATTAAAGGATCAAGGACCTTAGCCAGCAAACAAATGTACAAATATCATTCTAACGTGAACGTCGTGCTACAGCTGACCCTAAACGATGGAAGAATCTTCTAATCACGATATGATGAAAAAAGAAACCTTATGATATTACCCTATGATATAAAAAATACGCTGTTGTTGAATTAACTCGGAACAGCAAGATTTCGACCTTTCTACGAAGGTCGAAAGATTTTCTTCTAATCACTTATGTATAGCTGCATAGAGAATAGAACAGCGAGGCCTACAAAAGCTCTCTAGCTCAATTTGATCTACCGGGTGTTTATTGTAGCTTTAGCTGTCTTATAGGCAAGCATTGAGTAGTATGAGCTACTTTTAATTTCGTTTCCTGCGCAAAATTATTAGGCAACCCGTTATACTCGAATAATAAAGTCTCCTCCACTTCTGAGGTGTGACTGTCATGGGTTGCCTAGTCATTAGGCGCAACAAATTACGAGGGACGTTTCCAAAGAACTTTATGCAAAACTTATAAAGCTGAGAGACATGTTTTTGCAACTATACATTCAATGCAACTTTTATTTCGCAACACAATGCATTTAATATAACACTCCCTACAAGTTCTGTCTAATTTAATTAGAGCACAACTCGCAGAACTTTGGAAACATCGCTCGTAAAAGCATCATATCTCCATACTCGCCTGTAGGATCTCCGCAAAGTTGCAGGAAACGCCCTGTATAATTCTACAGCATTTTGAAATCGAACAAGCGATTGAATCGAGTCGTTTTGCGTGGGCCTCCCGTTCGTTTAGAAACTAGTTTGTTAGCAGGGGCCTTAATGTTTGGCTATTAAAAAAAAATAGTTCGTCGTGTTGTGCCAGGCAATCAACGGTTTAGCTTGTCTGCAGCGTTACGCTCAGTACTTAAGGTGCCAAAATGTGGTAGATATTCGTCGTTAAGCGTATAATTCCATAAATCAATAACGGTCGAAATTAGGTGCGTTTTGCGTATTGATTAGGTTCGTTTCGTTTTCGACAATTTTTTGGGGCGGTGCAATCTCGTTTTACCTGTAAATTCTTTTCCTGCGGACGATCGGGGAGGTTTTTCTTTGTTAATTGCGTTGGAAATTTACGAGTGAAATCTTCCGTATTTTGTACTTAATTAATTCCTAATTAAATTATTTTTCTGTGATAATTAATGTTGTGATATTTTCTTGTTTTTATACACGTTATTAGCGGCACGTTAGGGTAAAAAAAACGTTATTAATTTATGGGATTATTGACCAAATATATTTATAATTGAAATATATTCTATAATATTTAAAAAAATTTTGTAATTAGATATAAATGTGACTGATTTATAACCAAATATTTTTGCAAGTTCATCTATATTTGATGCTGAAATTAGTATATATATTTCGGCACCCTGAATATTAAAACACACAATCAGCTAAAGGTGAGATATCATTTAGAAGCCTTTATTAAATACAGGGTCTTTATCAATTAAGATATTGTAGTTAAAGAGAATTCGTCTAAATCGGACATTAAAAATGTAAGGAACAGAATTGATTTTTTCAGATCGAGTATATTAATTGTAAGATATCCAATTATTGAATTATTGTAATTTTTATCGTATTATTCACTTCGTTTCAACAGATTTTTCTAAAGCCTCTGCGTACTTTTGTTCGTGTTTATAATATACCGAAAAACCGTGCTAAAAGATAAAAATTTACCAAAATTGTTTCTTTTGACGCGGTTTGAAACAGAGAAATTGGATCAACGTGGATCTTTTTCGGTTTCCTATCCAATCATAACCACTTCAATTTTCTTTTCTACGATTATAAAAAAAAAGCGATCGTTAGTTTTATGTATCTATGTACGGCTATTTCTAGTGCTTTTCGCTTTAAGATCACAACACGACTGTAATTGTATTTAGTGTAGGTGCACGCTATTTCAATCCTAGAAATTGTTACCATATCTTTCAACATATCCTACATTAATAAACAAAAAAAATGATGGTAGTTTGCGCGTCTTTCGCTCAATAATTCCGCCCTGCTATATCACGGATTCACAGCGAATCGCGAGCTGTGAGCGAATTATTGAGGAAAAACGCGCAAGCATCGGCAAAAAAGACAGTTATAGTTAAATTGCACATATCGTATTGTGTTTCCATTTGCAAAATGTTAGCATCTCAGTAACTTATTGATATAAACATATGTTTTATGTTTGTTTTGGTTAATAAAGTGTGATTATTACAAACGCGTCTCGGTTTTATTTCGAATCAACGAACCCGAGTAACCCTTTCATTTCACCACAGAAAAAATCCCTACGTTTTATCATTATTCCTTTATTCACAGGATCAGGTAAAACAGAAAATATAGATACTCAATAATGAATTGTTATTGAATATTTAATCACTCATCTACATCTAATTTGATGAGATTTAATGCAATAGATACCTACAATAAATTGGCGAAAAATCATTAAATAATCGCAATGTGTGCTGTAATATTAATTGCAGTTAATCTGAAGCCTCCAGGACGTGTCATCGAATAGTTATCGAAAACAAATATGTGGAAAAATGCGTGGCAAACAAGAATATATTAAAAAAAATTCCCATCATCTGTACGGGAGTTTAATCAAGCTCGAACATCGATTAGGGAATTTGTTCTTTATGTGTTCTTGTTCCGGCTGAACGGTCGATGGGTACGCGATTCGTTTACGGTACACAAATAGATGCAGATAAGTAACGCATTAATTATGAATTTGATAATAAATTTCAACGAGCCTTTTGTATGGGTATATAAAGAGTTACGGAAGCCATTTCGGTCGAGCAGTAAAAATTGCCAACGAGCGCAGGTAAGTTGCTCTTTTTTAAGTGTAATAGAATATATTCAACAGTTATTTCATAACTGTAGCTGTTTAAAATCATTCAAACTATAAGTGAGGATGTTATGAATGTTTTTAAAAAAAAACTTTGATTCTTTTTTAGAGTCCATCATGTTCAAACTACCCATAGCAATTCTTTTATGCGCAATAATTTCATCGAATGCTTTGCCGGTTTCGATACATTGTAACGAAAATGAGGTGAGTTTCGTATCCACATTCTTCATATTTTTGATCAAAAATTATTGTATAAGTTTAGAATAGTTTATTCAGAATATTAAATACAGTTATTATAGTTTTATTGACTACTTTCACGACAATAAATTTCAGAACCCATCACAGGGTTACACCTGCTGGTTGAACCTGACCAAAGACACGATGAAGACGATCGCAAAAATGCCATTGCCTATCTCCGAAGATTACCAGGAAGCCTTCAAAAGAAACGCGGAACTCAGCAGCGCCTTGTCCTCATTATACGGTTACGGGAAACGCAATCCCGAACTGTCCAGCGCCTTGATGAGCTACCTAAACCGAGATAACATCAGGCATTGAAACCCACGAGTATCGTAGATAAATAAACGGAATATTGTGTGTATAAAAATTGAGAATAAAACTAATTGGTTATTTTAATCGCATGTTAACTATTATTGAGAGGTGGCTGGAGGTCTAGAAATAGGAGACCAGAAATTATGTAGAAAGAGGAATTCGATAGGGGAAGACCTGGTGTAGTTAATTACAATAAGTATATTGATTTTGATTTAATTCAAATCGGTGATTCATAAACTTGATCAATACTGGAAGTTTCAGGTTTAAAGAATCAAATTGATTGTGTGAATTTATGTCCTTAAAATAAGAAAAAGAGTTATGGTATCAGTATCTAAAAATAGCGGATTAAAATTAATTAAAAGCACGGGGACATCACTCAAGAATGAAATATTATGAAATTTAAAAAAATACCTCAAAACAAATATTCTTCCAATATAACGATTTTTAGATTGTACTATAAAAAATAACAAGAGCTACAGCTTTAAAATTTACTTCATCATCATTCATCATCTTCATCTGTGTACCTCAAATAAATAATTAATCGCTTAATACTATAATTGGTGTTTCATAAGAATGGTATTTATCCGATCGGTCCCTAATCCGATTTATCGAAGGGTGTATTCCACCGGCGCGTCGAAAACGGTCCAGCGACGCAACTCCGTCGCCACGACGACCGTGTTGCTCATGTCCGCGGGCCACAAGTCAGACGCTGCGAGCGATCTGCGTTCCTCTCCGACATGGACGGCATTTCCCTCTGATTTCCCGTCGTTCGTGAACTCCGGCCAGGCCGGAAAATCGCCACCGATCCGCGTCGCGTCCGTCGGTTCCGCTACACGACTCTCCCGTGCGAATTTCGGTCGGTCCATCCGCCCGTCCGCCTATCGATTTTCCGCGGAATGAACCGCTTGGGCCAGATCCGCCTGCCGCCGCTCTCGGCGGCCGTCAACGTGGCCCAGCAGATCCGCAGGCAGATCCTGCCCGGCGGCCAGGCCGACGGAGAGGAGCGCCGGCAGGCCGAGCGCGTCCACTTCGCCCAGCTGCCCAACCAGCACCAGGCCAGCCACGGCGGCGTGGACGAGCACCACGAGATGAGCAACATGAAGGGCGGCACGAACCCCTTCGTCGGCGAGACGGCCGCTTCCTACCAGGAGACGGACAACGCCGGCTTGAACAGCACCTACCAGCGGCAGCAGAGCAGGATGTCTTCGGTGGATTTCTCGGAGGGGTCCGACTTCGTCGAGGGGAAGAGCACTTGTAAGATCAACGAGTATCAGGCGGCTTGGAACGTTACTAATGCTATACAGGTTACTATTTTTTTTTTATGAATTAAACTTGTTGGGAGATCGACACTTTCGCTATTCAACGGTTGATTGATTTGCTTGGAACAAATGTCTCTTATTTTGAACTAATCAATAAAAAGTTGTATAAGTAAATTCACTAGGAAATCGAAAATCACACCTTGTATTTATAGATTTATAGAATCAAAAATCACCAGATCTATTTAATCTTAATTAAACCTAGCAAATCATATATCTATACAGGGTATTACAGAACACAAATAACCTACTTCTACAAACGAACTTGTATAAATGAACAAAAAAATGTGAACTTGTTCCCTAGAACTTCCTCTTCAGAACCTAAAGCCCTTTGAAGATAATATTTTCAACTCATTATTTCGTATTCCAATTCAGTATTTCTTATCTTTAAAATCTCTCATCCCCACGTTCACTGGTATCGACTTCCAGGGGATGTTCATCGTGTCGTTGCCCTTCGCCGTCCTGAAGGGCGGCTACTGGGCCATCGCGGCGATGGTGGGAGTCGCTTACATCTGCTGCTACACGGGCAAGATCCTGGTGGAGTGCCTCTACGAGCTCGACATCCAGACGGGCAAGCAGGTCCGCGTCCGCGACTCCTACGTCTCCATCGCAAAAGAGTGCTTCGGGAAGAAATACGGCAGTAAGGTGGTCAGCACAGCTCAGATCATCGAGCTGCTGATGACCTGCATACTGTACGTGGTGGTGTGCGGGGACCTGATGATCGGCACCTTCCCCGACGGCGCCATCGACACCAGGTCCTGGATGATGCTGATCGGCATCATTCTGATACCCCTAGGTGAGGAATTTTCGCATCCTTTATCATCGATATTTGGAGGCTGTTTTTTTTAATTTCCAGGCTTCTTGAAATCGTTGAAGAGCGTGAGCATCCTGTCCTTCTGGTGCACCATGTCCCACATCCTCATCAACGCCATCATCCTGGGCTACTGCTTGATCTACATCGGCGACTGGGGCTGGAGCAAGGTGAAATGGTCGGTCGACTGGGAGAACTTCCCCATCAACCTCGGCGTCATAGTGTTCTCGTACACCTCGCAGATATTCCTGCCGACGCTCGAAGGCAACATGGAGGACCCCAGCAAGTTCCAGTGGATGCTGGACTGGTCGCACGTTTGGGCCGCCGTCTTCAAGTCGATATTCGGCTACGTGTGCTTCCTGACGTTCCAGAACGACACCCAGCAGGTCATCACCAACAATCTGCCGTCGGCGGGTTTCAAAGGATTCGTGAACGTGTGCCTGGTGATTAAAGCGTTGCTGAGCTACCCGCTTCCTTACTACGCCGCCTGCGAGCTGCTGGAGAGGTCCTTCTTCAGAGGTGAGTTCTTCAACTTTCGGTTGCAATACTTGAGTGTAATTTTGGTGAATTCAGGTAAACCGAAAACGCGGTTCGAATCCATATGGGCGGTGGACGGGGAACTGAAGGTGTGGGGGCCTGGCTTGGAGAGTGGGTATCATAGTTTTCACCATTCTGATGGCCTGCTTCATTCCGCACTTTTCGATCCTGATGGGATTCATCGGCAGCTTCACCGGGACGATGTTGAGCTTCATTTGGCCGTGTTACTTCCACTTGAAGCTGAAGCGGGAAGGTATGGATATGCGGGGAGTGGTGCTGGATTATTTCATCATATCGATGGGTTTCTTCTTCGGTTTCATCGGCATGTACGATTCGGGCAAGGCTTTGATCAAGGCCTTCGCTATCGGGCTTCCATTTTAACCGGATCCGATAGGGAATATGGCGGCTTGGGTTATTGAGGAAAGTTTTTAGATGAATAATTTTTCTTTACATTGCTGAATGTAAAGGTAATTTGTTATAAATTTACCTGCGTTAAAAATTGTGAGTGGTCAAAAGGAGATATTGGTTTCTCGCAATTTTTAAGCCGTTTTTGATGTTACTAAAGTATTATAAGACAATAATTATAAAAATATCCCGAAAAGAAGTCTTCCAATCTGTAAGTATATTTACGATGTCGAAAATGCGAGAAACATGAAATTTGTATGATATTATTTACATTTTCAAAACGTATCGAAATCTTATTAAATAATCGTATTTTCCAAAAATAATACCAAAAAATATGAAATTATTCTACAATGTTTGTAACCACGTCTTCCAATTTAATCTGTGGTAAATATTTACTGTATGTCTTCCAAATATTTATAGTCGAAAAAAATATTGCTGTATTGAATGTGTATTATATTAGGAATACTAAGCTATATATTATTTTGTGATTGTTGAAATTCAAAATTACATTATAGTTCGTGTAATGCTTATATAAATTTTTCGTTATTAATTAGCATTGCCAATTAAGTGCGTAGATAATTGGAATATTTAATATTTATTTCTTAACTGAAATAGTCTATTTAACAGAGTTCGTCAAGAATTTTTACCAATAGACAATCGCTTGACTAGCAAAAAGTGTGAATACCAAATAATCTATTTTTAATTAGCTGAAATGAACTAGTATTTCATAATCAGTTTTTATGTTTCGATCATAAAATTCTAAAATTTGCGGGCTTCCATGTAGTTGTAGATTTTATTTTCCAGTAATTACACCAGTATAATTGTTATATTTTTATAAACATACAAGATGTATATACCGAAAATTTAATAATAACGTACCTACTTAATTGTTGCTAATAAAGTAACAATCAAGAAACAATAAAAGTCGATCGGAAGGAATAAAAGTAAGTTTGATGAGCCATCAAAAATGGCTCAATAAAACATTTTATCCACAATTAAGTATGTTATTATTCAATAGAATTGCTAACTAGCTGTTATCTTAATGTACATTGTTAAAATTGTAGTTTCCTTAAAGTGTCCTAGCCGGAGAATATTAAATGTACATCAGTACTTTCGATTTCATTATTTTCCGAGTTGACTTGTAAGTTTTAATGTGTATAATGTATCATAGAATACTAAAATTAAACATAAAATGTATGTATTTACATATTTAAAAAAACACAAAACGAAGAAATTTACGCAATAATTTAGTATGGTAAGAGAAAAAAATTCTAAATCGTTTGAAATAATTTCCTGAAATTCTTGGCGAAATATTTTTGATTTAATTATATGCGAATTAATTACATTTACAACATACAAAATACAAAATACTAACAAACCAATCAAACTTTTTTTTCCAATAGTAATCGATTATTATTCGTTTTATGAACGCCTCATTTCTATACGAATATTTTATAAAATAGTTAAGATTGAATAATGTAAAAAACAATTCGTGTAGTTTAAAATTTAATATTTTAGAAACTTTAATATTTACATGGCATTGTTAAATATTGAATGACTAAAGGACAAATTATAGAAGAAAAATATAGATTTGTTTCGTTTTATTCCAAACCAATTATATACAAAAATAATTTAATAAATACAGTAAATTTCGAACATAACCACAGTATAAATAAATTACGCTTAATTCTAAGCCATTAAAATAGATAGTACTTACAAAATAGATGAGAAATGTAGAAGATTTGTAGAAATTTTTATCAAAGTAGGAGTACTAACACACATACTGACTAGAAACTGGAATTTATTATAAAGAAACTAAGGTGGTGAAAGGGTTTTTACACCATTAGACGCATCGTTGGTTTGAGTAGAAGTTTTCAAATTATTCGGCTGCCGACGAAACGTGTTCAACTTTATGAGAGTTGCCTAAAGAAGAAAAAATCGTGAAAATATTTTCAAACAACCTCATCGATTCTTCACCTTAGTGACCTCTTTTTGCACGGGAGTCCCGCAGAACATTTTGCTAATGTAGTTCCGAAACTTCTTCGACAGCATGCAGTAGATGATTGGATTCAGGGCGGAATTCAAATGGCCCAACAGAAGCAAATAGCGCTTGATCTTGATCTGCTTCAATTTATAGTCCAAGGCCAGTTGGACTTCTTCCCTGGACTGCCTCAGGTTTTGGTCGAAGTTCTCTTCGCTCGGTTCGCTATCCACGGTGTCATCGATTAGATTCGTGATGTGTTTGGGCAGCCAGCAGATTGCGAAGACTACTGCTAGCAGCAGTAGAATGCAAGCGACCTTTTTCCTGCTTCTTAACAGTTTTATTCGCTGAAACAAAATCGAGATTTTAGCGAATAAACTAATAAAGTTTTAATCGATGTCTTACTTGGTATGAGTAAGTGCATTCGTCGTCGAAAAGTGGAGTATCTGAGCATAAAGTTTGTCCCATTTTCGAATAGGCACCGATTATTATTATACCTGTAAAGTATGAATTTTTATTATAGGAGTTGAGGTAATTTTTGAAATATTTCGCATCAAATATAAACCCTCTGTACAAAGAGAATCGACACCAGCTAATTATAAATATTTCTAAAAATTCGAGTCGTAAAAGTCTACCTCATCACTTATCGGGCAATTACCCGAAAAAATTTATTTTCTTTACCTTGCTACTAGTCTTAACATTATCACAAGATGTATCGTATACAATCGTAAAACGTTAAAAACCCCAGCAAGTGTAGCAGATTTTCAACAATATTCAGATGAAAGAAAAATATATTTTTAGAAAAATCTCCTAAGAGTTCATCGACTGAAGCTTAAACTTTCAAATTATATACAAGTTCTTTTAATACACCCAAATAAAAACAAATAAAGAGAGTACTAGAATATTAATACCACATAACAAAACTTTACTAATTAAATTATATTACCTGGTATAGCGAAAACGAATATAAACCAAAGTATTCCCATTGAACGTTGAGGAATGGGGCCCTTGGTCCAATCTTCCCCGCACATATTTATAGTAACATTTTCAGTTAAATTCCTGTTCACCACATTCACATCGTACACCCATAGAATCGGGGAAAATGCCACCAAAGACATGAACCACAAACACGTTATGATTAACGTGGTACTGCACCTGTTGAGGGACCGGTACGTATAAATACCGTGGTACAGCGGCCTCGTGATGGCCAAATATCTGTACATAGCCATTGTAGTTATTGTGAATATGCTCGAGCCGACTGAGACGCCTGTAAATTGGGAAATTTAGCATAAATGTACCGGAATTAATTCTTACTTACATTCGATATAAGCTGATATTTTGCAGGTGTATCTACCGAAATCATAGATACTCGTGTGAGCTCTCCATACAGCGTTAGGCATGCACACTAAAGTTACCAATAAATCCGCAACGGACAAGTTCACCAAAAAGTAATTGTTTATCCTGGAATGCAAGAAAAATGTGCGGTGTATTTCGGGTACGGTTCGGTATGTGTAACAGGAGACGCGTGATGCGCTTGAACTGTCACGATTTGGTACTCACCGTCTCATATATCGATTTTTTAAAACGATCGCAATCACAGTTACGTTGGCAATTAAAGCTGCGATGAATACTGGAATGTATAAAACTATCAAAACGTAGTCGTTCACGGCGAATCCTTCGATTATCATGGATTCGCTTAGCTCCATTGACTCTGATACATTTGCTTGATCCATTTCTCTAAGTTTTTGCTCAAATTTTCTTCAGGTTAAATATGCTGGCTTCCTGAAATAGATATAACATTCTTCAAATAATCTTAGTACTTAGATATTTGTTGATTTACATCAGTAACTGATGTCAACTTATGTCTTCAGTTATTTTCATCGATCCGTATCATCAACTTTTAAAAAATAATTATTTGTCTTAGGACAATTGTGTTTATTATGTTATTTTAAAATTCGTTATTGTTTCCTTGACAATTTTCAACCCTGCACAAAAATGTGAAAATAAATAAAAATTGTCTGGAAGGTTATTTTCGGACTACTTATTTCCTTGAAAGCTCCAGACTTTCGAAGAATTTATGAGTATTTCTTTTATAAATATTTATTAATCAACGATTATAAATCAATATAAATTATTACTAATTAAATCGACCGGTTAATGTTGCATTGTACGCATGTGTTTTGCTAATTTATGTTATTCCTGTTGAATTCGGAATATTATCCTATTATCTGGGTAAACAGGGCGCTATATCTAACTTTTTTGACATCAAAAAACAATTTGTATATATTAGTTTGGATAATTTCCCAATATTACCTCCTAATTTCTAAACTATATCCCTAAAATAGTTGTTGTTATCCGTATATCCCAGCTCATAATAACCCTATCTAACTGATATGGAAATAAAAAAATATTTTATTAATGATAACAAAAATCAGTGAAGATTCTGTTTGCTGTGCTATACTTTGTTTGCTGAAATAAGACAAGGGAATTTGTTAATTAAATATTTAATGATAAACAACAACTAATATTCTAATTTGTGTAATTATTAAAATGTAAAAATGAAGAACTTGAGAATGATTTTTGGGGAAAAGAAAAAATATACAAATCCGCTAGATTTAGGAAAAAAAACACTCTCTATCCGAAAACCTTGGAGAAATCTTTAACTCAAAGTTAATAATTGAGTGGACGGGCAACTACAATAAATTCATTGATTCCTACTAAAGCGCGGAATTTATGCGTTGTATGCGTTTATTTTCATTGCTCACCATAAGTTTTTCCCGGACATGTTAGGCATGAGCGCTTATTTCCTTGGTAACAGAAAAATTCCAACCGAAGGTTAGTTTCGCTTACATTGGAATAAAGGAAACTAAACAACGTTTTGAAAACTATGGAAAATTTTTAAATACCTTTTTAAATCTTGTATTTTCAGTAACTATGAACTTTGAGGTAAAAGAATAATTTTGAACAATATTTTAATCCATCTACGCACACCTACGATTTGATTTTATCAAGTTTATTAAGCGAGATTAAAAAATTAATAACCACTCGATAAAGCGACCGATGTTTGCACAAATATTATCACCGCCTGTTAGAAATTTTTTTCAATTAATTAATTAGAGGCGACAAAGACAACCCGGAGCGAGCTGATGGGATCCCGACGAAGCGAGCCCCCGGATTCGCGAAAAGAGCGCGATCTATTTTCGCCCGCGGTCTCCCGAAAACTGGATAAACAATTACCAATAAAGCGAATCTGGCTAAAAAATGCCTGCAGGTTAACGGGACGCGCACGTTGCGGGATTTTTCCCGAAACTTATTATTTCCATCAGATATGTAGGTGTCTCGGAAAATTGGCCATTATTAATAACGTTTCATGAACAGATAGAATTTACCCCGATTTGATGTTATAAATGATTGTTTTTTAACGCGAATTTATAAGTTTATATAGGTAGGTGTGTTAATTAGATCATAAATATTTTGATTGGTAATTTATTGTTTATATATTTGGGAAATTGGTAATTTAAACAGGTCGTAATGTTCAATTTTATAAATCTCTGGTGTATGTTAAAGTTTAATATATTGCACACTCTTTTTATTTTCAACGTACCGATGAAATCCGCATTATTCGAATTTTATTTCGCAAAACAATAAATTTTGCCTCATACATAATAATTTAAGCGAAATAACTTCTTGAACTCCAATCAAATTCATCATTCTCAAATTATTTAACAGCCTTCTTTTTATTGAATATTTTTTATTTATTTTAAACTTTATTTCGAGCGGGCAGTAAAATTTATTTTTTACTTTGTTCTGTTGTTGGAGTTACTATTGTTGGAAAAGACACCTTCGCTTTGCGGTAGATAAATATACAATTGGCAGGAGACCAAATTAATCGATTTTACTGTTATTTACAAATCGATTTTATCTGTTCATCCGAGGAATTCTCGTCTACATTGTTTTATTTAAATTTATTTACTCACCTTAATAAATTAGTGTGAGTAATTTGATGAAAATTCCAATAAATTTTGCTTAAAAAGTGAAAATAGTTTCGAATTAGTAGAATTAAATGAAATAAAAAAACACCCTAATTTTTTTAACTATGTAAGAATGAAAGAAACTTACCTTCTCACGGATTATTACACTCTATTCGACGAAAACTGACCACGATAAATCATCAATAAGTTGTCGAAAATATTTTAAAACGCCTCGGAAGCTATGCCAGGTTTTTCAGCAATAATAAACATTCTGTTGCTCTCTGCAATGTTTTGATTTACTTAGAATAGGTGATTTATTCTCGGTACAAACGCATTTCTCGCATTTTCTTGTTATTTTAAACTAGTAATGGTACTTTCCGCTCACCAAATCGCTTCATCTTTACTAACGATCCAAAGTTGTTGTGTAGATAAAAATACGAAACAGGAACTTAAGACGTTTATTTAAATAATCAATGCACAATTTATAACTCACACTAATCTATCCTCGTTCGCAAATTATATCGACCACGCTGGGCTCCATCAGAACTGGTTCGAGACACCGGTGCGCAGCCGAGCCCAGGATTTCGTCCAACAGAAAGTGTACTAAGCTGAAAACAAATATTATTTCACGCCGTTACTCTACTTCTTATTCAATATTATTTGGAACAGTAAATATTTACTTTTCGTCGGATACGAATCGCCAAAGATACAACTGCAAATAGTGCGTGTCGACTTGAATTTGCTGCAGCCCGTACTTGCTGAACGTTTTCAAACGTACGCATTCCATGAAAGTCTACAAATTAATATAACGCGTTTATTTTGATATAAATAGCTATAAAGTAGACTATACCTTTAAGCTAATTTTAATGATTCCGGTCAATATTGAGATTTTGTTAAATTGCACCGAGGAAAATATATCGATTCTTTCGCTGAATAACCTGTGCATGTTCGAAACCAAAGCAGAATCTAACGGATTCGGAGCGTAATTGGACCAATTCGAGCGATATTGGTGTCTAGGAAGCGACACGCTACAATCGAAAACGTTAAAAATTATAACATTGCGATAATTATGAGCTAACCTGTGGGCTTTACGACTGGAATCGCTGCTGTGCTCGGTACCGTTCCCTTGATCTTCGTACAATTGAGCCACAGTGGAATCTATGGAAGATATATCATCCACAACTCTCTTCATCACAGCTCTTACTGTCCTCGGTTCGATTGTATGCAGCCAATCTCTCGTTTCCACGCTTTTTCTCAACATCTGAAACAATCAATTTAATAACAGTGCGATTAGTTGAGCAATTATGTTACCTGTGAACAGTTTAAACCCTGTATTCTGACGAAGTAATTCAGCAACTCCTGCGCCGATTCTTGCATCGTGTTATTGATTTCGGTTTCGTACGTTAGAGCGGAATTTTGCTTGGGGTTGATTTCGAATAATTCGTCAGTTTGCGATAACTAAAAAGTACCCAACTTGTTATAAACGGCGATATAAAGGCTATAAGAGAGAATTACCAATAGGTGTACGTGTCCGTTTTGGAAATCGATGCAAAATTTGGATAATAAAAGTAGTAAAGTAGGTGGAACATTCGGATCTGAAGCCCCTTTAGCGCAGAAACTTCTGGCTGTTGCTGTTAAATGGTGGAGGAAACACACCACTAGGCCTTCCCTAACGTTATCTATGCAGAAACTGTCTTTGAACTGGGGTTTGTTGGCGAAATTTATATCCGGTTGAAGAAACACCTAAAAATATATATCATAAGTAAACACACAACTTCTATTAACGATTTATTAACGTACTACTAAATCCTGTAAAACTCCTTTAACTTTCTCCACGACTGTAAGAACCAATGAATTGAGTAAATCGTTGAGATTCTTAGGGGGTTCATCTTGGGTAATCAATTTAGTAGTCGTTAAAGATTGCCTGATTTTCGTTAAAGAGTCCGCAAAATGCATTTTCAATATTTGCAAATGCGCTTTACATTGCTTCCTTCCTGCGTTAATCACTATTTCAGCGGCAACACTGGAAACGAGGAATTAAAAACCAATAGAAATCATATTAGTGATAATTATACTTCGCGAAATCTATGTCTTTGCATAACGTGTTACTTTCGATTCTTTTGTAAAATCTATCGAGTGCTTGAACTAATACGGAAGTATCACCAACATCTTGCTCGGAATCAACTTTATTTTGCACCAGTTCAAAGTATTTCTTCATGTTGTCTTTCACAAAATTATCCAATTCGACCGCAGCAAAATTTTCAAATATATCACTAAAATACAACATGAATTTTATATAAAATCTATAAAATCTATAAAATCAGCCACGAGTCCCTTTATACACACCTATTTTCTAAATGCTCCATGTGCACTCTATTAATAAACATATCATGAAATGATGCGACGATAAGGCACAAATCGCTCAAGAATCCCGAACAACCTAAATCCACAAACTCGATGATGTCCCGTTGTTCGCTTTGGTCCTTCAACATCACCAGCTGTTCAGCCAGGCGTTTCTCCGCGCAAGTCAGGAATTCCATGCATAGCTCCTTGGCAGGTTCGTTTAATTTCAGTAATAAATCTACGGATTCCGTCAGCTCCTTGGCCGAGGCATTGGGGTTGCAAAATTGTTTCCTTAACTCCGCTTTCAGCTCGGTTAAAATCGATTCGCAGTCGCTTTTAATTCCTTGGAACGAAGGCATATCTCCGTATTGTTGCAACACTCGTTGGGCGTGTAAGTAATCTTGGGTTGCCTTAAAATAACATTACATAGTATATTTATGATTATAAAAAGTTATAGGTTTTTATGCACCTGTATGTAGCTCTTTTCTTCCATTCTAGCCTTAAGAGTGGTGGGTAATTTAAAAAGAAATTGTAATTTCTGGAGTAAAGCGTGCACCCCGGAAAGTTCGCTTATTCTCTGCCTTGTTTCGTGCAGGGTATTGTTTATTTGGTCTGAAGATGATGTGATTGAAGCCATGTTCGAAGCTAATAAATCCATTTCGGTCTCCATTTTTTTAAAATCGTTCTTCATCTATAAATGATCCAAATGAGGAGTTATTCAACTTTAGTAAATCTAATTATTACTTTTTTAATGGTGTCCGTTGCCGATATAAATTTATTGTAATTTTCATAAACTAGTGTTTGCATATCTGAGTGTAAAGTTTGGGTGTCCTTTACTATTTCAGTTTCATGATCCAATATTTGTTTTAAAGAATATTCCTAAAACATTAATCAATGAATTAGTCTTGGTACGCCTTTGAAATGATAAGTAATTAATACAGTATACCTTAAAGATTTTGTCTAGGTACATATTGGGGTTAAAATTAGGACCGTCAAGGTCCAAAGGGTTGTGTTTTTTCTCGTTCATGTTTTAAATACATACACTTTACTAATAAATAAGGACCTCCTGTTTATTTTTTAATTTTTTGTGATATTGCTTTGTCAATTGTCAGATTTGTCAGTATCAAAGTTTGAGGTTATTTTGTTCATCTTTTTTTATAATATAATATATGAATTTGAATTATGCCTGGATTATATAGTGCATCTAGCGAGTAAGGTAGGAGAAACGTGGTATTTAATTAAACTATAATTATTCTATTGATTAAAAATCTGCAAATTAAATAATTTTGATTCATAAATTATAATTCAAACTGGTATTTTTTTATCAAATAAAATATCATTGGTTATGAAAAATGTCATGTGTCAAAACAAACTGTCATCAATGTCAAAAGTTTCATAAACTATTTTACTTTTGGTGGTTAGGTTTCGTTCGTTTTGATTTCGTTTGATTACATTTCATTGTTTATTAAAAGTTTCCATTCCAACAATCTTCCAGCATGTATGAACAAGAAGATGGTAATATTGTATACGTAATTATAAAAGATTGCGCAATTATGCAATTTACTTGCAGATCAATTCGACGATGAAGATACCGAGGAAATCAGCGCCGAATTGTGGCAAGAAGCCTGCTGGATCGTCATCAACGCCTATTTCGACGAAAAGGGTTTGGTGCGACAGCAACTGGATAGTTTCGACGAGTTCATTCAAATGTCCGTGCAAAGAATCGTCGAAGATTCCCCGCAAATCGACCTGCAAGCAGAGGCCCAGCACACGTCCGGCGAAATAGAAAATCCTCCGAGATATTTGCTGAAATTCGAGCAAATTTATTTATCCAAACCCACGCATTGGGAGAAAGACGGTGCTCCCTCTCCTATGATGCCTAATGAAGCTAGATTGAGGAACTTGACTTACTCGGCACCGTTGTATGTAGACATTACGAAGACTATTGTTAAAGAAGGCGAAGATCCCATTGAGACGCAACATCAGAAAACTTTTATTGGTGAGTAATATAAAACATAAAAAATCCGAAATAGGTAAATTATACATTTTTTATTACCTTTAACCCTAAATGTAAACCTCCTTCGGCCGACGTAAATCCAATGCCATTTCTAGCCCTTTGCGGGGGTATCTTCGTTTTCGCAGTAACAACAATTTCCATATTTAATAGAAGATAGTAAAATAATATTTTCGTTTGTAAGTAAGCGAATTTCGGTCCTACGCAGATTCTCGGTCCAATTCCGAAAGGAAAATATGTGGAAATGTTAATTTTGCTTTTGTTTTCGTCTGAAAAACGTTCCGGATCGAATTTGTCAGGATCTTCATAATATTCTGGATCGTTGTGAATTGCGTGTATAGGAAACCATATCCTGGTCCCAGGCTCTAAAGTTAAAGCTGTTTCGTTTGCTGTTTGTGGCTCTATTACATAGGTTTTGGTGCATAATCTATCTGTTACAGTGAAATTCAACCATTTCCGCATTGTTTCTGCACAAAAAAATTATATACTTAACATTTATGAGTTAATCATCTGGTTAATTGTACCTGAAATAACCATATCCATGTATTTCATTTTGTTCAACGCTTCATATGTTAGATTTCCTCCGACTTTTTTGAAAGTGTCTCGAATTTCCTTTCTTAATTTGTCTTGAATATCAGGTTGTACAGCTAATTCGTACGACATGAATGCTGCTAGCGTTGTATTCGAATCGAAGCCTGCTATTATAAATACCACAGCGTGTGCTGCTATATCTACATTTGTTATTTCATTTTGCACACTTTTACCTGCACAAATCAATATTTAATTTTCGGGTGTAATAGCTAGGTAAAGTGTAAATAAATACCTGTGTTCACATCTGGTGTATCATTTTCATTTTTAGTTTTTATACCTTTTCTTGCTTGTAATAATAAATTAACGAGGTCAGGTCGTATAATACCTTGTTCTTCTCTTTCTTTAACGTTGTTATTGATAATATTCATGAAGAATAGTCGGTCTTTTTTGCTGAAAAATTGAATATCCAAAGCCTGCAACATCGGTAGTTGTTAAAATAGGATTCAGTAGTTTTGTAGTAACTTGCCTCGCATAATTTGGGACATAATATTTGGCCAATCATTACTAAATTAGCTCTCAAGGAGCTGATAGAAGAAACTCCTTTTCCAGTCTTATAAAACTCGTTGTTGGGATCTTGCAGGGAGTTTGTTTTGAAACCGAAAGCGGTTGAAGATATTACATCGGCCGAGAATCGAGATAGAAAAGATTCGGCTTCGAATTCAAATAGACCGTGTTTTTTGGTTACATATTCGACGAAAGTTTGTGCTGCTTCACTAATAAGTACAAACATGGCTTTCATTTTGCTGTTGGTGAAGTTGCTGCTGACTATTGGTCTCATATCGTGCCATTTTTGCCCTGCAAAATGTTCGATGAGAAGTTAAAAATTTGGTTTTTGAAGAAGCAATTTACCGCTTAAAGATATTAGATTTTTACTCCACAATGGATCGTTAACCGGCACCATTTGTACGTGATCGGCGAAATGTTGACAATCTCTAATTGCTATTTGTTTTATTAAATCGGGATCTCTTATTACTAGGATAGGCGCTGTAAATAAGTAAATTCCGAAATATCTAAAAAAGATTAATGCAGTTAAGTTATAAATTCGATTTAATTAAGCACTTACCTTTCGTTTTTGTGCTCACGATAGCATTCTTGAAGAAAATCCGTCAAGGATTTGAGCCTGCATATAAAACTGAAGCTGTTACCGAATAACCAGTAAGGTGTTGTTTGTTTCACGCCTTTTTTCTTCCAATATTTCATAGGTTTTACTGTATAGTAGTAAATAATAAATACTAATATAATTCCAAAGAGTATTTGCAGCATTTTGTATAGCCCTACAAAAATATTTCAACTTAAATTAGCAGAGATTTTACCTGATTTTGTTGGACCTTACACAATATCTACTTCTTACAAATAATTATGTTGTTTGTCCTCGAGTGTCGCTTTATATGGAACAAGCATACTTTATATTATGTTGTCGAATACAAATTGGTTTGATTAGGGAAATACATGAACATCCAGCATACTTTGTGTATATTTTTTTTTGTTTTAAGTACTGAGTCCAAACGTTTTTTATATAAATAACATGAACTATTACTTTGCTATTTTTTAAATTTTTTTTAAATGCGTTTTAAATTATGATTTATCAAAAACGTGACAATAAAATTACGGGTGTTACATAAATCTAATAGCAAATAATCGCGATGATTTAAGCGGTAGATCGGAATTGCACTTTGTAATAAATTTTACATGAGACGAGCGGTAAAATTTTTATATATTGTACTTGTATGTACAGTATGTGTGTATAGCAATTTGGAGGACAATCAAAGCTTCTTAAAAATGCTCCAAAAAAATACTTTTTAAAGCTTTAGCAAAGCTGCACCGATATCCCTGTAAACAATCCAATAATCCCCTTTTCTCCGCAGGAAAAATTCCAATCATGTTACGATCGACCTACTGTCTCCTGAGCGGCCTCACCGACCGCGACTTGACCGAATTGAACGAATGCCCGCTGGACCCCGGCGGCTATTTCATCATCAACGGCTCCGAGAAAGTGCTGATAGCCCAGGAGAAAATGGCCACCAACACCGTCTACGTGTTCTCGATGAAAGACGGCAAGTACGCCTACAAATCCGAGATCCGGTCCTGTCTGGAGCACAGCTCGAGGCCCACCTCCACGTTGTGGGTGAACATGATGGCCAGAGGCGGCCAGGCCATCAAGAAGGCGGCCATCGGCCAGCGCATCATCGCCATTCTGCCGTACATCAAGCAGGAGATACCCATCATGATCGTGTTCAGGGCGTTGGGTTTCGTCGCCGACAGGGACATACTCGAGCACATCATCTACGACTTCGACGATCCCGAGCTGATGGAGATGGTGAAGCCGTCGTTGGACGAGGCGTTCGTCATACAGGAGCAGAACATCGCTTTGAATTTCATCGGCGCCAGAGGCGCCAGGCCGGGCGTGACCAAAGAGAAGCGAGTCAAATACGCCAGGGAGATTTTGCAGAAGGAGATGTTGCCGCACGTCGGCGTTTCGGATTTCTGCGAAACTAAAAAGGCTTATTTCTTAGGGTTGGTATATCGGTATATATTAATATTATCGATTTGAATTTTATTCTCGTTTTTAGTTACATGGTACATAGGCTTCTACTGGCTGCTTTAGGTCGTCGTGAACTCGACGATCGCGATCACTACGGCAACAAAAGATTAGACTTAGCAGGACCGCTGTTGGCCTTCCTATTTAGAGGGTAATCATCATTTACACCACTCGCATTTACACCCCTTAATCAACTGTACATCATATTTGTAGGTTGTTCAAAAATCTAATGAAAGAAGTTAGGATGTACGCGCAAAAGTTCATCGACCGAGGCAAAGACTTCAACCTCGACCTGGCCATCAAAACGAAGCTGATAACGGACGGTTTGCGGTACTCCTTGGCGACGGGCAATTGGGGCGACCAGAAGAAGGCCCATCAGGCTAGGGCGGGCGTGTCGCAGGTGCTGAATCGATTGACTTTCGCCTCGACGTTGTCGCATCTGAGGCGCGTCAACTCGCCGATCGGTCGCGACGGGAAGCTGGCGAAGCCGCGTCAGCTGCACAACACCCTGTGGGGCATGATCTGTCCGGCGGAGACGCCGGAAGGGGCGGCCGTCGGGCTGGTGAAGAACCTGGCGCTCATGGCGTACATTTCGGTCGGGTCGCAGCCCTCGCCCATATTGGAGTTCTTGGAGGAGTGGTCGATGGAGAATTTGGAGGAAATCGCGCCGTCGGCGATAGCTAACGCTACTAAGATATTCGTCAACGGTTGTTGGGTGAGTACTACGATTCTTAAAAGTATTGTTGGTGTAAAACAAATATCAATTATTACAATGAATTATACAGAGTATTCAATATTTTTTAAAAGGTTGGTATCCATCGCGATCCGGAACAACTCATGGCGACTCTACGTAAACTCCGAAGGCAGATGGATATTATCGTATCGGAGGTATCGATGATACGGGATATTCGCGATAGGGAAATTAGAATTTATACTGACGCTGGCAGGATTTGCAGGCCGTTGTTGATCGTGGAGAACGGGCAACTTTTGCTCAAAAAGCGACACATCGATATGTTGAAGGAACGAGAGTACAACAACTACGGTTGGCAAGTACTGGTAGCTTCTGGTGAGTACTTATTACCGCTAAACTATCTACTAAACTACTAATTTTTATTAATCTTACAGGCGTGGTGGAATACATAGATACGTTAGAAGAAGAAACCGTCATGATTGCGATGAATCCCGAAGATTTACGCCAAGACAAGGAGTACGCTTACTGTACCACTTACACCCATTGTGAGATTCACCCGGCTATGATATTGGGCGTTTGCGCCTCCATCATTCCTTTCCCCGATCACAACCAAAGTCCCAGGAACACCTACCAAAGCGCTATGGGCAAACAAGCCATGGGCGTATACATAACGAACTTCCACGTACGGATGGACACGTTAGCGCACGTCCTTTATTATCCCCACAAGCCTCTGGTCACCACGAGATCCATGGAGTACCTGAGGTTCAGAGAACTACCGGCGGGGATTAATAGTATAGTAGCCATTGCTTGTTACACCGGCTACAACCAGGAAGATTCCGTCATTTTGAACGCTTCGGCAGTGGAAAGGGGCTTCTTCAGGTACGACAACGGCTAATTATTGTGAGTAATTGTTATTGTTAAATGAACGTTTGTAGGTCCGTGTTTTACCGTTCGTACAAAGACGCCGAATCCAAAAGAATCGGAGATCAAGAAGAACAATTCGAGAAGCCAACGCGTCAGACTTGCCAGGGCATGAGGAACGCCCTCTACGATAAATTGGACGACGACGGTATCATTTCACCGGGAATAAGAGTATCCGGAGATGACGTAGTAATCGGTAAAACGATGACTCTACCGGAAAACGACGATGACGTAAGGAATTATAAATGTCTACAGCGGGATATAAGTATTTGAATTAACGATTTTCAGTTGGACGGTACTACGAAACGTTTCACGAAAAGAGACGCTTCGACGTTCCTTCGTAACAGCGAAACAGGAGTGGTCGATCAAGTGATGTTGACTCTAAACTCCGAGGGTTACAAGTTTTGTAAAATAAGAGTACGCTCCGTGAGAATACCGCAAATCGGCGACAAATTCGCCTCCCGGCACGGACAGAAAGGTACCTGTGGAATCCAGTACCGTCAAGAAGTAAGTACCGTTCACCTGGCTGCATAACGCACCGGCAACAGGCCGATAAATAATTAAATTTAATCGTCTTTTCAGGACATGCCGTTCAGTTGCGAGGGCATCACGCCGGACATCATAATCAACCCGCACGCCATTCCCTCCCGTATGACGATCGGTCACTTGATCGAATGCATTCAGGGCAAGGTGTCGTCGAACAAAGGGGAAATCGGCGACGCGACGCCCTTCAACGACGCCGTCAACGTGCAGAAAATTTCGACGCTGCTGCAGGAGTACGGCTACCAGCTGAGAGGCAACGAGGTGATGTACAACGGTCACACGGGCCGCAAGATAAACGCGCAGATCTTCTTGGGGCCGACGTACTACCAGAGGCTGAAGCACATGGTGGACGATAAGATCCATTCGAGGGCGAGGGGCCCGTTGCAGATACTCGTGAGACAGCCGATGGAGGGTCGCGCCAGGGACGGCGGTCTGCGTTTCGGGGAGATGGAGAGAGATTGTCAGATTTCGCACGGGGCGGCTCAGTTCCTGAGGGAGAGGCTGTTCGAGGTGTCCGATCCGTACAGGATTCACGTGTGTAATTTCTGCGGGCTCATCGCCATCGCTAATTTGAGGAATAATACGTTCGAATGCAAAGGTTGTAAGAATAAGACGCAAATATCTCAGGTTAGGTTGCCCTATGCGGCGAAGTTGTTGTTCCAAGAGCTGATGGCGATGAATATTGCGCCCAGACTTATGGTTTTATAAATTAGGTTTAATCATTTTTATGATGTAGTATGTAAGTGTGATAGAGTACTAATTTTTCTACCTTTAAATAAGGCAATTATTGCGAGTTCTGGGCGGGAGGAAAAAGTGTTAAAAAAAATCATTTTCCCAAATTTATTAAACAGACACAACACAAACGAAGCAAACTCCTGAAACCTTACGTTTTTAAAGATATAGTTAACTAATAACTTCGAATACTATAATTGTATGAAAAGTTATAAACACATATTGATTACATCGCAGATTATATTTACATTCATATTGTTGCCTCTTTGTAAATATTAAAGCTAGCAAATTTTTAGGATCGTTTTCTTCTCGACCTAGAGAAATCACAAAAGTTTTCTCTTCACATATTTTTTACGGCGGTTTTCTTAGGATAAACATTAACGTACATTGGATTATTTTCGTTCCAAAATAAAGTTAATTCGTAGTATTTTTGATATCAATATTTCCCTAATAAACGACCGTTCTTTTTATTATTTCCTTTACTTTTTATGAATACATTGAGAATAAAATATTTGGGTGTATTAAATTGGTATAATTTTATTTGAGTAAATTGAAATGTATTATACATAAAAAGTAAAAGACATTTACGTATAATTTCTACAATATGTAGACATTCCCATGAAGTACACATAACATCGTTATTAGTATATTATTAAAAATATAAATAATGTAATAAATATGTTTATATTGTACTGAGTTACGTAGAGATAACAAAATTATAAAAAAAATAAGTTGTGCTCTAGTTTTACAATACTACTTGTCTTTTATATATTAATCTCTTAAAACGCTACTAGTTATATACAATATACTGAATTGGTTTACATGAAACTTATTTATTTACAAAAAAACATGCAAAACAGCATCAGCAATGAAATAAGAATAAACTCTTATTAAAAAATTGATATGTACTTAAAAAATATAATATATTCAAATCAAAGAGGGACCAAATTATTGCTGTATAATAAACAGAAGTACTAAAATTCAAATAAACAATCTCGTATAATTTGAATTTTTTATATATTCGAAGAGTATTCCTGTTTCACTGCTATTAAAAATGTGTTACTTTTATTATAGTTTTACATAAAACATCAGTTCTAAATGTTATTTTTGTCTACTACACTAGTATGATTACAAAAATAATTCAGTCAATTTAATGTAAAAAAATGGACGTTACTAAGTTATTTCTATTTAATTAACATTAATTGAACTTCGTCGAAAGGAAAATTAGAATTGTACTAGTCAAAAATGAATCGATGACTCCATAATAATCAACGAAGTGACATTTTCGAAATAATAAATCGTATTTATAAAAATAATATACCAGAAGGGCCTTTCGGCCATACAAAGCTGATTAAAGCATATTATTAATCCTAAAATAAATGCAACGCAAAATATAAAATGATATGACGGTAAAAGAACAGAATTTAACAGATTTTAGGGGCCGATCTGTCGTTCGTCGTTTTCGCCCGTCTCAAAGTCGCCCCCTTTTTAATTTGATCCATTAACGATTCGTGACACACCTTGGGATCAGGCTGAAAAAAAATAGTTCACAAACATTATTAATTTATTTATTTTTCAAGTAATATGCTACTTTTTTATTTAATTTTGTAACGAAAAACTGTTTTTTAGTGTGCTATACAAACCCACTTTTTGTTTATTAAAAGCAATCAAGCCATATAATACCCGTATATGCAATAAAGCGAATAAAATTCAGTTAGTAGATAAAAAATTAGGCAAAACAAGAGCGATAATGTTCGTTTAATTGATCAATTTTTTTGTTTTAGTTTAGTAAACACGTATTGGATCTGTAATAAATCATACTCGTATATCTGAGGAAAGATGTCATAACTAGATTCGTAGAATTTAATGAATTTTACAGGAAAATAGTTTGGAATACTGATAAATTGATCCAAATTTCTTCAGTAAGTTTTCAGTAAACTTTTACTGCTATATTCTTGTAGATCTTAACAGAGGAGCCTGTATAATTCAATTTTGATAAAAAAAATCACAGGTCATCTATGCTATAGCATCTATCCACAGATTGTATTCGAATTTAAAACGAAAAATATCACCCTTTCAAAATTAACCCCAAGTTTAAAAAAAAATGTTAACATTATTAATCATACGAAAAATTCACAAATATCCTTCCTCACCTAAAAATGTTCATTGTAATCGAACGGTTGCTGCAAAATCAATCAATAAATCATTCCTTTTTCTCAAATAAAATCGTTATCGTGTATCAAATTCAAATAACAACTATCGAAAAATATTCCAACGGAATCCAAAACACCTACACATTAACATATTTTTCGTGACAACGATAACATAATCCTTTTCAAATCGCTTCGGCATTTCGAAAATGTCCACGCGTTACATCAATCGACCTCGACTCACCTGCACTTTGCTGTTGATTATCTGCCTGATGATGTTAGTCTTGAGCTGCGCCGGCTGGGGACTGACGGCGCTCTGTTGAGACAGCTTCGCGTTCAACGAATCCAGGAAACTCTGACCCGGCCCGGCCTTCTGGCCGGGATACTTGTTGATCGGGGAATTCGTAGGCGTCCGGTCCTCGGACAACCTTCGAGTGGACTTCGGGCTCAGATTCGGCGTCAGTTTCGCGCTGAGCGATGCTATGAAATTCGAACTGACGCCTCCGGGACCTGAAACCAACCGCGCGTTAGTTACATTCTATTATTATGAGGCGTCTATTACCGTCTGATTTCCGATCGGCGCTTTGGGATCTCAAATTGTGGATGCGCCTCATGGCGTTCGGGCTGCCGCCGATGACCTGCACGGGCTGGGCGTATACCACGCCGCCCGATTGGGAGACGTAGGACACCTTCGATTGGCTCTGGAACGTGCTGAACGTCTGGCCTTGGCTGTATTGCGCGTGGGACGTTTGGTACTGGCTCGGCTGCTGGTGGACATTCTGGGACGTTTGGTAGAGGTTCTGGGAAGACGTCGACATGCGCCTGACGGTGTTGGGACTGGCCGGCGTGTGGTTGAGCTCCGTTAGGGCTTTCACCGTTTCCGCGACTTTGATACCTGCGGTAATTGCGTTAGTTCGGATTGTAGTTTGTAGGAGATCGGTCTTACTTTTGCCCGCCACTTTCGCTTGTTCGTTCGGTTCGAGGAGAAACGCGGGAGGAGGCGGCAGGTTCTCCAAGCTACCTATGGAAGACGTGTTCGTTATGGACGACGTCCGCCTGATGGGAGGCGGAGGTTTCTGGTTTTGTACCGATCCTCGTCTCAGCACGCGTAACGTACCCGCGCCCATATCTACAACACAAAAATATCCACTATTTAGTACCTAAAAGATTGTTTTGTAAGTAACTCACTTTCGAAATGATGCACATCGTCAGTCGTAAAAGTAGTTTGGCTCCCGTAACCGCTGGAAGATTCCAAGGAACTCTCGCTGGTGCTGCTCTCTTTTTCGCCCTCGTTCGGCTGAAATTACAAAACTTATCGAAATAAATCCCATTAAGAGAATAGCGCGTAGTGTACCTTATCGGGCGGGCTGGTGAACTCCACCGGCGGAGGCGGGAACGTCTTCTCCTGGTTTTTGCCGGCCGCCGCCGCCGCCGCCGCCATGAGCTCGTGCATGTTGGCGTACGTCGGCTGCGGCAGGCTCTTGGACAAGTGGCTGGGCAATGGGGAGGGTTTCTTCAGAACGGACAATTCCGCCCCGGGCGGCAGCACCCTCACGCCCTGGGCGATCGTTTTGGCCGGCACGTTCGGACCGCTCGGCCTTTCCAGAGACGAGCATCTCTGTTCGAATTGAAAAAGCAAATTAGAAAAACAGGAAACAGAGCTAGTATCACATATCACATAGCCATATCACATCCCCAACCAGTCATTCATGAATTCAAAAATTTTTGACGCCAACATTTAAAATTTATCTGTCACTTATCTGTCAATTATCTGTCACTAGTGTCACTTATTAAGTAAACGAGACAGAAAAAGTAAGATAGAAAAATAGAGGTAACATGGCGGAACCAATCAGGCGCCTTTTGAGCGTAGGCAAATATATTTTAAATAAGAATTTGATTTTGTTAGGAATTGTTATGGTAAAAATATAACATTATTTAATATTACGTATGAAAATTTTGTTGATATTTTATGAAAAAACAGTGACAACTGCTTCCCGGTTTCCCGCTATTTGCTATTATTCGCTGGGAAAATGAGATAGATACTGTTCTCTGATCTCTCTTTAGTCGAAATCGCCTACAAATTTTACTACGAGCGGTAGTACACCGTTGCCAAATTTGCACGAGTTTATCTATTTCAAGAATTTTGAAATACATAATTTGTCATATTTTGAAACTATATTTCTTAAACTTGCAGTTTATATTGTTTATATTGTATGTTGTAGGTGTATTTAGAAGAATGTAAATAACATTAGTTTTTAGTATTAAGACATAATAAGGATATTAAATAATAAGAATATAAAAAATAGAAGGAAATAGTAAAAAATAGCGCGGCAACATGCAATGTTTTACCTCTATTTTTTGTTAGACTGTGACCTATTGTTGGTACCCTAAAATTTTGCAAACAGTTTCATCTGTTTTAGTTATACAGATTACTTCAATTCAGACCGCAACATGGTCGTTTCTACGAGTTGAACAAAGAAACATTAATATAATAACAGTTGTCAGAGTGAGGAGTTGCAATGACACAAATGTAACTCTTTCTTTTTCCTTCATAAACCTCTAACAGAAGTTGTCTCTATCGCACCTAAATCACCTATGTTACTATCTGGAATGAAGCACAGTGCATATCTATGGCTAGTATTCAATCGCGAAGTCTTACCACGGGCAAAGGAGGCTTCGACAGCGACTTGATCGAAGAGGCGGGACTTTTCGGAGGCACAATATTCGATGTGGCGTCGGTGGGCGTCGAAATGACCGGGCTGGCCGGCTGCGAGATGGTCTGTTCGGGCGCTTGGAATGTGTACACGGTCAGCGGGGGCCTTTGGTGGCCCTTCTCGTAAGCTGCAACCGGAGAAATCCGTGAGGAAAACTACGAATTCGGATCGCGCATTCCCTACCTGACGATATCGTGTGCGGCCGGTCGTTTATAATGGCCGACGCGGCCCGTTCGAACTGGATGGTTTCCTGGAGATTCGGCCAGGTGGCCGTCGTCGTCGGAGCGCCGCCGGCTGGAAACGGCGTACAAGGCGTGCTCGAACTGCTGCTGTTGTTGCTGTGCTCCGACATATTCGATACCTAAAACGTTGCATAATGAGCGGAATCGAAAGCGGGATAGTTCTGTTCGAAGTACAAGTGTAGAAACAAACATTAACTCTGGTTTAGAGTGCAAATCTTACCTGCACGGAGCTAAAAGCCGAAGGTGGTCTCGGAAAAAGCGTGTCTTGCGACATAAAACCGGAATCTTGACTCGATACAGATCTAACACGCATTGTACCACTACGACCTACAGGCTGTTCGATAACAAAACAGAAAAAAAATAAAAAAAAAATCATAAAAACAACCCTACCCCAAAAACCAAAGTGCTAATACTAACTTCATCGCAAACATGCACGAATTGTACCTAAAGCGACTCACTTGAGAGAGGGATCTCTGCCAGGGATGGCTGGGCGAGTGGTGGCTCTTCGAGCTGCCCGACGACGAGCTGTTGATCGAGCTGATCGAGCACATCGAGGACTTCCTCGAGCCGAGGCTCGACGGCGACGACGGCGGCGTCTGGAACGACCAGCCGCCGTCCGAGCTCTTCAAATCGGCGATGACCTGCTCGGAAGCGGGCGGCAGCGTCTTCGGATCGCTGGTGTGCTTCTCCAGCTGCTGCACGGCTTCCTGCAGATGGCCCATCTCCGACAGCATGGCTATTTCTTCGTCCTGCGATATCAACGACAATGATTGTACCACAATGTTGTGGTGAATTTCAACTTAAACATGAAAGAAGTCTAACGGTGTAGATAACATGACCATTAGATGTTCCTTTAATCCTTGTGAATCTCAATGATTACTTATGACAGCACATAAATATCTCAACCCTAGTTTTATAGCGAAAAAAAAGCGGCGAATATAAAATATCAATAATTTCGGGACACCCCGTAGAAGATATAAGGCATAATGATGGTTAATCGCAAGCGAGAAGAACTAGAATTGGTGTATTGATGATAAATGTGTTAGATATTTATAATGAACTTACAACGACGGGTTTGAGTAATCCGACGAAGGAGCAAAATCTGGTCCTTTCTTCGACCAAGGCGGCCCTTAGAGCGTGCTTTTCGGTCTCTTCGAGGAGCTGTCGTCGCTCGGTGACGTCCTGTAAGCCGCATTCGAATCTCTTCTGCACGTCCCCGCCGACGCCTTTCTTCAGTTTCTTCTGCAGCCGTAGCGTATCGGTCGATCGTTTCTTCAGTTCCGCTCTGGCTCGTTTGTAATCTAGAAATAGAAACGTAGGTAGAAACGCGTCGATGGAAAAACGGCGATTTTATCGTCACCTCTGGCGTGATCTTTGTCTAAATTAATGACGATTTTCTTCCATTCCTCCAGTTTCTCTTGGAGCGGCAAGATGAGACATTCCATGATCACGCTGGAAAAAAATTTGAATTCGTGTAAGTAATTCGAGGAGGTTCGACAGAACGTTAATTTGCGAGGAACAGCTGCGGATGATAAAAGTGCTGTAAACCCGTTTTAGCACAATGCAAGTGGAATCATTTGAATTTAGTCACAAGCGCAAATAATGTGCAGTTTTACAAGTAGGTTATTGATGTTAAACGATATTTAACGTTTGATAAGCAGCCGTTTTTCTGTCGGTACCGTTAACAAAACAAATTTTATTTCATACATTACTACTCCTTAACGTACGAAAATTTCATCACTTGTTAGTCATTATTTTTACTCGGATAAATTGAAAAAATTAAAAAATCTTACCAAGTAAAATTTTTCAGTCTATTTTCAACAGCTTTATGTCTCAAGCAAATCCTCGTGAGAGCAGTTCCAATATCTCTGGTCGCTCCTGCAAAATAAATAATCGAATTATAATAGAAGCAAGAGTAACGCCACTGAACCAACAGAAAGTTTTAAGAGTACTTGAAATCAAACCCACATTGCCCATTTCCTATAAATATCGAGTTGTGGGCATACACGCGTATAGCAAATTTTAATAAACCCGCTTTCGTTGAATTATTTCCTCAGACATCGATCGTACTTACTCACAGGTTTAGAAATTAATGAAGGGAAAATGATGGCGTTGACGTAGAATTGTGGGCGGAAAATCAACGGGCTGTTTAACAAGAAGAATCCCGGCCAATTACTTAATTAAATAAAACTCTTGTCGTAAAACTCGTGTCAATTGAATATAATATATACCACTTAGACTAGAAGTAATAGAAAACCATTTCTATAAGACTACTTTACTAGTGAATAGCTTCAGAGTTTTTTATCAGTGCATCTTTAGATTGATTCTTGTGGATAAAAAAGTTAAAGACTATCTCAAGATGACTCTTCAAATACATCTTTAACGCTAAAATAGAGCTCCATTATTTTACAAATGGAATGATAATATGCTTGTAAATAGAAAATGTTGGTGTAATTTCTAATGTAATTTATTATAATAGTGCGCTATTTTTTCGCAAATTATCGTTTTCAACCGGACGGTGTCAATGATATGGATATCGGATCCGTTGAACAAACCACCTCTACGATTAAGTTTCATACTTTGTTATGGGTTATGCGGCGAGGAATTTTTCAAATGTCGGTCAAGGCAAAAAGTGCAATTTTTAACGAAGATACACGTCTAATCTAGAGCATTAAAGGCCGTAAATCTAGTCAAGCTTCTTCTTTTTGTTTAGTAATGCTCTTCACCTTTGCAATATGGCCAGCTGCTCCTTTGCTTTGTGGATTGTATAAGGGGTCTTGCTAATCTATTGTTAATTCCTCTTGTACAAGAGTCTTCTACCTTCATGGGTAGTTTTCAAAAGATCTGATGCGTTTTGACCTTGTTTTTATCTAATAATGAGATTTTTACTTACTTTCATGTGACGCATTCATGTCGATTTAAATCAATAAACCTACTTTATCTCTTTAAATTTTAGCAGTATTGGTTCCTACTGTTTCTAACTGTCTCAGTTTTTAAACGTTATTTCTTCAATTTAGACTATTAGAAATCGTCTAAATTAGCTTATAAATATCAATACCGACTCGTAAAATAACTGTATTTTTACGGCGATACATTCAAACATCTTGAGTTAGTGTTAATTAGTAGGTAATTAAAATCTAATGTTTATTAAGAATATACACACACATTTCATCTTATAACAAATAAAGGAGAATTGTATGAGCTTCTTATTTACATATTATCTTTACTACATATACAATTCATGAAATAGTCTAACTGTGTTAATTAAATGAAATGCATGATTTTTTTGTACATCGAATTAAGCGCGATTAAATTTTCGAATTTTCTGCACGATTTTCTGTAACAAACCAATCAAAATCTGTTCGATATCGAGCAGAAATTCGTCCTACTTAATTCCGTACCGAAATGATCGATTACATTCATGAGAACAATAAATGAAACGAAACCACAACGATATGGGAGCATGTTTCGACTCGTAACCCGTGTCTATAGCATCATATAATCTTAAAATATACGCTCTAGGGACTTTTTTCGAAACAATACTAATAATAGCGTTTCCGGTTATCGACTATTTCCTTAAGGTGTTTTTATTACAGTCTACATTTTCGTCGCCTTCGCAATATTAACAATACAAACGTATATTGTCTCGACACAATAGTATGAAACGCTTCGTGATGATGGGATGATGGCTTAATTGTAAACATTTAAATGTTTCGCAAGTACGAAATTATACTGATGGTATATTAGGCGGGATAGTTTGCGAGACATTTTGCATCGGAAGCGTCCTGTATATGTGGTTCAAGGTGTTTTCTCGTTTTGGGGTAAACATCTGGCGAACTATTATGCATTATGTTCCTTTTGATATTTGGCATACTCACTAGCTGGAGATAAATTGCTAACCGGAAGAAAAATACAGCTGTTCGACCGAAAATTTTTAAATTGTGGTGTGTCAACAAAACAAAAACATGTGTAGAAAACGTGCAATTTGCATTTGGATTAATTTGAGGCGGTTTGGATATTTGTGGAGGCTAAAAATGGTGGAGGCGCGCTTAACCTCCACCAATTCCTTTAATATTTTATAATCGGGTGCAAACTCAGGAGAGGTCCTGCTAGTAAATTCTACGAAACTCTTTGTATCCTTAGTATTCTATATTGAAAATTTATTTATACTGCAGTATTACCAGTATTATAGTAGAGGAATAATGCATGGCTATAGGAATAATTCGTTGCACTCTACCGATCATCGTACTTCCTGCATAAGAATCTTCATAATTTCGTTCCGTGCGGGCAATTAACCCGCCGGTACGCGGATTGCGAAAAAAAACCCGCAATCGCACCTTCCGACTTTTGTTTTTCGCGGCGTTTAGACAGACGCGGATTCGTAAAAAAAGAAAACCGACAAATCGCAACAACTATTATCGTTCTCCGGCGATATTCGCCGTGCTCGTGCCGTGGATGCACAAACCTCATCGATTGACCCACATACTCTTCTAGTGTGCGGTTGTGGAGCGTCGAAAATCGGCAAAAAGGCCGTTGCACCCTGTGTTTCGGCACGAACTCGTTCGCTATTCACGGTATATTTGCGTTTTTCGAATTGCCTTTATGTACAAAAAAATGTTGCTGGAACAAACAGCGGGGGTTTCAAACACGTGAGATGGTCGTAGAAAGGAAAAATAACGACTTTATTCTATGCATAAATTATTCTCTTGGATAGAAGATTTGTACTAGTGAAAGAGGTCGACTGACTCTGACTCTGTGGTTTAGATAATTGACTCAATTGGGCTCATAAAAAACGCTAGATAATTGGCTCTCTTTGATAAGTAATTGACTCCCGAAGTTTCTTTAAAAACTCCTATAAATACAACTCATTGCTATGGATATAGGATGGATGTAAGTATAGATAATTGACTCTTTTAGATAGATAATTAACTCTCTTAAGTAAATAATACTCTCCTGAGTTCCTTTAGATACTCCCACGAATAAAACCGTTTCAGTACACACCAAAACTCAACAAGTCAATCACTTTCATAGATTATAATTTACAATTATTCCTTTTATGAAATTATAATGATTGACATTATAGCGAAATTTCCACTATATCTGTGAACTTAAATATTGTGTTCGGTCAACGGAATAAATCTAAATAGGATGATGAAAATCAGTCAATTCGAGTAGCAATAAATGCGAATAAAGCGAATGGGACATCGCATGTCAATTTAATATACGGTTTTTTATTAGAACGCCGATATAAAAGAGGCTCTATTTATAACGTTTTGTCATATAAGGTCAAACAGTCGGTCTTTCTACAATACGGCTGTTAATTAATATTTTAAATGCTATTTATAGGAGCTATCGCAAAACTACATTATTGAAATACTACCTATTAAATGCGAATTCGTTCCGATGTGATAAATAAATCACTTCGAGTATCTTAAATCAATTAAAGAAGACAGGTCGGAAATACGTAATATTACTTAGATATTCGTAACGCCGTAATTGGAGACATAAACTTTCGAAGAAGCCTCCAAAAATAAACCCAGTACGTTTGATTTGGTATTATTTTGCGATAAGGCGCGTTAAATCGCCGAGCTATTCGAAATATTAACGATGCGAAGGTTTCAATCGTCTGTAAATTTATTAATTCGCTCGCTGACCCGCGAATAATTCAGCAGCGCGTCAGAATGTAGGTTCTATTGTATGCCCAGGAATCGCGTTTTGATGAATTTTATGATTAATAAAAGGTGTCATTCGTTTTGTTAATGAATTAACGCGATATCATTCCACTTAAACACACCACATTCCGTGGTCACTTATTCGAATATTTCGATATGAATAGGTGTTCAGTGTATAGTCCGTTCGCAAACTATTTAGAATTATAGATATTTGATTTGAATAAAATTGAAAGTTAGGAAAATAAATTGTAGGATTTCAACTCTAATCTTGTTTTAAGTCAATACATTTGGTTCACTTTATACTCATATAATTTTATTATTCTGGGCATTTTGCGAATGAGGTATACGTGTATGTAGGTAGTACAATGAGCTTTTCATCTAATTAACTAGCAAATTACGTGTTTACATTTTTGATAATCGCGATAACCTCCATATCATTATCTTATTGTTTACGGAATATTTTTAACAAGAAATACAATTCGAAAATTCGATTCAATTAATATCGTAGAACTGATCATCCTGAATTGATAAAAAAGTTTAAATTTATATAGTTATCTATGCAAGATGTTCCAGATTTCATCAGATTTTCTTGTACTTCTATATGCTGTTCCTGTTGTAATGTTTACCATGAGGTAATATTCTTATGAGGTTATAAAATTCAATACAAGTAATTCGATATCATTATTTAGAATTTCGACGCTTCTCGGTGATTAATAATAAGCAATTTCCCGTTCAAATCGAAATAAATCACTGTTACATGCGACCGCAACTAACTCTGATAAATATTGCAAATTGCGGTCTCATCGCTGCTAAATGTTTGATTTGATAATCTAGGCCTCGCCATTACAAATCTGTTTCTGTTTTACCTACTAATAGATAACGATGTCTGTGGCGTCGATAAATAAAAAAAAATGTCATTTTACAAGCAAATTTAATACTATTGTTTCTAGATAAAATACTATCGATTTGGTTGTTATTCTATTTGAAGCAATAATATTTACAACGTATGCACGTGGAAGAGATGCATGATGAATGAAATGGGGCTAAAAGTAAGTTCTAAAAAGGTTAGATAAGGGCTCGTTAATAAATTATTAATCGATTATTAAGTAGTAATTCACAGGTATTTTTATTTCCTTGGAAATTAATAATCGATGAAATGGAAATTAAATTATTATCTATCGCTATTAATGGCATTCATTTTAAGATAAAAATCGACGTTTCTCATCGAAAAAGCCCAAGGCTCATCGATTAAAAAACGAAATCACTAGTTTTTTTTGTAACATTTCACTATAAATAAACGCCTAAATAAACCATTGCATAATAATTTAGATAATACTGTATTATATAATCCAATAAAGACGGGTTATTTAAATCAATATCTGTATAAGCCCACTTACTCTTTAATAAGGCTGTGAACTACATACTTTAATTTATTATTCAATGTAACGATTGCCGAAAAATAGAAATTGATTTTAATTAGATTACATACCTCTGGTGTTCGTGGCCGAATCCGCAATTTTTTGAAAGGAATCCAGATAAGCCGTAACGGCCAAAATAGTGGCTCTGCAATAAGGGAAAAAATCGATGAATTATTTATCGCAATTCACGGACGATTGTTACATATTCCTCGAAAAACAGATAAAATTTGAATACTTACTTGAGCGAAGAATGAAGTTTCGTAGCTTTGGTAATAAAATCCTCCCACAAAGGCATGCCATTCTGAAACAATATTATGTTCGTTGTTTAAAAAGTCTACTCGAAATGTAAAATATGAAAACGTGACTGTTGTATCGAAATTTCCAAGGTTTAATCGAGAAAGCTTTCCAACGAAACGACCAACTGCTCGTTTTTCGGGCATTTTCTCAAAAATTCTCGCTTCATACCACAAAAAATTTGATACCCAGTAGGCATTCATAACGTAAATAAACGGTTTTTGTTAAGAGGATAGAATAAAATCGAGATTGGAGAGATTGGATTGCAACTGTAGCGACAAGATACACTCGAGAGAGCACCATGATATTCTTACCGAGTGTTTTTTCAAGGTCCATGCACTTTAATTTCTAATTCGCTAAAATAACTATAGCGTGCCTGATTTGAATAAAAAGTAGCGTAAGAAGCGCAAAACGAATCCACCGCTCACTAATTCAATTTATTTTTATTCTCTGGGTCACCTTTTGCCTCTCCGGTGCACCGGAATTCCCCACCAAAATATTAAGCTCTTTTTTCCGCCAAGGAATTAAGGATTAATTAATCCCACACCGAAAAATAACAATATCTAAATGAATACCTGAAAATTTGTAAAATGGATACAAATAACGCTTATTTTGTAACAGTCGTTACTGCACCTCTATACCAAAAAATTAATTCCCACCTCTATTAAACTTCTGTCAAACGAAATGTCATTAATGTCAATTTTGATAGTTTCTGTTTACATATCATCCAACGTATCTTAAAGCTTAAAGTCCCACTTATTTTTTATGCGAAATTTCGGCAGTGGATTAAAATACAGGAAAATCCAGTGCGAAGTTCCGACGCTCTTCATCATTCTTTTAACTTTAACAAATTCATTAGGGTTACCAACCCCGGTAACGTGATTGTACTCGTTCCAGCGAGGCAGCTCAATCAATCAATCACCATCAATCACCCCTATTCGTTCGAACAATCTCTCATGAAATTAAAATTAGATCTCTACTTAAAGAGTTATCCCATGGGTTATACGTGCATAACGAACTGCGCTTCGCAAGAGCAATAACCACGCTTATTGCCATCTCCGTATTAAATTTGTCTTCAAGCCATAAAGTGCCGTCCTACATTTTAATCCGCGATTGAACGTATTAAAACGTCCATTAGACGGTTCGCACTTTCTACGGGTTCAGTTTTATGAAGGGACCTTGGCCAGCGAAGAGCCCTATAAATTTTATTGCAATATGCATTTTATGCATTTAGTATAATAGAGCGAAAAGTTGAGGAGGGGTGCGAATAATAAATTGAGATTTTTTGGTAAAAAATGTGTTGTATATGATTTTTGGTTCACCCTGTATACACCTTCCTCCATCTCCGATTGCAACATGGTCATTTCTATGAGTGGAACAAAGAAAGATTATTAAAATGACAGTTGTCAGAGTGAAAAGTTGCAATGACACAAATGTCACTTTTTCCTTTTCCTTTATAAGTGTCTAATGGAAGTTGTCTTTATCGCACCCATGGCCTATATAATCTATGTTGCAATCAAAAATGGAGCAACCTGTATATCTAGCGTTAAATTAGCAGAAATTGATATTATTATTGCCTTTTGGGAATTTATTATACAGGGTGTCTCGTACAAAAACTGAATAGAAGTGGAGTATGGAATAAACTTTTTCGTCATTCTATGTGAATAAATGTCATTAATGTCATTAAATGTTATTCGTTAAAAAATGATTTGTGATGAAAATGATAGAATTTTCACTTTATTTCGTATACAAAACAAACAAGGTTATTGTTACGTGTTGTTCCTAATAGGAAATACATAATCAAAACATGATATATCCCAAATGATTTTATCTCGATAATAATCCAACTGTAAATTTCAATTATGTAATTTAATTATTGCTCAAATTAAAATGTTGGCGTTAACGTACTTACGTTGACACGTTCCATAACGTTATTATTAACGAATTAATTTATAAACAATTACTTTTAATCGACTTATTAAAGGGTAATGTCCGCTATTCTGTTCAAACGAACAGGAACCGTTGAAACATCAATAGTCTGCTTCGAATTTCCAATTTCCAAACGAAGAACAGTTGGAGCGGAATAAATATTTACATTGAACTAGAACGGTATCCCGTTTTAAAAGTCCCCGCACGGGGGTATTACCTTCATGTCTTGGATGATTTGCTGGAACAAGCCGCCTAAAGCTCCCGTTTCTCGCTCCATCGTACCATCCATTACTTATTTATCGGAGGAAATCAGCGGCAGAAACGCTCACGAATCCGGCCCGACACGGCAAAGGGAACGTCCGTGTTTACAGTTAGCGATCTGCCCTTCTTCCACTCGCGTATACAACAACGCGAAAACAGTCGCATTTGCACCGTGCACTAATCGATGAGCTTTTTAATAGCGGCTTCTTCGCGTAAACAAGAACACTCGCAGCGGCTTTTATCGCGTCGCATTCGAACAATTCGCCACGGCACCGACGTCGCTATCAGCGATCGCTTCCATTCCTACTTCTCGCCGAAAATCCGATCCTACATAATCGGGTATTCCTAAATCTCGATCCCTTCCACTGTTCCACTTGGAGCTCCAAGAAGACCGATCGGCATCGAGGAAATTTTGGATTTTGTACGGTGTCGCCATCTTCGAGTAGTATGATGGCGTTATTTACAGGAAACTGTAAATTTTGCGCTTTAGTTACATTGTAATTCGAAAGATGTCGCTGCATGTCTCGTTTAAAATTTACAAAATGTCGCAAAATTAGAGGATATCTTTCGGAAATTTCTAAAGAATCATCGAAGATTACCCGACAAAGCAAATTTCATGAAACACTCTCTTCTCGCGAAACTGTTCGAATTCTAATTTTAGGAAACTTCTCTTCGCTCTAAAACCAGCCTTTATCTCGAAGGACTCGTTGAAAAAAAGCCGATTAAAGCATTTTTAGCGAGAGCGATTTCGTGAACTTCACCTTCATTGTTCCCACTTTTCCCACTCCCTTTCGGGTCTTTATTCCCACTCGACATACATCTTCAATCCATCGACTTTTTAACCTTGACACCATAAGCCTCATCGAGCTTTAAAAAAGACTCAAAACTCGCTTTAAAACGCCTACATTTTACTCATCTGATTACATTACAACTTTCTTAAACGCTCGTATTCGATTTGGTCAAATAGGAGTACCAATAGAAGGCGTTGATGGCCAGGAACAGGAGCGGGAACAGAATCCTGGAGGCCCTGTCGATTTTCGAAACCGAATTGAACCTCGGCGATCTCTTCTTCCTCTTGAAGGACTTCTCGCTCTGGCAGGAGGGCCGTCGCGACGCCGCGCTGTTCCTGCGCGACGTCTGCGGATAGCACGACGACCTTCGAACGGAAGGCTTCCTGGGAGGCGAGGCGATCACGTCCTGGAGTTGGATGATCTCCTCGAAGCGCGGGTTGGGCTTCGAGCATTCCTCCACGCTCTTAGCCACCGATTTTGATGCCTGAAAGTTAATTCAACTAGATTTAAGTATTGGAGCTAACGAGAGAAATGGAAGCATTGGAGAAGAAATTGTGAAGAACAATCCTCAGGAGCTATTGGAAGAAAAGTAAGCATGGGAAAGTAGGTTAAAGAGGGAAAGCAGGAAGAAGTTATATTTACAAATATGTTGTAAAAATTAGAATATCTAGATCAAAGAATCTCTAGGTCAAATTGCCTGATAAGATTTAAGATTCCAAGAAGAAGAGGAATTCGTGGAACATCATTCTGAGCAGCAATGGACAAACTGAAGATAACCAGAAGATCCCAAAAGAAGATATTTTTGTGATTGATAACTTACTTTGGGTTGCAAATGCGCCCAATCCTCCTCGTCGCTGCTCGAATCTGAACTGAAGCTGAAATAACACTCCCCGGATCCGTATTTAGTGAAATAGTGGACTATGGCAAACTGCGAAATGAACCTATTAATTTCATTTACTCGATATTTTCTTCATTTACCTGAATTATCGTAGCAAATATGAAAGCAAATGATAAGAAAACGAAAAAATCCAATGCAGTTGGATAGGGTACTTTGGGTAAATTCGTACGAGCTTCCAAACCCAGAAAAGTCATAGTCAATACTGTGGTTATACCTAAAAAAATTGCAAAAATGAAGCAATATTCACAAACATAAGTGTTGTTTGAAGTTATTTTACTTCATTTAGTATAAACAAAACGAACCTAAAGAAACTCTATCGGCGGTGGCTTCGCGATTCAACCAAAAAGACACCCACGAGAGCACCACCAGCAAAATGCAGGGCCCGTAGACTTGAATGAGAAAATTCCCCATGTGTCTCTGAAGATGAAAATCCACCAAGAGCATCGAATACTCTACTAAAACAACAACATCCGTTTTTTGTCTGTCTACAACAGGAATTCGTGCGGATTTTACCTGACTTTTTTTCACCGTTGAAAATATTGATTGTGTTATTCCCCGCCGGAGTGGCGATGAGATCGAATTGGGAGAGTTTCATGTCGTCTGCTATAGCCACTCTTCTGGCTGTGTTCCATCTGTATATCAAATCCTGTTTCGTGTAACCAACTGAAAAACGAAAATTTATACGAATTCGAGTTTAATATTTTTGCACTTACAAGAACCGAATTTCAACGGGCATTTTTGCACGTCCATGGGAAAGTCCTCCAAATTCATCGGGCAACCCGCCTTGATCGTTAACCTGGAATGTAGCCAGTTTTTAGACTACTCATCCAGATAGGTAAAGCAAATTTACCTGGAAGAATACAAGACTTGTCCGTCGTGATGCAGCCTTACGAATTTATTCGGCGTGGAAATCATGTGAAGATACGACTGCTTCCCGTTGTAAAAATAAGTGTCCGGTTTCCAGATTTTCGCCAGCATGGATATGCTCAGAGCCAGAGTGTAATTGCTGTTGGCGAAAAACGAAAGCCGCTTGTCTTTCCAGGATTGCCGGAAGTAACAATCCATCGAATACGTCTGAAACGAATCGATCAGGTGCCGAATAAAATCGATTAATTGATTCATAAGTACCATGTCCATTTCTGATATGGGCCCCATGCTCCTCACCATTATGTCTACTTCTACAACCGTGGGCGGACCTGTATAGGGGACAAGCTGTATAGCGGAATCTAAATGGTACGTTTAATCGTATTATGTACTTAAGAGCTTTGCCAAAATAAATATTTGTTCGATTTATCCAATTAAACATATCTGTTATTAAGGGAAAACTTTGGATTGGAGAAGGATATTTAATACTTAAATTCGATTATAAAATAATAACTTTAATTCTGTTGTATATAGCAAAAATAAATTAGTGATTGTTAAATTGAAGATTGGTAAAAAGGGAAAAATAATAATTAACTCACCCCCGAAATCGGGTCGAACGCTGTTGTCATATCCTCTCAACAAATTATCCAACAACGTAGAAATATTTTGGTGGTTGTTTTTTTGTGGTAGGGAATTTGTGGTTTTCCGCAGGGAAATCGAGGCGCACCATTCGAAATTAACAAAGAAGACCATCAGAAACGACGCGAACATGTCGAGAGTTATCCCTGAAAATGCGACGCCGTCAAATCGGCAACGTTGCCGAAGTATTAAATTTCACTTATCGCAAACATGGGGAACGTATCGAATTGTGGTTCGACTCGAAATACAAGAAAATTAACGTCTAAAGTCGACGAAGGAAACTCATTTCCCGGCCATTTCCCACCGGCGGCGCTAAAATTGTCTTTCCCAACCTATGTTGACCCATTTGCGAAGTTCATACATTTTAATGCCGAATTGTTTCCGGCGGTAAAGACAACTCGGGAAAATTAGGAAAATCCCCTTTGTCGGCTTTCCCTTTGAACTTTGAAGCGATTTTTTAACAATGTTCACAAACGATTTAATTATAAAAAAATATCAATAAAATAAGAGTATTACAAAAGCAACTAATCACCTACTCAAAATGTATGAAAAAGTCATATTAAATCGTCTTATTATAATTTTTATTAATTACAGTATTTATTAAAAAATATATTTGTTCTCAAACGACAGGAATTGATTGTACAATATTATAAAAGAATGATCTACTCACCGTGTCGTTGAAATTCAATTTTGAAGCGGAAACTGAATTATCGGTGGAAAGCGAGGAGGAAAAACGCGAGCGTCTCCGATACACTGGCGATGCAAATGTCAGGAAAACCGATGGAAAATCCGAAATTGGAGTGCCGGGAATCGCGCGCAAAATTCGCGAGAAAGTTGTTTTTCGTACGAGTGTCGCAAGAGCCTTTCCATTGCGTGGAAAATTAATCAAGTGCAATGCTAATTTAGTGAAATATGAGTAATTGTCGATGGCAAACGAGCGAGGCGTTCGACGTGTTGAAGGAAAATTTCCGCTCGCTTGAACGCCCTTGAAGAATGGGGGGAATTTTCATTTGAAATCGACTTAATTTAAATGAAAAAAGGAAGTAAATGTGACGCACTTTTCAACGAGTGTATTATAAATTCGTTTGGTATAATTTCGTGCATCAGGAACTTTATTGTTAAAAATACAAATTATATTATAATACTTGTTTGTGATACTTATACGGTACTATTCAAAATATTATTGTGCTTTTTAATTATTACGACAATAAGTTGGATCAATTTGAAAGTTAATTAACCCCTAGAAACAAATTTAGAATGTTTAATTGGAGCTAAATAAGTTTTCAAATTAATTAAGTCGTTGCGGTAATATTTTTTTAAATCACAAAACAAATTTCCCACTTTTGAACCACACTTTTTGAATAGCACCTGTATATTAAATTATTTGTAACATATTTAAACTTAAATATCTATTTATCTACGTATACATTATTTCAATTCATTGATTTGTTACCATTCGTTATATCGATAATTCCTAATTTTATTTACAATACAGAGAATACTATTAAGAAAATGTAAGTAGTAATATGACACTCCAATTAAGTTTTAAAGTCAATAATATGAAAATCACTTGCTTTTTAATTATAATACAGAGTGTCTCAAAATTAATACTACAAAATTTGGACACGATTCTTAAAACATTAGGAGACCCTCAACTTTCAAAACCCTCAACTACACAAAAAAATACATTATTTTACATCAAAAGCTTACTCAACTTCTCGTACAATACATTGTGCACATACTATACAATAAGGTGTTCAATTTGTAGTTATTCAACCGATGATAATCATTTCAGAGATGCAATTTCTTCATTACTTTTCCAAAGGCGATGAGCAATCGGGCTTGATGCAATCCACCCAAGGACCCCAGACGTACCTGAAATTCTTCGGATCCGCTTTATCTATATCAACATCCTCGTCCAACTGGCTGATCAAGCTGGACCTGTAATTGACCAAAGCTCGCTTCATTTGCCTCACTACGCTCGGAAAGAACTTGGCCAAGTCGTTTTCCTCGCAAGGATCGCTCGGGATGTCGTACAAACAATACGATCCTCCTGCAAATTACAACAAATACAACATTCTTGATACCTGGTGAATTGTAGTTGTATCCTTACCGACGGGATCGCAAGGATTCTTCTTGGCTTTGCCATCCAAGCAGTTTATAGTCGCCTTCGATCGTATGAGCTCGTACTCGTCAGGACTTAAAGGACTGTAGTTGATTTTATTGGCCACTCGTCCTGCAGGACTTTCCAATACTCCGTTTAAATTGTACGTTTGTTCTTCGATGTTTTCTGCGACGATGTCGCCGTAATAATCGCTCAATGTTTCGTTCTGTGAACCACCTGGAGGCAAAAATTGATTAGGTATATACAGGGCGTTTAATAATTACATATCCGAGCCAAGGGAATGTTAAATTTGTTAAGTTTTAATGTGTATAAAAGTGTGTAAATGGGCTCACCTATAATTAACTTCCAGTTGTAAAATCTCAAAGCGGCGTTTCGCGTTTTTTCGTCGATGTTCAATAAAATGTCGTTTCGCGGCGACGGCAAATCGTAAACCTTGAATAGAATAAATTTAATTATAGTAATTTTACGGATAATAAAGTACAATTTACCCGTTTTTACAACGCACAATTATCTTATTCATACTCGGAATGCTTAATGAACGTTCGTTCTTTCATTCAATATAAATAACCATTCAGTCTACAATAAATTAAAACACCTTTTCTGTCCATTCTTGCTCCATTATCAAATGATAACAGGGATGGAATTGCACTCACCAAGCTGGACCATTGGTCTATTCCATCCAAATCCTGGTCCAAAATGCCAATATCCCCTCCAGCGGCTGAGAACAGCGTCGGCAGCCAATCGGTAACGTGTATTAAATCCGTGGATACTCTCGCAGATTGCACCAGCAGCGGGCTCGCAGATTGCACCAGCAGCGGGCTGTAGACGAAGCCGATGCTGCGGATGCCGCCTTCGAAGAGGGTGTTCTTCACGCCTCTCAGGGGCGCGTTGCTACCCCAATTCCTGAAGGTCGGGGCGACTGTGGGAGCGCCGTTGTCGCTGATGAAGGCTATGACGGTGTTCTGCAGGATGTTCCTGCTGTCTAGCGCTTCGACGATGGCGCCCACGCTGTCGTCTAACTTGGAAACCATCGCTGGAAAAGTATCTGTTAGTAACAATAAAAATTCAGGGTGCAGCTGGGCTAGATACCCGCGTAGGTCCTTCTGTTGGAGTCCACTATGTGGCTGAATTTGTTGATGGTTTCTTGTGGAGCTTCCAGAAGTTTTCCATTGTTGCCAGCGTGTACAGCCAAGTGGGCCAGCATTATGAACAACGGTTTCGAAGGGTCTTGGTCCATTATGGTTTTTACCGTGTAATCGGTGAATAAATCTGTGGCGTATTTTCCACTTTCTTCCAAAGCGGATTTGCCATCTTTGCGCAAATCGAAACCGGTGTAATCTTTACCATTAAACTGAAAATCACCATTAATTAGAGCTGAACCAGAATGGTTTGAACATGGGTTAAGTTTACTCAAGTATTTTAAACAATATATTATACCTTCCACGTTGTAAGATAATCGTAATAGCTGGTGAAACTGTTATAAAATCCGAAATGGTGATCGAAGCCTTTGAATTGCGGCGTGTCGTTCCATTTGGAATATCCCAAGTGCCATTTTCCCACCAAATACGTGTCATATCCTAATTCCTAAGCCATACAAACTGCAATTAGAAAGAATAGAATCGCAAACACAACGAATTCTTACCTTGAAATAATCCGGCAATAATTTACCATCTGGTAAAGACCGCTTATCGGCTGGAAGGAACGAAGAACCTTGCAGACCTATGTATAAAACGTCCATCTTTAACTAGCATTTCGAAATTCGAGGATACTGATCAACCAACTCAACTGATGGGTTAAATTGGGAAGCCAAAATTACTAAACGAATCAACATACCCAATCTCATGGGATATTTTCCGGTCAAAAGAGCGGTTCTGGTGGGCGTGCTGCTGGAATGGACGTAATGACTGTTGAGTATGATGCCATTGTAGGCCAGAGCATCGATGTTCGGCGTGGGAATTTGATTGCTGCCGTGGAAACCCACGTCGTTCCAGCCCTTGAAGAACGATGTGCGATTAAAAGAAGACGCGAAGATGAAGAGGAGATGAAAGGGACCGCGTAATTCCGGGTACGAGAATGAGTTTAAACGTATTGTTTCGTCGAGTGTCGAGCGGTTTCTTCGATTTGTTCCGTTATAAACTCCTGCTATCTGGCGGCGCGATCGGTCGAATAAATAAACGCAGGTTACATTGTGGCTTTTCTCTTCCTGCACAATATAAATGTCAGCGCGACTGCTAACAGGAATTCCACCTGTGTCGTGATTTAACGTGCTTCTGGCTTTACTGTTTTTTCTGTCGATTATTTTTAAGAAACGATTTAAATGAAATCATTAAATTGTCGGCGATTTATTTATGGGGTTTGGATTTATCTACAAAATCAGGATAATTTATCGCAATAATTGGAGTTTTTTTTTGTATACCTATAGTTAATTGCTGATACAATCAACATCGATCTCCAGAGGGACGGATTTATTGCTGTTTAAATGGAAACTAATTGAACAAATAAAACTCGCTAATTATAATCGGAGTTTGTTATCTTACTACAATTAAACTCATCGTGTTTTATATAAAAATACGTTACGGAATAAATTAGATATGCATAGACGGGTCACGGCCTTCCCGAGGTAAATAATTTATTTTACACAAAAATATTGGGTATTTCCCGTACATAAATTAATCACAAAAAGATTGTTTACACTTCTATAAAAGTCATTTTTTTAATTAGATTGTTCTATAATTTTAGAAGTATTAATTTGCTGCTATTAATTTGTTCCTTTAAAATCTAACCGTTCGATCTAGTTATTGGTTGGTACCTTTGCGATTTAATTAGTAAACACTTTCGCTTGTAATAAAACTAACCAAGTGTAACTTAATTAAATTATCTAAATTTAATTACATGATTTGTGCAATTATACCAAATTTTTCATAAAGTATATTATTTAGTACCAGTTTTAGGTTGAGTTATTGGTAAATAATACCTAAATGAAGGTTATTTTAACAATATCTTGATACCTACATATCTATAATTATAATAGTTAATTCGTCTTATTAATTTAACATAAAAAAGCAGAAATATTTTAATCTCGCAGTTAAAAAACCTCTACATGTGTATTTTTTATACAAATACCTGATATAATTCTTTAAACAATTACAGTAGTAGGAAGAACATTTAATATCTACTTATTCCTGAAGGCCTTCTGATAAGATCTTGATTCGAAGAAACCAGCTACTATTATATGTATTATAATTAGCAAAATCAGAAAATTACAATATCATTGATGTTATATTAAAATACCCAGAAAATTCGCTCCTCTGCGAAAGAAATCGCTTTACCATTACTACACACAATGAATTAATAAATTAAAAAAACTGTATCAGAGCATTTTCGCACCATTGTTGAGATTTCATATTTCTCTGAATCGAGCGTTATATTTTATCGAATTAAACGCGCCTAAATGTCGCAACTCGATGTTGCTCAAAATTTCCTAGATGAAAGGCGCTTTTAATTTCTAACATTTACAAATACTATGTACCTACAACACAATTAAAACACTCGAGCTAATTAATTATTTTTTCGATGTAAACATTATTTGTTATTGTTTATCTCATTTGTAATTTAATTTAATAAGCTAAGTTTCTAGCGACAATTTATTTCAAAGTAAACATATCAGTCGCAATTCGTTTATAACGCGCTGTGATTTTATAAGCGCAGGAAAAACCGAAATCCCGTAAAATAATAATGAGTTAATTTAGATACCTAGATAATTTCGTTACTTACTAGATCATCGGCTACGATGAAGATGATATTGGGCTGTTCGGCCGAAGACACTGAAAACCACAAAGCGCCGACAACCAGCGAGAGACTCGCAGGAACCATCACTGGGGTTTTCTTGGGCCGCCCGTCGAAGATGCGTTCATAATAGCGCCAAGTTTACGCTACTACTCCTATATATTTGTGCGTTTTTCTACAGGGACATTCGATTGCGTGTGGCGCGTTTCTATCTAACTCTCGCGCTTCGACGAGAATTTTTCCAATTCTCAATTTCTCGATTGTAACAAGACTGAAGTCGGGGTATTGTCGATGGTTCCTATAAGGATTCTAGCAGACAGGTGAATCGGAATCGCCCTGTATAGAGTTATTAGAAGCGTTCCTTTTGCTCGCGCTAAGTTCATCACGGCCAGCGATTATTAACATATTTAATTGAGTGTGAAGTTACTGGGATTAAGCATGTAGGTAATTTTTGTTGTAGGATTCGAGGAAAAGTTTGTTTGTTACGACGATATTATAGGTGGGCATATAGATTTTAATCCTTTAACTGCGGCTGGTTTAATTAAAGTGGAATTCAGATCGCATCCGTAAACACGTGAGGTTTGAATTTTAGATTTTTGCGATGCAGGAAGTTCGGGGAGGTGGAGGATTAATCGAATTGTGAGATTTACTTGTTTCATGCATTTTATTTACATGTTTATTAGCTAAATTGTTAGTGCATAGTGTTTCTAAAGTCAATTTGAAAAATGGATTAAATGCAAACTTCAAAGTAGATATTTAATTTTTATTGCTTAATGTAGAATTCTGTTTTTGCATATACTCTTAAAAGAGAGTCTTTTTTATAATATCATATGTTCAATTAAGATTATCGATTTTTCCAACGAAAAGTATCACGTCGTCCTTTTTGATAAAATACGAAAATGGATGATCCACGTGGAAAGGTATTGGAGCAGGATTGGGTAATTCCATCACCATGACACGTTCTACTGCTATAACTAGAAATAAAAAATAATAAAATTAGCAAATCTATTATACGGATAAGTGCAGGTTTGCAGTTTCCATTCAACATTGCCATCAATTGTATTCTATTAGTTGAAGAAAGCAAGAGCAGAGAGGAATCCACAAAAAAGTAAGACAGTAAAAATAAGGAAGAATTTATTCATTTTAAGTTCTAGCCTGTGAAAACAATTGTATTATGGTAAAATATATTAAGTTGCAATCGTTTTACAAAGAACGGACGTTTCCGGCAAAGAGAATTACGCCGTCTTTCTTGATCATATAGGAAAATGGATGATCTACGTGGAATGGCGTCGGCGGTGATGGCGGGGGCCTGGGCAAGGCGTAAACAAGCCCGATAGCTACAACCAAAATTAAAAAATTAATCGAGAAAATTTAATAATAGAATCGCTACTACGTTCCACTTAGCAAGGAAAAATTTAGTAGAAAACTAGACGAAAATATTCACTTTAACCATCCCAAAAAATTCAAGTCAACAGAAGAGTTAATCAAAGCAGTTTTATTTATAAAAATTGTGATAAAACAAACAGATTTGTATGGTAAAAAACACAGCAAATACATTTTTACTGACGGTAGCGAATACATAAACAATAGAGTAATAAAATTATTAAGTTTAAAGATGACGAACGTTTCCAGCGAATAGAATTACGCCATCTTTTTTGATGATGTATGAAAATGGATGATCTGCATGGAAAGGTGTCGGTGGAGCTGGTGGTTGTGCTGGCCTGGCAAAACCAGCCATAATAACTACAAACAACAAAACAATAAATTAGACAAGAAATTTACAATTAGCAAATGTGGAAAATCAAACCAGAAATAATAATAAAAATTTCAGTCAATATAGGAGTAAAACGGATTTATTTTATAATATAGAGAATGACATATGATGGTATTTAACAATCACTTTAGCTTTATAAAGAACGAACGCTTCCGGCGAATAAAACAACATCATCTTTTTTGATGAAGTAAGAAAATGGATGATCCGCATGGAAAGGTGTCGGTGGAGCTGGAGTAGGTGCTGGCATGGCATAACCAGGCGCAAAAACTACAAACAACAAATTAATAAATTAACCAAGAAATTTATAATTAGTTGTATCAGAAAATGTGGAAAGTCAAGCCGGATTGTCATCATAAAAATTTCAGTCATAAAGAGTAAAAACGGATTTATTTTCTTTTAATACAGAGTATCGCATTAATGATAATATGTAGTTTTAAAGAGAACGAACGTTTCCAGCAAATAAGACTACTTCATCTTTTTTGATGATATATGAAAATGGGTGGTCTGCATGGAAAGGTATCGGTGGAGTTGGCTTCGAATGTGGCACAAATAAACCATCCATAGTAATTACTACAAACAACAAATCAATAAAATAACCAAGAAATTTATAATTAGTTGCATAGAAATTGTCAAAGAGTAAAGCCACAACATCCCCACAAAAACGTTAGTCAATACATATGTAGGAGTTAAAACGAATTTATTTTATAAACTTATTTACATGTAATTAGGTATCACATTATTTAGTAGTAACATAACATGCAGATTCAGTTTTATATAGAACGGACGTTTCCTACGAATAAAACTACATCATCTTTTTTGATGATGTAGGAGAATGGGTGGTCTGCATGGAAGGGTATCGGTGGTGGCTGATTAACTACCGGATGGAACGACATGAGTTTTGCAATTACTACAAATTAAAAAAATAAATTAGATTGTTTGAATACCCTACAAGAATAGTATAAATTATTATACATATAGGGTACTATCAGTTTTTAATAACAGGAATGATAAAAATAATATAAAAATGAAACTAATTTATTAATTCGAATGGAAACTAAAGTGATTCGTTTTTCAATAGAAATTAGTTACTTTCCCTGCAAATAAAATTACATAATCTTTTTTAATGTAATAAGAAAAGGGTCGATCGACATAAAATGGAACAGGTTCGTCAAATTTCACCATAGCAGAACCCGGTGCAATCAACACTGGAAACAATAGTTTACAATTATTTCGTATAATAAATTAATTAGAACTTTTGTTGGTACAATTAAAGAAAACGTAGTAGAAAATGTTAGAAGAAAAACAAAAACTTTGCTAGTAGAATCAAACCAATAAATGCAATAAAATCGAAATTAAATTTATTAATTCATATTGAAAATACATGAATATTTCAATCGATATTGGTAACTTTTCCGGCAAATAAAATTACACCATCTTTTCTAATGTAATATAAAAAGGGTCGATCGACATGAAACGGAATTATTTTTCCCAAAAATACCACAGCAGAAGTCGGTACAGCAAACACTGGAAACAAAATTAATCCTATTGACTCTATTAGTATTATTTATAGATTATTTAAATATTTATTAAATAAATATTTCTGTCCGACTTAATAAAGGAATGTTAGAAAGATGAAAAACGTTACCAAATGAATCAAATCAGTAAACTCACACTGAAATCAAAATCCTGTTTATTAAGACATACTAATGAAAATACAATGATTGTTTTAATTTAAATCAGTAACTTTTCCTGCGAATAAGATTATGCCGTCTTTTTTAATGTAATACAAGAACGGGTGGTCAACATGAAAACTTATTGGATCACTTGAATATACCACAGCAGATTGAAGTACAGCAAACACTGTAAACAATAAAATTACATCAAGAAAAATTATTTGTCGAACATATTAAAAGAGATATTTTTTAGTGTAATTAGAGATAAAACTATGAGAAAGATGTAGAAATTGTTAAAGTTAGAAATGTTTTAGAAACAGAAATTTTCAGAACTAATAGAGGACAAAATAGAATGACAGTTTATTAAATTATATTGCACATACAATGGACATTTCAATTAAAATCAGTAACTTTTCCAGAGAATAAGATAACATCGTCTTTTTTAATGTAATATGTAAAAGGATGGTCTACATGAAAAGGAATTGGATCACTCGAATAAACTCTCATTGAATGAAGGACTGCTATAGCTGGAAATAACAAAATTACTTTAATAAAATAATTGCTTTCTTGTACTTTAAAATAGATATTTTTTTTAGTGTAACAAGAGACAATAGAAGGTAAGGGGATTAAAAATTGTTTTGTAACAAGAATCTCTACAATAAAATGAACTTACAAGAACGTTGTTAAATTGTACAAAATTATAAATAATGTCGGGAAATCAAAAGATCAAATTTCTAATGAAATTGAATTTCAGTTTATTAATTCAGTTTGTACGTACAGTGGACATTTCAATTTAATTCAGTAACTTTTCCTGCGAAAAGGACTACATCGTCTTTCTTAATGTAATACGTGAAAGGATGGTCGACATGAAACGGGAACACCTTAGGAGGATTAGGTTGATACGATGACCCAAACATTACCAAGGCTAAAAAATAGAATTGATAAATAATGGAAATCGAACTGATTATATAATAAAATTGGTATTAAACCATTGGTTGTTATGCATAAAATTAATGTAAAGAAACATTTGCAGAAGAATCTAAGCAGTAAACGCCCAATAAAATCTAAATACAATTTATTCAATCAAATTGCAAATACAATGAACATAAATATCATTAGAGCTTGGTCACTTTTCCTGCAAATAAGATGACATCGTCTTTTTTAATGAGATAGGAGAATGGGCGATCGACATGAAACGGTATCGACAGAGCAATGTCTGGTTGAATCGCTATAGACAAGTTTAGTACCACTAAAAAAAATAAAACGGGTGAAATAATGAAAAAATACCACAAAAATTGTTTTGTTACGAATGCAATTCAAATATCAGTAAACAGTATGATTGGCGCAGCACGAATTAAAAGAGAAGTTTGAAAAAGAAGAAAAAGTTAGTTAAAACAAAGAAGTTGCAAACAAATTGCAAATATAATGAATATTTCTTTAGAACTCGGTCACTTTTCCTGCGAATAGATGACATCTTATTCTTTTTTTAATGATATAGTACGCGAAAGGGATGAAAGCGATAATAAGTTATAAAAAGCGATATAATAGAGTGGTTATCACTAAAAACATAACGCATATAAAATAATAAATGGTATTTTCACCACCGCATTAATTATCATTGTTTTGGCAGAGGTTAATTAAGTAGATAAACCTTAGCTAATTTAGTAAATAAATTACTTTTGCATTAAATTTATCTTCGTTTAAATGTTACATAAAATATATTTATGTTTACCAAGGATTATTCCAAGTAACATGTTTTGACGAAACAAGTTATATGAATAAAAACAGCACATAATACACTAAAAACTAGAAGCACCATAGATAGGTACCATAGAATATACCATAGGTTCCCTAGAAAATCAGAAAGCCACTACCTTCAACCGACTAATAATTATAAAAGAGGAAACCAACGTTAAAAAAATAAGTATATTAATAAAAAAATAAAACATGTGCCTAGTTAAGCAAATCAAACATAATGTAATTTTTTTTTCGACATTTAATCTATAAAGAATCTACTCGTCCGGCGAACAAGACAACGTCCACTTTCTTGATTAGGTATATGAAAGGATGGTTTACGTGGAACAGAACCGGAGGTTCCACCGGGCTCGGATATCTAGACGAATATAAGACCATCACAGCTGGAAGAAAAACCAAAACCGAAACGTTATTTCCCACGAGGAAAATTAAAAGTGTACTTTCGTTTAACGCAAAACGGTTTAACCTTTAACCCATTAACTTATGCAAGATACCGTTTTGAATGCTCTCAAAAATGTTTATGCTCAGCTTAAGTAGACACAATATTGATTAGTCGTGGTTAAATGTTTAGTAATTTTGGGAGGAGACTCACCAGCGGTGGCGGCAGCGGCTTCGGTACCAGATTCAGTAACATCGATGAAAGCCTTCTGGATGACGTCTGAGACCATTAGGTTCTTGTGGGTGGCGGACAATCCGCTCAAGTTCGCGCCGGGGTTGAAGATTTTCTCAACTCCCAACTGCGAAACAGGCGATTTTTAAAAATCTTGAACTGGCAATTTTATTACCGATGGTACTTACGGATTTGAGGATATCGACGAATTTGATTTCCGACTCAATTTTGAATTTGGGCAGTTTGACATCCACTCGCTTGGATTCCATAGGTTGGGGTTCCATGATTTTTTCGATGTTGCTCTCGATGGCGGTCAATCCATCGCGCTCGTCGGGCAAAGCGATAACCATGCTCAAACCATCGCCTAAAAATTCAGATATCAATTTTTAATACCAATTCCAAAGTCGTATAATTAAAAAAGTTTTCTTAATGAGGACACCAAAGGGAAATACTAGTAGGTTATAGACCTAGAAGTGATAAAGATGGAAGAAAACAGGAACATATAATAGGGCTAGTAAAAAAGGGAATTTCGGTCTAGACACATACCAATGTAGGGAAGTTCCAAGAATTTAACACCCAAATCCTTGTTGTCGTAGTATCGGAAATGATCGATCTGTTTCATCATGGGAACATCCACGGAGTTATCTTTAGTCCTCCAGAATTTTTGCGGGGCGGTGGAATATTTATCGAAGGTGTTGACCCATTTGGCGCTCATGTACAGGGCGTTTACCAAGACCATAGCGGTGCTGCCGTCGATAGCATCGGGTTTGATGAGGTCCTTGATTTTGTTGTTGGTCTGTTCCTCCACCCAGCTGTTGATGATTCCGGCAGCTTCGACGTTCTTTTCGAAATCGACATTCTGGACTCCTGCGGGTAGAATAGTGATTGAGTAAAACATCTTTCGGGGACGGCGGAAGATGAAATTTACCGGAATTGTAGACGTCGGAGGCGATTTTGTTGTAGTCTGCTTCCAGCTTGACGTCCTTGCCGGCGTAGATTTTGTTGGCAGAGAGCAGCTTCAAGTCGTCGGTGTTCTTGTTTACGGTCGGCAGGAATTCCTTGAAGGCGCTCTGGATGGTTTGTTGGTTACGCGGGAGCGACAGGCCGCTGACGAGCTCGTCGTGGGTGTCGCCTTTGGCGCCCGCTGAGAGGAGGGCTAGGACGGTTTCGGCGGAGAAGGGACTGAAGATCAAATTTCCTTTTTGGGTTTTGACTATTTCCTAACGGAAGAACGTATCGTAAATTGGATTATATTTAGTGGTTGGTGAGGGTTTACCTTGTAAACGTTGGCAGCGAATTGTCTGTTACCGGTAGCCAGGGCTTTTAGGGGCTCTTCTTCGGCAGGGGCTGCGCAGACCACGTAGGCCGTCAAAAGGAAAATTATTGCTACTTTCATGGTCGTGAAACTAATAAACATTACAAAAAAATTAGTACAAAAGTTTTTGTTAATATACCTACACTTTTTCAATTTATGCAAAATAATTTTTCGAATTGGGAACTAACAGTAATTACCGGTCTAGGTACTGCGTACATTTTAGTATTTATGAAAAAATATTCTATTGTGTACTAGGAAATTTCCAAATTCCAGAATAAATTTTTTTTAAAAATACCTAGTGTCATTAATTAAAAATTAACTACAAAATTAATCTATATGTAATCTATAAATAGGTACTCTAATTGTACTTACAAATTAAATAAAATGGATAGCAAAATACAATTGCAACATGTATGTATTACATACATAGGTCTACTATAACATGAATAGACAAAATTGACCTCTACAGTATTATTAATGAAAAAATTACCTACTGATAAATAAAATGAAATATTTAATATATTTAAAAAAACTACAATTGTTAGAAAAATGGAAAAATTTATGGATTGTTTAAACACATATTTAATTTTGATTCGTAGTAGGTAGGTATAACCTACTACATAGTTTTTTAATTGTAAAAAAATAGTTCCTTAAAAAATATTCCTTACCTTGTTTACAGTCCTTAACTTCTCAAAACCAACTCAAATTCAGAAGATTGTTACTTCCTATTTAAGCTTTTCTGATTGCTTCTCCCTCCTAAAAATCCATGGGCGCGCCGAAATTTTCAAAAATCATCATTGGATATTTTCGGTTTATAAACTAAAATATATTAAAAAAATATTTATTCTGAATCAGGCCCCCTTTAGAATGCTGACTGATAATGGGAACTAATCGATCTATCTAAAATGTTTTGTTAAGCTTTTTTTAAGTATCCATAATATTCTGATGGGATTTTTTAATTTACATATTTTCTTTAAATTTTTTTTAGATTTTTTAAACAATCCTGGGGGATTAATATTTATTTCAACTAGAATATTTGTCATCAGAGGAGGTAGAGACTGCTCGATTTTATGACCCATCGATACATTTTTTTTATTCCTGAATAAATGAATAAATTAAAAATGCCTAGGAAATAAATATTTTTTTATTATGCCTTGTAAATCTAGGCAATTTGGGAAAATAATTAATGGAGTCCAAAAATCTGTTCATTGGCAACACCTAAATATAGTGAACCGGTTCATGGTCAAACAAATTACATAACTAATAATGTTTTTTTTTATTTTACATTAATTATATGATAAAAGAAGTTTATATATTGATTGGCTGCTCAAGTTGTTTTTAATACCATTTATCGTCGGATTATTGGAAATTTTTCTTATTTGTTCTCGTTTACGGGGAACTCGTTTCTTGTTTTCCATAGTACCTAAAATAATTAGGTTACAAGTAATAACCTAATGACCTTAAAATTGTTTTATAAGATAAAAGAAAGAAAATATTTTTTTAGAAATAGAAATTTTTTTAGAATCAATCGGTAATTACCGATACTTACATACATACATATTTTGTAATATTGGTTCGTATAGTTACCTAAATACAAAAAACTATCTCACATTAGGTAGTTGAATTTACTGCCAGATAGTACATATGTATGTTGTCTGCATAATGTTTATACTGACGATTTGTGATAAATCCTTCAAATTTAGAGCTCAATTATCAATTAATTAAAATAATTAACAACTTCAATACATTTTTAATTCAACTATAAATGCAAATATGTACATACATAAATATTACTGTAGAACAATCTTTTAAGGAATCCTTAATTGTAGTAAAGTACCTACATAGGTTAAAAAAGTCCTAACTCGTTCCATTGTATAGTATACAATAATTAATAATCGAAGTAATAAAAGAATATAATATTCATAAAACAGTTTTAACGGTTTAAGTGAAACATATCACTAATTGATATTTTACTAGATATTTATTGATAATGTAGTTTTTAATAACAGAAGGTACTTTTTTACACGTCCAGCGTTTTATTTAATAATTAAAGGTAATTTTTATACACGTCAACTTCTTCAATCGACCTTCGCAATTCAATTTTGAAACGAGTTTCGTTTGAGTGCGACACTCATGATAGGATTAATTATTATACAATATACCTGACGCTCGTAGCTATTCATTGTATAAATTCAGTCGGTATGAAAGTAAGAAAAACAACGATGAAATTGTTTTATTTTTGTTTATTGAGTTTATGCGGTTTTGCGGAGAGTTCTAGAATTCTTTTGGTATTTTCTTCTTTCTCTCCCAGCCATTTTATCTTGGGAAACGCCTTGGGCAGAGGACTGGCGAACGGTGGGCATCAAGTGACTGTAGTCAGTCCTTTCGAAGACAAAAATCCGCCCAAAAATTACAGAAATGTCGTTCTTACTGGTTTTACAGATAAACAAAAAGGTAAGTAAGCCTTTGATTTACTACAAAAAATATACATAATTACAAACAAATTGTATTTATGTAATGATTACAAGCGCTTCTTTTAGTTTTATCAGTGCAGATAAAATAAATTTCCTTATCCAAAATTCGGCAAACACACACTCAATGTAGAATTGGTAGATTTATTGTATTAGGAATTTTTGTCGAATATAACATGTCTATTTTAAGAAATTTAATTAGAATTTGATAATTAATGATTTTTTTAATATTATTTACACAACTAAAATCGCAATTTATAGGTACACACAATAAAATATTTATGACAATCCTAATTTATTCATTACATAACTCTCAAATTATTGTTATTTATCGCAGGCAATCATCCAAAATTCTTCGACATGGAAAACATGCACCCCTGGTTAGGCCTGTTCGTATTAAACTCCATGGGAAAAACGCTAGCGGAAGAAACGCTGAAGCACCCGACCTTTCGAGCCCTTTTGAACGAACAATTCGACCTGATCGTCCTGGACCAGTTCAGAAGCGACGCCTTGAGGGCCCTGAGTTGCCACTTCGACGCGCCCCTCATCATGTTCAGCACCATCGGGGCGAATTCTTGGGTTAACGTGGACGTGGCGAACCCGTCGCCCCCTTCGTACGTCCCTGCCGTGTTCCTCGGCTATTCCAGCAAGATGGACCTCTGGCAAAGGACGTTTAATTTTTTGACTTACAATTTCGCCGAAATCAACGATCACTTTCTCTACAGGCCGGTTCAAAGGGAGCTCATCAAGACTTATTTGCCTAAATGCGGCGATTTCGATCTGCATAATGTCTCTTTATATTTTTTGAACTCCCACGAAAGCTACTCGGAGGCTATTCCTTTGGTGCCCAATACTATTAACGTTGGGGGGTACCACATTCAACCGCCTAAAAACCTAACTGGTGATCTGAAAGCCTTTTTGGATAGCGCTAAAGATGGGGTGGTTTACTTCAGCTTGGGTTCCAACATAAAACCGTCGGAAATGAAGCCTGAGATAAGAGAAGCTGTGGTCAAATCGTTGGGGAAATTGAAGCAGAAGGTCCTGTGGAAATACGACGGGGACGAGCTGCCCGGCAAACCTGATAATGTTAAATTGGGTAAATGGTTGCCGCAAACGGATATTTTGGGTAGGTCCAAAGGATTAGAAGAGTTCTTCCTTCAAAAGCTCAATTGATTTCACAGCTCATCCGAACATAAAGGTTTTCATAACACATGGAGGATTGCTGAGTTCCCTAGAAACGATCTACCACGGGGTGCCCATATTGGCCATACCGGTTTTCGGCGATCAAAAATTAAATGCAGCTAGAGCCGAAAAGCTGGGATACGGATTGAAATTATCCTATTCCGAAATAACAGAAAGCTCTCTAAGTGAAGCGTTGGACAAGCTTTTGTACGACCCGAAGTAAGCTCAAATTCCAGTATCATTAAATTTCTATAACCTACTGAATACGTAGAATGGGTGATTAGATCAGAAAATTGCACCAATTTGATTTCAGGTATAGAGATAACGCGAAGATGAGGTCGAAACTTTCCCATGATCGTCCAATGAAACCCATGGATCTGATTTTATATTGGACTGACTATGTGGTAAGGCACAAGGGAGCAGATCACTTGATGGTTGCAGGAGTTAATCTACCGTGGTACCAATATTTAATACTGGACGTTGTGCTTCTCTTAATTGTATTAACCCTTGTTCCTTTGATCGTATTGTATCTGGTTTGTAGAAGACTTTGTTGTTCGAGAACCTCGAGCAAAAAGAAAAAAGAATAAATAATATACAGAAAGGCAATATAAGAAATGAAGTTTAAGAAAAATTTTAGTACTGTAACTGAGATCAACATGTCTCCCAGATCAGTGGAATAAACTGTAATTTTCAACTCGTAATTAGACAACCACCATTATAGATTATAGAGACCCATTTCCACTGGTCAAATTGATACTTTGTACCTACGTTTGCGCAATTATTGATTAATGTAGATTAAATTCGCAGCGCATTAAGAAACTCCTATAAAATGTGAGACAATTAATAGCAAAATTGTTGCACACAAATGGTCGCAATAAATACAAAAACTGCATAATAAATATAGATTCAAGTACAATCGCATACAAGTGAGTAGTTTATACATAGATATTTTTTATTTCTACAATGTATAAAAATTTGAATTGCATCGATAGGGAAATTTAATGTTTCGAATTTCTACGTTGGCATTGGTCATGCTGACTAGTGACGTATTGACGAATAACGTTTACAACAAAACACGTGCTGCGTTTTGTTGACATATTGACCTTAACCAAATAGTGACCTAGTCACATTGTCAAAGCCCAAAGCACTGACAGATTTGTCTATTCTGCTTTTCTTTTTCTATGAGTCAATGTTATTCGAACGTTTACAAATGTTTGCATAATAATTACTGTTTACTAATTATAAATACCTAATTAATAGTAAGATATGAAACATTATATTTTTCCTGGTTTCAAATGCGCGCTTATCGGTTCATTTTTAACGCACGTAAATATTCGACCAAGAAACTTTTCAGCGTCGGTAAGTGCAAATTAAATTTGTTTATTATTCGACGAATTACGCTAAGTTGTTTCAGGCATGAACAACGTACCATCTACTTCTAAAAAATCATGGAATCCTTGCGAAAATCTCACCCAAAATGTGAAGGGTAATTCTTACTCAGTCGTTATCTTAAACACGCCGATTAATTTTAGTTTTCATCCAAGATTTATTGTTAATTTATGGAATCAAGGTAATTCTACTATCTGTAACATCGTATTTGTATCTTAATAAATGGTGTATTTCCAGCTAAAATTAGAATTACAGTCGACGGTGGTACCGAGCGATGGCTAACCTGGCTTACAATGAACAAATCGGAGTTCAAAAACATTCCAGATCCAGATTTAATCACAGGAGACATGGATTCCATATCCGAGGATATCATTAAGTATTACAAAGAAAAGGGCACCACTAAAATTATATATACACCGGACCAAGATGAAACCGACTACTACAAAGCTTTAAGGGAGTTGAAAAAATATTGTTGCAAGGAAAACATCGAGGCAAGTACTTACAATTTATGTAATTATTTGATTATATTCATTATTATTTTGTAGTTAGATACCATCTACGTATTGGCTGATACCTGCGGAAGGCTCGATCAAATTCTGAGTAATATAAACACCTTGTACAAATGCCACAATGTTGTTGAAGACATTGATGTTATACAAATAGCCTCTTCCTCGCTGAGTTGGTTGTTGAAGCCCGGCTGTCACTCTATAAATATTCCTCAGCAGCTAATTAACAACCAAGAATGGTGCGCACTAATTCCTATCGGTACCCCCGGTGTTGTCACAACTACAGGTTTAAAATGGAACTTGGGCAAGTTTGTCTGTTGAACGAAATTTAGGCATAATAATTGTGTAATTTTTAATTACAGATAATAACACGTTAGAATTCGGTGGGTTGGTGAGCTCTTCTAATACGTACAAAGGCTCTGGTGGAGTTACGGTTGAGACAAATTCACCGATGCTTTGGTCCATGGGCATCGACTCTCTGTTGTAATTTTAAACATTCTAATAAGAGTTCATTTACAATAATTGGTGCTTTCAATGCAAGTGCAAATAATAAGTGTTAGGTGTAATTGATCTATGGGAAAGATTACTTCATTTCTGATCGGCTTAAAATTTGCTTGAGAGCATTATGAATTATCACAATTTATTTCCATTAATTATTTAAAAGGTGTGTACTTAGTTTTGAGTGTGTTAAGTTATCTTTATTTTAGGAAAAAATATAAAAGGGTTTTTTTATTTGTTAATTTTTTTTGGGAAATGTTTAGTGCCACTTTGTTCCTATTTTTTTCAAACTGTGATAGTCTTTTTAGAAACAATAAAATACTTATATTTACATATTTACGTGCTTTTAAAGATACTAAAATTCTTGATAAAAATCGTTTTTAATATAATTACAAAACAATTTATTTCAAATATAAACATTATTTCATTGCAACCAGTCCGTAGCATCTTGGCGATATGACTGGATCGAAAAATTGCACGATATAGGAATTCGTTAAACCCAGTTCTTGTAGATATAAAAGTCGATCTAATAAAATTAAGCTTTCTATAATCGGAGACAGCATGTTTCTCAGCAAAAAGAAAATATAAACTTCATATTCTCTCTCTTCGTATAACTTTAACAAAGATAAAATCTCACAGTCTTTCGTAATTGGCTCCAAGTTTAGTCTTTTTAAAGCTTTCTCCACGTACTCCGAGAAATTAGCGGGCCTCTTTCTGAATCTCCCTACCTGCTTATTTTTGTCGCCCACTATAAAATCTCTCTGCAAAATAATTTCTAATAACGCCCTATAAAACAGCGTTACATTCGGAACTTCCTTCTTCTCCAGAATTCTTTCCATGGACTGCGCAGCGATCATTCTGGCCGCCCTGCCAATCTTCAAGTTCTTCTCTTTGAGGTAATTACTCATAGGGAACTCCCCCGATTTCGTATCCTCCTCGTAAATTTCGCTAAGTAGATGATAACAGCAGCCTACATTGCATATTGTTCGAATGCTCTCGTTTTTATGAAACAGTTTCAAGCAGGTAGGTGCCAAATCGCCACAAGTATGCAACCCAATCAGCCCCAAACCCTCCGGTTCTGCCAAGAATGTATTGGAAACGAGCGAAAGGAAATCCACATTCTCGTCCACATATTTCGTAATTTGTTTATACAAGTGTTGGGAAGACTCTTTAGCTGCATCGCTCGTTATGCTATTCCAAACTTTGGATAGTTTTTTAATCCTTTTAACCGATCCGTCGGTGTTAGTTTCCGATGCATCGACTCCTAATACCGGTATTTTGTTATGCAGTGCTAATAAGGAGCTTAAATAACCCTTTCCATCGCCGATATCTACTAAATGAGTGGTTCCGGAAATGTTTTTTAATACGGCTATAACGTAGCTGAGTATGTCTACTTCGTGGGACTTCTTCGAGTTCATGAATACGTTTAGTTTTAATCTGGACGGTTCGGAACAGTTCGATGATAATTTTTGTATTAAACTATCAGTTTGAAGACAAACTTCCAAGTTTTTTAAAGTGTATTCCTGCGACTTCGTCACGTAAGATTTCAAATTAGGTAAATCGCTGTAATCGTTGTTAAATAGTTTATCCATAACGTCTCTGTGTTTATACTTCTTCAAGTCGCTTTTGATTTCTGCGGGAAGGTAGGTTTCGTATACATTTTTAGTGAAAAAATCGACCATATGCACATTGGCTAAAGGTAGCAAGGGTTCCAGATAATTAACCAATCTTTCTATGGTTTCTTTTAGCACTGAAACACTCATTTTATTAGAAGTTAATATTATTTATTTCCGGGTAATGTAAATTCACTTTCAACTGAGCGCACAATTTTTTGAACTTTGCCCTTATGTTGTTTAGAAGACCGACTACATCGGCTTCAGGAGAGTTTATTTGGGGAAACTCCAAAATCAACTGCTTTAAATTTTCCAAAGATCTTAATATCTTCACCGGCTTTTCTTCGAAATTAGCGTAATTGTCTATGTATTTCTCGGTTACTCCCAAGTAGTATCCCACTTCTGAACCTATTTCGGCGCCTCGGTGATAGCCTAAATGGTAGCCTTCTTTGTTGCCTTGAGCTGCGCCAATTTTGTAGCCTTCTTCGTAGGCTTCGTCGATTACCTTCTCTTCCAGAAAGAGAATATCATTGAAAACATCATTTATATCCTTCTCTAAAAATTAAGTAATTTAGAATACGTATGTATTTAACGTGAATCAACTAACCCGTTAAATTTTCTTGCATTGTTTTTGTTAATTTACCATTTTCAAAAAATAAAATTTATAGGTTACCTAAATCTTCTTTTTTATTTTAGAAAAAAATAAATTTCAAAATCTGCTGTATACAGGCATAGTCAAAGGCTGTGCAGATATGTTTAACCAATCGAAGCGCTCCACATGTTAGAACAGCTTTTAATTGGCCGAGTGGTTAATTGCAGTTTACGTTTCATCGTGAAAATTGTCATTCTTATTAGAAAATGTAAAATTGTGATTAATTTTTAAGTGAAACTGTGATATGTTGTATTGAAATCGTCGTTCTCCAAAGCAACTGTACTCGAAAGTTTAGTCAGAATGAATCTAAAATCCGTACAGACGTTTCTACTAGTAAGCCTAATATCCACTGCCTTAGTGTCCGCGGGAAGGGACTTTTACAGAATACTGAACGTATCCAAATCGGCCAGCCTGCACGAAATAAAGAAAGCCTACCGAAAACTCGCCAAAGAGCTGCATCCTGATAAGAACCAGGACGATCCCAATGCGGCCCAGAAGTTCCAAGATTTAGGCGCAGCCTACGAGGTCCTCTCCGACGAAGAGAAGCGGAAAAAGTACGACAGATGCGGCGAAGATTGCCTGCAGAAAGACGGCATGATGGACGGCAGCATGGACCCTTTCGCCAGCTTCTTCGGAGACTTCGGCTTCCACTTCGGGGGCGGCGAACAGAAGCACGAAACCCCCCGAGGAGCCGACTTAGTCATGGACGTTTTAGTAACACTCGAAGACCTGTATACAGGTAACTAATTCACTAACACCGTTAACAAACCTCCCTGTAACTAACCCATCGATTATTCCAGGTACATTCATCGAAATCACGCGGAATAAACCGATCCTGAAACCCACAAGGGGCACCCGCAAATGCAATTGCAGGCAGGAGATGATAACGAAGAGTTTGGGGCCCGGTCGGTTCCAAATGATGCAACAGACGGTGTGCGACGAATGCCCCAACGTGAAGCTAGTCAACGAAGAGAAACTGTTGGAGATGGAGGTGGAGCAGGGGATGGTCGATGGGCAAGAGACCAAGTTCATCGCCGAAGGGGAGCCCCATTTGGACGGGGAGCCCGGGGATCTTATATTGAAAATCAAAACGCAACCGCACAAGATTTTCGAGAGGAGAGGAGACGATTTGTACACTAACATTACTATAAGTTTGCAGGTATATTCTTCGTAAGTGGTACTTGAATGTAATTTATTGAATAATAATTATTTGTAGGATGCTTTGACTGGTTTTACGATGGAAATTAAGCATTTAGATGGACATAAAGTTAGTGTTGTAAGGGATAAAATTACTTGGCCTGGAGCGCGCATTCGAAAGAAGGGTGAAGGTATGCCCAATTATGAAAATAACAACCTACATGGCACTTTGTATATTACTTTTGATGTTGAATTCCCTAAACAAGAACTTACAGAAGAAGATAAAGAAGGTAATTTATAGTCTACTAGAACTTTGGAATAATGATTTTCATTTATTGAATGATATTGACTGTTGTACTTTTGTGTTTCAGCCCTGAGGAAAATATTAAATCAAAATTCGATTAATAAGATTTATAATGGCCTCCGAGGATACTAAGCACTTTCTGATAGGAGTTATTTTTGGATTTATTTATTTTTTTTTCCTATTTATTGAAAGCGAAAGAAACTTATTTGTATATAAATGTAGAACAAATTTACGTGTGAATATTCATTTGTAAATATACTTTTGATTGTAAAACAATTCTATCATTGTATTTAGATTAATATAATACATACAATGGTTCCACGAATGCATGTTTTTACCGATTCATACTGTTTGTATTTGTATAAGAGAACTTTGTAATATATATAGTGATGTATTAAATTAGTCCATATTTATCCTAATCCCAATAATTATTTAAATTACTATTTATAAACATTTTAATCAATATTTCAAATGTATGGCAAGAACCCATGGACTCAAGTTTTATTGTTATCTTCAATCTAAAAACATCTATTAATTTCCTTTAATCTAATTGATTAAAATCGATGGTTGTTTCTCTGCGGAGGGTAAAATTTTAAATTATTGTACTGAATAACTGAACAGGATAATAATTAACTGAATAATTAACAAGATAAAGGCGCACTTTTTTATTAAAAATGTGACAATTGACAGCTTGTTATAGGTTATATGTCAAAAAAGGAAAAGCATGAAGATTATTTATATTTAAAACTTTTAAATAAAATATAAGTGGAGCGTGCTTAATCAATAGGAATAAATAAATATTATACTATGGCTTTAACATTTTCAAGTAACTTTGCAAGATCAACGACGATAAAATTGTTAGGAGAAAAATTTGCAGCAATAAAGTAACCTATTCCTATAATTTGTCTCAATTTCTATATATTTTTTTATTTATTTTAGTTTAACGTACAATTCTAATCAAATAAGGGAAAGGCACGTTCTAAACCCGAAACCCAGATTGAGAAATCCTACATGGTTTACGAAGCAAATGAAAGTTGTAAGTACCCATTATCCTGTTAAATACAAATCAACACTGACAATTAATTTATGTAGAAAAGAGATGAACTAATTACAAGAGAAAACGAAGCTTTCATTCAACAAGCCGTTCAAGATAAATACAGCAATGTCACTCCTAAAGCAGAAATAGCAACTAACGTAGAATGGTCACCCAAATACCAAAGAACCGGAGTAATAGCCAGAAAAATCGGAGTGTACCCTTTATGGCTCAAAACCGGAGAAAAAATCCAAACCACTTTACTCGAAGTTCTCGACAATCATGTAGTCAAACATTACCTCCCGGAAGAGTACGATCCGCCCAGAAAGCGCCCAAAATTAATCGTTAACAAAAAACATTGTTTAATTCTGGGCGCGGGTGCCGGAGACCCGACCCTTTTTACCCGGGAATACTGCGGTTTGTTCAACGAATCAGGCATTATACCGAAAAAAATACTGGCTAGATTCTTCATAAGTCCTGAAGCTACGTTACCATTAGGTACGTTAATAACAGCCAAGCATTTTCAAGTAGGCAACACTGTTGATGTCAGAGGAAAAACGTAAGAAACACAATTCAAATTCTGTTGAAATGAAATTTAATTTACCGGTATTTCTTGTAGAATCGATCGAGGTTTTCAAGGTGTGATGAAGCGCCACGGGTTTAAAGGAATGCCAGCATCTCATGGAGTCACGAAAACTCACAGGAGGCCTGGTAACATAGGCGGCGGTGGAGAAAAAGGGAGAGTTTGGCCCGGAACCAAATTGCCGGGGCATATGGGCAATACGTGGAGAATCGCCAAGGGCTTGAAGATATTAAGGATGAACACCAAATACAACGTCATGTGGGTCTCGGGACAGGCCATTCCCGGAGAAACTAATTCCATTTGCTATGTGTTTGATACTAATCTACCATTAAGAAAACCGGAAAAACCAGTTCCTTTCCCCACGTATTTTGAAACGGGAAGCGAAGAAGTTCCTGAAGATATTTACGATGAAAGCATACATCGCTTTGATGACCCTTCCCTTATTTTTAAGGAACAAAAGTAGTTTGTAAAGTAGTACTTAAATATAAAATTACGTTAACAGTAAATTTTCGTCTAAAAAGAAGACTTTCCTTTGCTAAAAATACTGCTAAATGGACAATGAATAAGTTCTTCTAAAGTAAAAATTACGAAACTTTTATTAAACATATAAAGCAAAAAATAAATAAAAATCGAATCCAATTTTCGAAAACTCTCATAAAACGCATTCCTACACAATTTAAGGAAAACCATCGTCATCTTCTTCGGCCATTTCTTTCGCCAGCTCCAAATCTTGCTGCTCCCTTTCTCTTCTCTCTTCGGCAGATTCCAATTCTTTCCCGTACGCTTTCGGAGGATACCTCATGGCCTTCACGCTTTGATTGTGCAGGTCCAAGCAAAACGATATCCTCTGATGGAAGGCGAGTTGCGGTTCCTTAGTGCAATAAATATCGGTGCTCTCCTTGCTTCGCATGTACCCCCCTTGAGGGTCCAAGATAGCCTCGATTACGCCATCCCGAATAGCTTTAGCAACGATAAATTCCGCATCTTCCGCCGAATCCAGGCCGAGTTTCTTGGCTATATCTTGCGGGGATATCCTCGAATAAGACAACCCGATTGATCTTATGGCTGTTTTTATAACGTTATGACGAAGCCTTAGTATTAAAGTGAAGGTATGATCCTGTCTAAACTGGGGCCCAAAGTTCTCCAACACTTCTCCGAACCGGTGCAAGTTCCCCATTCTAACCGCCTGGGTTAATTGGAAGTAAGGAGCCAATGAGTGCCTCATATTGGCCTGCCTGAAGACCTGCCTTTCTGGTATATCCCCCAGCAGTAACTCCACAACGATGGTCAGTTTCTGCACCGTTTGACGAAAACCCATCGCAGCGTTTTGAGGCGCTTTTCTCATCGCTTGAATCAGGTGTTTGTGCGCAACGCTGTACTCCAACCGGGCGGCTTTGATCCGGCCCAAGTAGTACAAATACCTCGCCCATTCGTTGTTACTGGCCGTTTCGGGATAGACGCATTTGTTCACCAATTTATCGGCTTGATCGTACAGCGAGTAGTGCAGATAATTCCTCAGCAAGCAGTTAATCAGCACGGCTTGGCCTTCGAAGTCGTTTCGCAGGGTGGCTGTTCGTAGACGGGAGTGGAGGAAACTCCGGATAGAATCGAGCTTGTCGGTGAGCTCGGCCACTCTCGAATGGTAGAAGTAACATTTAGCTGCTATGTGGTCGATGGTTCGTCGGTTCTGGCTGGTGATTTTGTTCATGATTATGTTCGAACACCGCTCGGCTTCAGCTAGTTTATTGGTATCGATCAGTCGAACTAAAAGTAGTAAGTGAATGTAAGCATCTACTTCGGGAAGAGGCGTTTTAGTGGCTGATCTGGCCCTCGACTGTGTAGCGTCTACGTCACTGGCAGATTCCTCGCTGAGGCCGAACAGCACGTCTCTTTCGGCGACGGGGTACATTTGATTGATAAGGCTTCTGAGGACTGTTCCGTTTAGTTTCCTTCTGGTGTTAGGTAAGCAGCGTAAAACTCTCAATATGAAGCGGTTTTCTTTGCTGCTCACTGCCTTCTCGATCTGCCTGGCATGTTCGCGAATTTCCAGGACGCTTTGCAAGTCGATGTCCCGTTTGCTGTCTCCGGCTTCCATACCTGCGGGACTGTCTGCGTTTTTCATTTCAACGTCGGTTTCTACGCCCATTTTCATTCGAATATTTGGAAAACAAGAATTGGTTGTTGAAAAATTGTTTTTCGCTGTGTAATGATGACAAATGACATTGACGTGTTGATATTGACAATGACGTTTAGAAAAAAAAAAAGAAAAAAATATCTGCCTTTTACTTATACACCATTCAATCATCAAAAAATGCAGTTTTGCTATGTTGCCAATGGATTGAATCTTATTTTCATAGAGAGAGAAAGATGCACATTTTTATTTTGCATTTATTTATGCAGACTTTTATTTTGTCTATGCTTACTTGTATTAATCGTTTAGGAATAACATGAGGTATCTTTTAATAAAAAAACATTGAAGTTAGCAAGATATGACTATAAACTTAACGAAATATATACGACCGTATATGAGAACGGTCTTTAAAGTTGGCAACACTGAGGCTATTCCTACTCCGTCGTCCGTCCTTCCCCCGTTCCCATTTTCAGCAATTTCTTATTTTCATCCGTAATGTAAATTGTAAAATCAGTTGTTGTTCTGCAGTCGACCGGAACAGTAATGTGATGACTCGACCGTAGAGCAACAACTCTTTTTTTTTTTTTTTTATTTGCATTATTTGGTAAGTCGATACTATTTTTTATCAATTATTGCTAATCCATTCCTCTTACTAAATTGAGATTATTAGCATGATAATTGAATGCAAACTACTGCAGTTTTGATAAGTTTACTGTGATAATCTTGCTATCTGTCCCTGCTAAGTGTACATATGTATATATTTTTGAAATATTAACAATTTCATTTTTTTCAGGACCTCTTCATCTCTTCACTCAATTTCACTCAATAGTCTGAATTTGGAATGGACGACTCGCTTTACTATGGACCTACATCATTTGTGTAGATTCAAACACTCTGGATCTGTGGATTTCGGCGTTCTCTTTCGGGGAACGCCCAGATACAGGGATAGGTTTCCAATTCAGGGCCGCCTCCCAGTGGTCATGTTTTGCCGAGACCTGTCCCGAACAGAATCTAGAGAATACGTAATCTCACTCAATGATACCAAAAAAGCCTCAAGACAAACAAATCTACAAATATATAAATCCGTGCGCGTTGTACAATAACTTTTATAACGACCACCGTTACCTTAGTTATTGTGCAACATGCACAATTTGTCTGAGGTGTTGTTTGGCTTTTACACCTTTGACAAGAAACTTCGGTCTTTGTAAGGCTCGAATTTCCGAATTCGATAGCCACTGTAAATTTGTATTGAATTTTTTTGTTCAAAATGTTTTAGGAATCTGTTATTTCGATGTTAAATACTGATGGTTACCTTATTGTCAATAGAATATGTAGTTTGATGTCCACAATGCAATAAAATGTTTAAAAATTTAAATCCTGTTATGCGTTTTATTTAGATAAAATCTAAATATAAAATTATCTAAAATTATTATAAAATTAAGATAAATGTAAACTTATTAAAAAAATAGTACTATTACTATTCTTTTCGATCTGGTTATAAATAAATATGATAGTCTTTTTAGAATATGAAAAATAAACGTCTCGAGGGGAATTCCCGAAAAAAAGCAAAGCACTCTGCACTCTCCGATTCGACGTGTCAAAAAATATCTAAACCAAATTTAGTGATTCTACAACTGAAATATAAAGAGAAAAAAATTTTAGTGGCGAATTTCGAGGTATTTTGAAAATCACTAGTGAAATTTAGTTTCATCAATTTTAAGACATCCTATATACGCGCCATAGAGCTGTTTATGGATATAGAAATGTTAATATTTTAATCGATAAATCCGATTTTACAAAGTTTTAGAAAATATTTTTATTTATGTTTATTACAATTTAGTGGCAAATATTGAATTAATTAAATAGCAATAATCTTATTTTTCACAATAACTGAGCGGATGCATAATCTTATCGCGGATTTGACAGGCTCTTATATGCACATTATGCACTTTTACAGAATGACGTCGAATATTTCAGATACTTATAACGTAATTTAAACACGGATTTATAATATTCAGTATTCAAGCTTCCTATAAATAGCCATAGTTTAGCGAGGACAATGAATAAATCTAACTATTTTCGACTTATTCAGCTTATCACGGTCCATTGCGCAGACCACGACAGTCTAAATGAAATAAATTGAATTGCGTAATTCTCCATCTTTATATCATCAAGAACTTTTTTTTTCTATATTTCTATTAAAGAATTGGGTAAAATAATAATAATTGGCACAATATTTACTTACCAGGAAATTATCTTAAAAAATTCACATGCTGTAAAACCCGAAGTTTATTTAAACAAGGATCAAGTTTTTCCCAGAAATAAATTCTTATTTGCATTATTAGCATCAATTCTACAAATTAATGTGTGTACACAAAACTTGTGTTATTTATTTAAAATCGGTGAGATAATAGTTTGCATTCATATAAAAGGGATATAATTTTGGAAATTTTAGATATTCGTGTTAGTTCGTCAAAAACATAAAGATGGCCAAGTTGTGGGTAAGTTAAGAACCATTTTTTTTGTAATTATACAAACGACAATCCAAAAGAGGACAACCCTCTTGATATTATTAATATTCTCTAGTGTATATCTAAAATAGTTACTAATTTATTTAATTTCTTTCTAGTTAACTACGTTGACTGTTATTTTATTCACCGCTTCCTTCGGTCAAGCTCAACATCATGCTACTGGCTTTAATCCCAGACCTCACCCTACTGGTTTTAATCCGCATGCTACCGGTTTTAATCCTCATGCTACCGGTTATGTTCCAAGACACCAAAGGGATGTAGAACAACCTCACGCTACTGGCCTCCGCCCCAACAATCAAGCTCCTCATGCTACCGGCTTTAACCCCAGACCTCACCCTACTGGTTTTAATCCCCATGCTACCGGTTATGTTCCAAGACACCAAAGGGATGTAGAACAACCTCACGCTACTGGCCTCCGCCCCAACAATCAAGCTCCTCATGCTACCGGCTTTAATCCCAGACCCCACCCTACTGGTTTTAATCCCCATGCTACTGGGCATCAAAGAGATCAAAGAGACGCTCAACATGCTACTGGCTTTAATCCGAAACTTCACCCTACTGGTAACCAACCACCTGCCGATTTTCAACCTGCTCCCCCTAGAGACTTGGGCAGTCGAGAAGTTCCTGGTTACGCGCCTGTTGTGCCATATTAATTGCGATTAAAGCTTTTTCATGCTATTGAGATATTGGAATGACATTGTTTGATTTTTGTGTTTTTTTGTAATATAACGTTTTGTTTTTTATTATTTTGTCTTTCTCGTCATATCTGCAGATTGAAGAAGAAGCTCTGCAACAAATCTACAATTACAGTGTATGTACTACATGACACTTACCAATATTCAATTGTACATACACTTGTTGATACAATGAATTAGCAATTTAGATTGTCATCGTTGATGTACTTGTCGCAGAAATTTTGGCTATGTCATATTTTTTAGTGTACTTGTATCAAATGTAGATAGTATCTTCGTCATTAAGAAGTTCGTTATCTTTCCTGATTTTGTCTACTAGAATTATTGTTGCGTCAGGGAGTTTGGTGCTTAAATAGCCGTAAAGTACTAAATACGGAGCATTTCAATTCGAATTAATCTGCATTCAATAACAGTCAAATTTGCATGACACGATGGAGAACACAATAATGAATTTCGGAGCCGGTCCATCCAAACTACCAAGAGAGGTAAGAGAATTTTTCATTAATTAAATTGGCTAATTTCAAAACTCTGTCTTTAAATAAGCAATTTTAGATGGAGTATTGAAATATGCAAAATCACGTTCTTCATATAGTTTTGAATGTCATAGTGTATTTTAAGAGAGTTTTCAAGTCTTGTTTATTTTTTAATCGTAGTGCTATTTAGGCAAAAGTGCCTAAATAGCATTTTTATTGTATCATAAACAAAATCTCAATTCCATTTAAAATGTTTACAAAACATTCTTTATGTGCTGTGCGTGATTTTAAGAAGAAAATTAATGCTTAGTTGCGAGACATTGACCTTGTAGCGAGTATGTGTATATAGATAAGTGCTTCTCTCGAATTAGTTCAAATAATAATTCGTATCCTGCATTTTTTATATTAACTAATTTTCGTTGTTTTACCAAAAAAACACTTAATTGAGAATAATCTGTTAATCAGTTCATTTTAAAACATATTTTTTGATATACTAATTTTTTTTTGGCTTTGTAAATTATTCAAGAGATATTCGTTTAATATTAGTGGCCTCAACGATCAGGAAATACAACCACAACATAAAATATCAGTGATTCTTGTGTCCCAAATATCCGGGTTTGAATGTATTATCATTCTTTCCAGTACGAACGTCGAACAATATAAATCTAAATGATAATGAAACAAAATTCGCATTATCTCGACATTTTTATCAAGAAATGGCGCGCAAAAATTAATCAGAGTGTGAATGACATTTTAGGAGAATGAAATAGGTACTTGAGAAATCAAACACAAATATTTTGACAAATTATTTATTTATCGAGATAGGTGCAGGAAATGAAATATCTAATTATATCTTAAACAAAAACTTAAAATTCATCCATCTTATTTTCTCTTTTCTCTTTCTGCGCTATTTTCTTCGACTTCTTCTCGATATGTTTATGTATCTTATTAGATTTCTTCAAGTCTTCGTATTTCTCTATCAAATTCTCCAGCTTTTTGACAGCTATAAAAACAAATTAAATATACCCAAATAATTTTAAAATAATTTTCTATAACTTACATTTCTTTTTATATTCCGGCTTTTCTCCTTTTTTCAATTTTTCTCTTATTTCATTAGACTCTTGCTTTTTGACGAACTCCTCCTTTTCTGTCCTCTCACTTTCTCTAATTTGGTTTTTCTAAAAATAAAATTAAATGATTATTTGCACTTTTAATAAACAAAAATAACTATCACTTGAATTTTGGAACATCACCATGATATTTAATATTTCATTATTTTTTATTATCACACCAGACAAAGATGTTTATCACCAAAACATCTCAATTCGAATATTGATAATATATTATCTCATACACCCTGTCAAATTCCTAATTTACATAAAATAAAACTCAATAATTAATGCAATCAACAACACGCTTTGCGCTCATGCTCATGTAATTTCTTTTGCGGGACACCCTGTATAGTAATATTTTTGAATTTAATAATTTACATACCACTCTTTGTAATAACAGCTTAATGGTCTTTCTTTCTGCGGGGTCATCACAATTTTCTAATTTTTCTTCTAATTCGCGTTTTTCATTTAATCTGATATCATTTACGAAACTGTAATTAGTTTTGAACAAGTCTCTATCGAATTGGCCACATAAAGGATCAAATCTGGGATCTCTGGGCACACTAGTTTTCGCAACCACCGGAACAACATTAACTTCCGAACGTAATTTAGTAGGTACTTTTATCTTAGAACTAACTTCTCTGGGTCGATTTTTATTCACACGTTTGATTTGGAGTTTCTTACGCTTATTGCCCGTACTGGACGAGTTAAATAATGTGTCGTTGAAGGTTTTTGAGCCTATTTCTTCTTTTAGTTTTAAAAGTTCTTCGAAACTCAAATTGGATATATTTTCTCGTATTTTGCTTCGTTCTTCTTCTTCTATTTCCATTTTATGTCGTTAATTTTACAATTTATTAGCACTAATGTAAAATATTTCACGTTTTTAAAATTGTTCGCATTTTAATTAAGAGGTTATGTTGTTGTTTATGTCAAGATTGTCAAGTGTCAAATTTTAAATTCTTCTTTTTTGCTAAGTAACCGGTTAGATCCTTTGTTACAGGCATGTTTTTAATTGTGATAGTTTAAAGTAGAAGAAATGAAGAATTTTTTTGAATTGTTATTTGTTATTTTAAAACCTGTTACCTGTTTTCTGTTTTAATGTTTTTGAGTTCTCAAATTATGAAAAGAATTACAAGATCAAACTCTAGTACTTTAAAAATGATTAGTGATAATAGTGATAACGAAAATAAATCCGATGCAGAGCAAACGAAACAAGTAGATTTAACCACATTCAACAAACCAACTAAAGCTAAATTAAACGCGAAAAACAATGAAAACCAGCAAGTTCCAACGCAAGAAGGTTCCCAAAAACGAAAACACATCAAAATCCAACCAGACGAAACCAAGAAGTCAAAAATTTCACCAAAAAATTGGGAACAAATTTTAGACAATTTAAGAAAAATGCGCGTAAACAGCGACGCTCCAGTGGACAGCATGGGTTGTCACCAATGCCACGACAAAGATGCTCCCCCTAAAACCCAAAGATACCAACAACTTTTGGCTTTGATGTTGAGCAGCCAAACTAAAGATGAAGTGAATTACGCAGCTATGACCAGACTTAAAGAACACGGGTGCACTGTGGAGAACATACTTCAAACGCCCGAAGACACCATAAGCGAATTAATATACCCCGTCGGGTTTCGAAAGAGAAAAGCCACCTACATTAAAAAAACCACAGAGATATTACGCAGAGACTACGACGGAGACATACCAAACAATATAGAAGATTTATGCAAATTGCCCGGCGTTGGGCCGAAAATGGCCCATATTTGCATGAAAGTTAGTTGGGGAGAAGTCACAGGAATAGGCGTGGATACTCACGTGCATCGTATATCCAACCGACTAGGATGGGCGAAGACCAAGACGCCTGAGGACACGAGAAAGGCCCTCGAAGCCTGGTTACCGCAAGAATTGTGGAGCGAAGTTAATCAGTTGTTAGTGGGCTTTGGACAGCAAATATGCCGGCCTGTTAAGCCTAATTGTTCCACTTGCTTGAACCAAAAAATATGCCCTTACAGTAGAAATAAGTAACTATTATTAACTGTTATTGAATAAATGTTTACATTTATCCCCTAGTTTCAACTTTTACCACCACTCTACATTTAAGAGGAGGATTAATTCTAATATTTCATTTATGTTTTCAGGTAATTTTGGGTATCAAAGATGAGCTTCTATCCTTCAGAGGCACCGGCATGAGCATAACCGAAATAAACCACCGAGGACCGGATTATATCGAAATGAACAACCAAGCTCGCGATTTATTGCGGAAACTATTGTAAGAATCTGTTATTTCATATCGTATTTCGTTGCTAAATTTATCATTTCCAGGAACGTCCCCCCTACGCACGTAATACTTTTCATACAAGGTGGAGGCCAGGGCCAATTCGCGTCAGTTCCATTGAATCTGATGGGTCGAACTGGCACCGCAGACTACCTCGTTACGGGAATTTGGTCCAGAATGGCGTCGAGAGAAGCCATGAATCACGGCGAGGTAAACTTGGTAATAGACTCCGACGATGAGAAGAGCATTCCTGATCAGAAAACCTGGAAACTGAATCCCAATGCTTCCTACGTGTATTATTGTGATAATGACACCATTCAAGGTAGAGTTTAACTGGATAAATAGTTAATAAATACATTCATTTGTATTGAATTTGCAGGTGTCGAGTTTCCTTTCGTACCGGAGACCAACGATGTACCGTTAGTAGCGGATATGAGTTCCAGTTTTTTAACCAAACGAGTGGATGTATCTAAGGTGAGAATTCTCTATTACCACAGAATGTTCAAACTAATCGAAACAATAGTTTGGTGTGATTTTCGCAGCGGCCCAGAAAAATGTTGGTACAGCTGGAGTGACTATAGTGATTGTTCGAGAAGACCTTCTAGGAGATGCTAGGGAACATTGCCCCAACGTTTTTAATTACGAACTGGTTAACCAAATGGATTGCATGTACAATACACCTCCAGTATTTGCGTAAGTTTGCACATTTTGCACAATGCTTTTTGTTATTTCATAAGTACTTTTTTGACTCCTTAATCACACCTTGATTATTTTTTAGAGTTTACGTGTTTTACAAGATGCTCCAATGGATCGAAAAGCAAGGAGGTGTGGATGCTATGGAAGCTCAATGTGCGGAAAAATCGAAATTAGTCTACGAAGTTCTGGATCAATCGCCGGATTTTTATTTCATACACGCTGAAAGGAATGTAAGAAGTCGCATTAATATTTGCATGCACATTGGATCTCCTACAGGTAATTATCCTACAGATAAGTTGAGATATGGTCTATGAGTGCAACAAAGATAAGTTCCATTACTCACTCTAGCTACTGTTATGTTCTTAATCTTTCTTTGTTCAACTCAGAGTTGGTCATATTGCTGGCAGATTTGCACTTATATATGATTAATTGTAGGTGTTTTGGAATTGGAAGAAAAGTTCTTGAAAGAAGTGGAAGAGAAGAAAATGCTCCAGCTTAAGGGGCACCGTTTTACTGGAGGAATTCGCATTAGTCTATTTAATTCTATAACTATGGATGAAGTGAGGGAGTTGCTTGCTTTTATTAAAGAGTTTGCCAAGAAATATAAACCAGTTGCTAAATTATGATTGTTTAAATTTTACGTATATTGTAAATATGTATAGTGTAAATATCCGAATAAGTTATTATAATTTGTATAAATAAGTTAATAAAGTGTTATGTTTTTTCTATTTTCTCAATTTAATTTTCTCCTAGCTGACTTCAAATAAGGTAAAGGATTTCTGAAATTTCATAACCAAAAAAGAAAAAGAAGTCAATTAGAGGTTATGTAAGTTATGTTGAATTTAAGTCAGTTATGTAAACAAAAATAATTTAAATTTCAAATTGAGTATTTCCAGTATTTAAACTATGAAAATGAAACAACTATAAATTATTGTAGATATGTTAATTGATTGTCTGTGGAATTACATAGTTTGGATAATAAGGCAAGAATTACTTAATAGTCGTTAATAAATATCTAGTTTTATATTTTGTAGAAATAAAAATTATTTAATAATACCGGTGGTTATACTTTTATTCGGCAATTCACTACGTTCTAAAAATGAAAAGAGCACTATCGTACCTCTCGATCCAGAGAAACCTTTACCGCAATCCAGAGAAAAACTGCGGTATTTTAAAAGAGCAGCAATTTCTTCTGATGCAGGAGATTGTGCGAATATCGGAAGGTATTATACGTCCTATAATATGATCTATTTATTGAAATATATCCACTTTTAGAGATATATTATTGAAAAATGGCTCTGCCGTGGATTCTGCTATAGCAGGCATGATTTGCAACAGTGTCGTAAACTCCCAAAGCGCTGGATTAGGAGGAGGTTTCTTTATGACAATTTACAGTAAGAGCGAGAGAAGAGTTTACTGTCTTAATGCAAGGGAAAAAGCACCCTTAGGAGCAACAGAAGAGAAATATGCGAAAAATAAATACAACTCACAAATAGGTAATAAGAGAGAAATGATACAAACGTACAAACCCTAGCTTAATATAGATAACTGCAAAGTTGTACGCAATATGGTTTATGGGGGCAACAAAGACAACTTCCATCGTTTCGTGTAAAGGAAAAAGAAAGTGATATTGTGGGATTGTAACTATCTCACTCTGACTACTGTTATTTTAATAATCGTTCTTTGTTTAACTCATAGAATTGACCATATCGCACTTACCCATATAGATCTGATTAAATATATTTTCAGGTGCTCTAGCAGTTGGAGTTCCAGGTGAGATAAAAGGTTATAAAGAAGCTCACGAAAAATTTGGGAAGCTTCCTTGGAACAATTTAATCGAACCAGTCATCAAACTTTGTGATGAAGGATACATCATGAACTATCACCAGTATTGGTCTCTTCTAAAGAGGCATCCAGTTAATGATGAAAATTTGCAGTAACGTTTGCTTCTTGCAAGAATATTTTTAACTATAAGTTCTTGCTAATTGATTTCTGAATTTTAAGTGTATTTTCAATTTTAGGAAATGGTTCTACGATGATCGTGGAAACATTAAAAAGCCCGGTGAAAGAATTTATCCAAAAACATTATGCGACTTTCTAAGAGCTTTACAATCGAATGGGCCAGATGATTTTTATAATGGCCAATTATCTGATATATTTCTACAAGATGTCAAAGATCTAGGAGGATTAATAACTCAAGAGGACTTGGTTAATTACAAGTAATAGTATTTTTTCTATATTTATTATTATTCCAAATGTAGTCTAATGCTCATACATTTCAGGGTAGAGTGGCAAGAGCCTGTGAATGTAACATTAAATAATGGTGATGTATTCTATTCATTTCCACCACCTGGATCTGGTGCGATAATAGCTCTAATTTTAAACATACTAGATGGCTATAATTTTACTACAGAAAATTTACATGAATCCCATTACCACAAACATATTCACAAATTAATAGAAACATTCAAGTTTGCATCAGCTCAAAGAACAAAATTAGGAGATCCAAATTTTGTTGACATGAAGCAAGTAGGTTGATTAAAATTGAATTATTTAATTATTCTTTATTTTTTTTATTTTTCAGATTATAGAAAAATTATTATCGAAAAAAATTGCAAACAGTATTAGACATAAAATCGATTTTAACATTAATACCCATTACGATGCTAGATATTATGAGGCTGAATATTATTTAAATGATGATCATGGCACATCTCACGTATCAGTAATTGATGAAAATGGCAATGCCGTATCTGCAACTAGTACAATCAATATTTAGTAAGTTATACTAGTTTGTTCACAGTACAATGAACATTATCGTGAACAATAAAAATTCTAGTTTTGGAGCCGGTATAACATCAAAAAGAACAGGTCTAGTTCTGAACAGCGTAATGGACGATTTTTCTTATCAATATTCCGAAAATTATTTCGGATTGCCCATTTCAGAAGCTAATAGATTACAACCTGGTAAAAGGCCACTTTCTTCCATGGCTCCTTCTATATTACTAAATAATAAAGGAAATGTTAAAACTGTCATTGGAGCAGCAGGAGGGCCGAAGATTATCACAGCAATATCATTGGTAAGTATTACAAGGTTGCCATTTATATTTGAGAATTCCAAATTACTCAATCCTTAATCGATTTACCTTAATTCGACTTGTTTGTTGATAGTTTTTTTTGTATTGTATGCTAATATTTGATTGAATGATGTTAATATTGCTGAACTGAAGTTCCATTGTGTCCCATTTTTTTTGATTATTCACTTAATTTTTTCTTCTGTAATACAGGGCGTCCCAATGAAAAGTAGCCCCATTAATGAGCTTATAATTAAAAACACCCAAAAAGCTATAGCAAAATAAAATATATCCGCGAAAACGGCATGATTTTGTGATTAGGCGTTTAAAAATTATTAGCTCACTAAAAGGGCTACTTTTCATTGGAACACCCTGTATTACAGAAAATATTTCGATAGCAATACAACAAATTATCAATAACGGCCTTGCAAAAATGTAATAAGTTCAAACGCTACAATTTGCAACTTCTAATTACCATATCAGTTAGTACAATACTACATTATCTGAATATGCCCAACGTTCCTTCTATACTTATATAATTATCTGCTTTATTGTTAATTTTCCTTACACGCGCGTTATTCGCGAATTTGATACGCATATTCGTGCTTTCGGCGTATCGTTATTTCGTCCATTCGTTCCTTTAATCATTACTCACGACAGCAATTATTTACGGTATTCTGCATTACCAATTATAAAAATGATATGGCTCAAATAAAGCGCTTTTACAACCGAATGTAATCGACATTTTTATTTTTATGAGGGGTCCAAGGAAAATGCGGTCACCAGTTTCATGGAACACAAAATAATCTAGATATTAAAAAGATTTTATTTAGTAGGGTTGTGCATTTATTTAAATTTAAAAACAAATTAAGACGATACAATAATTTCGTATGAATAAAACGATATTTAATTCGAGTGCTACAAAAATTTTCTTTTCACCAAACTGAGGACGGTCTCTTTTAATTTCCTCCGGTGGTTCGGCCCCAGCAAATCCTTCCTCGTCCAATCGGAGTCCTGGAAATTTTCCGGACTGTTTTTCACGGCGCCTCGTTCGGTGCAAATCGGCTTCAGCATGAACAAAATGTGGTACACTTCACTCGACGCGGCAATTTCCAGCTCCCTGTTGAATCCAGCCCAAGAAAACCTACCCACATCCACCCCTTCGTAATCCTTCAAAGTATCGATAAACGCGTCGTAGTAAATCTTGAGAAACTCGTCGAAATGTTCGTCCAGCACTTCGTTAATGACGCTGGTGAAAAGGAAGAACACCAGGTCCTTCAGCCCCGAATCGTACCCGGTCAATTGCAGATCCACGATTTTATTCTCCACGCACCGTCCCCCTTCCTTCCGGATCATCGTGTTGCTGGTCCAGAAATCCTGATGGCAAACCGTCGCCCACGGTTCCCCGGGCTCCGGCTTCTTCAGACTCTTCACCGCCTCGCACACCGCCCGGATTCTATCCCAGTGAGGCGCCAGTTCGGCGCAATCGAGCGCTCCCTCCAGGATGCTGTCGTGGAAGACGCTCCGGATGTGCGGCACCTCCTCCATCACGCTGCTATCCACCAAGCACGGCATCACTTTCGCATCGAACTCCTCGCGGTCCAGCAGCTTGAAAGCGACAGGAGTGGCGTGGAATCTGGCCAAGTCTCTCAAAATTAATCGCACGGCTTCGGCGTCGAGCCCGCGCAGCCGGTCCTCCGTGCGGAAGCCCCTGATCTTGAGGTTCTCCAGCAGCAGCACGCACTGGTCGTCGACTTCGAGCACGTCGGTGTCGGCGTTTATCCGCGCCCCGTGGCATTTGGGGAACAGGTTTCGGTAGGATTTCTCCGCGGGGATGCCGTGCAGCTGCTGGAATCGCGCGATGGCCGGTACGGCGTCGGTGTAGGCCAGAACTTCCTTCTTGAAGGTGACGTACACGTTGAAGACTTTGCGCAGCATCTCGTTGGCCGGCAGGAGTTTGGCTATCAACCGGAGGTGCTGTTCGTTTTTGGCGTCGCTCTTCTTGCGGATTTTTAGATCTACTGCTAGGATGACGGAGCCGTAGTGCTCGCCCGGGGCCGTGCCCTGGCTGATGGTTTCTTCGGCTATCTGGTACTCTTCTTGCGGGTAGTCTTCGAGCAGGCCCGCGATGTCGGTTAGTTTCGTTTTCGCCATGGTTTTAGTTTTCTTCTGAGGGACCGAGTTGGTGCTCGTAACGCTGGCCCGTCGAGTTGTGAACGCTAATTGCCAGGAAGCGGCTGGTTAGTTACTGAATTGCTTCGGAAAAGGTGGCCGGTGGTTCGTTTTGAAAACAATAAGCGAGTAAATATTTATCGGTTGAAGTTGTAACGAGTCGAAGGCGGATAGCGGTCGTACGCGTTACGGGGAGAAATTAATAGATACGAACGATAATTATTTTCTAGAACTCGGTATTTTTATTTACGACTGTTGTCTGAGACCTTAGAGATAGGTAAATTAGGTTACTCAACAGTAAAAAATGATAAATTTTCTCGATTTTTCGATTTTTGAATCTAGATTTAGCAGAACGTAGAAAATATTTGTATACAGGGTATTCCATAAATTGTGGTTGCTAAAAAGGTACTCTAAAGATGTATAAGAAGTTAATAACGGATTTAAATTTGGCGCTAAAAGGATTATACTCTACTCTCTACTCTCTAGGTAATCTACTCTTTACTCTAATCTACTCTCTACTCTCCAATTTTGATAGAAATGTCATTCACAATAAGTACCTACCTAAATATAGATTGATAATTTTTATAAATTACTTTAATATTTTCGTCATTAATACACTTACTACACACCAACGAAAATAACTGATATCTTCAAGGTCGAATGCGCAATGATAAAATTATACTGAATTGGCATGTTCACTTTTATTATTTCTATTGAACAATACCTAAATAATTAAAGAGCCTTATGTAAACAGTTAAACAAAAGGTATTCCAAATAAATTTAAATTCGTTTACGCTCAGCTTTGTTGGGAAATTTTACCTGGTTATTTTAACGGCGTTAGGAGTTCGTGTTAAACTTCATTTGAATAAATTTCGTATATCTACATCGAATTGTACTATTTATCACGAACAAATAGAATGAATGTTAACTGAGTAATGAAAGACGTGCATGTGAGTATGTAAATTAGCCAAATCGCTAATTAATATCAATTTAAGAAATATGAAATATATTTTTAATTTTAGACTTTAATGCGCATTTTGTGGATGGGAGATTCGCTAAAAGACGCCGTAGAATCTCCCAGGATTCACCATCAACTATTCCCCATGGAAGTTCATTACGAATACGGCTTAATTTCCGTAAGTTTTAACGAACCTAATCCAACAGTTCTCAATTCGAAGTTAGAGTTTTTGTACGTGTAACCGTTGCTTTTTATTAGGACACAGTGAAGTGGCTAAAATCTTTAGGTCATACGATGGAGAGGAGAACCGAATCAATAGTTTACGCACTCCTCAAAGATCAAAACAACATAATAGGAATCGTCGACTCCAGAAAAGACGGCGGAGGAGTATACGGATTGTGAAGAAGTTGCGAACTAAACAAAAACGTAAGTAGATAATATAAAAAAAAGTGTGTATAAAAATATGTATCTAATAATAAAAAGATATATCGAGGAAACGTCGTGTCCTATTAACGCCTCCACCACTCCGTCCCTTCGCCCTTAAGACACACGCGAAATCGCGGAAGGAGTAAAATCTGCCCTACATAGCATTAGAGGGTATGCGTAACATTATCGACGAATCGTTTGGCGAGTCGGCCGCTTGGCGGCGGTAGAATCGCCGCCCTTTTGGACGTCTCGCCGCTTTAGTCGAAACCACTCGCCAAAACCGTGCACCAGAAATTCGTAGTGAAACCACTTCCGCGTATTTTCCAGGCCGCTTTCGCTCCTCCATCTGAAAAACGTAAGTACCGCCGGGTGTTTCGATCGGGGGTGGCTCGGGAACCGGGGAAAATTTTCTTTGGAATTTATCTGTTGCTTGGAAATTGCGGTTTTTGGGCAATGTAATTAATTTTTTTGGTCAAATTTTGTGGGGGTATTTTTTTTGTTTGAATAGTTTTGGTGGAAATTTAATTATTGTGTTAATTTTTGATTTTATAAATTATTTAAAAAAACTGTTAAAAATTAATTGTATAGGTATTTCATTAGCTTATAGTATCATACATCGTAACTGATTCAATCGATTGAATTTTAAATTTATTCGCTTTAATTGGATATTGTAGAGTATAGGTGATTCAATCGCCTATAATTTACATATAAATTATTACAGAAACAAAATTCGATACATCGATTTCCAATGTAATTAAAACACGAAAAAAAAATCACATTTCTCGTATTTCCAACACTCCTGGCTGTCCATTTGGGTTACCATCGTCCAACTTGTTCACGACTCCCCGATTCGCCGGAATTGCCAGCAATTCCAGCCGTTTTCGATTTCCCTTTCCGTTATTAATGTGTTTCATTCGCTTCTTTTCCGATCGACACACAACTCAACCGGTTTTTTATTGCAATCATTCCTATTAACCCCGTTCCGATACGCTCTCGTATGTATGTGGAAAGTTTTATTGCACCGCGAACTTACAGTCCAAAAGAACAGCGGATCGAAGCTGAACTTATAGCCTAGTTAAAGTTACATAGAAGTTACGTAAATCTCCCGAGCTCAGGAAGGAAAACCGGTGATATTACAAAGGGAGTGAGAAGATTAATGCCTAATGTTGGTGGAGATAAATGCCTGGTGTAGCAGGAGGATTACTCATTGCAAAATGAGTAAATATTTAATAGAATGAACAAGCTATAATGGAAGCTGTTAATAGAAGACATAACAAGAATACTAAATAGACCAACTCTTAGAAGAGTTGGTGGAAGAAGATGACTTAATAGAAGAATCTAGTGGTAGCAAAACTTGAAAACAAGGTTCCTTATAACCACCTTCGTTCCCAGGATAATTGCATATCCTCCGCCAAAACTTACAGCTGACTCAGCGGCAGTTCTCCAGCTGACTTCGGTTGGTTTGTTACAGCCTCCCGGTGGTCGCGTCGCACCCGATTAGACGACGTGAGCGGCACGCAGAGCCGGCAAAATTAGCGAGTGCGGTAAATATTGCGGCCCAACCGCCAACGGCCCCACCATTTCGTTCAGCAGCTTCAGGCAGTCCCTCACTTCGAATGTCAATTACTTGAAGCGGAGGTTCAGCTCTGGGGATCTGTCCTCAGAGTGCGAGGACGGCGATGCTCCGGTCGATCCGTACTCCAAGCCGCCCGTCACCTCGCAACCACAGGTACGTACCAAAATGCAGGGCGGTACTGCAGCGGTTTGTTCAAAATCCACTCGTTGTTCCTAGAAATGCACTGTTCGATTCACTTTTTTGACGCCCTGTAAAACTGGATGTAGTTAAGCTAAAGACGTGAAATTTTCAGCAGATTTAGCCTGTTGCGTTACCTCGGCGACTACAAAAAGTAAATATTCCCACATCACCCCAAAGGGTTGAACTACCCCTTTGAATGAGACCAATTTTAAATATGGGGAAAATTCGAACATGGTCTCATTCAAAGGGGTGGTACCACCCTTTGGAGTTGAGTGGGGATGATGCCACTTTGTGGACATCAAAAGAAGATATATAGGTATAATTACTGAAAATTTCAAATTTCTAACTTGGTTGTAGTTAATTTTACAGGGCTTCAAAAAAGCGAGTAGCTATACAATTTTGAGGGACAGTACTTTTGTTTTAATAGAATTTGATTGGATTCATTTATCATACGAAATTTTCGACTCGAAGATATAAAGCAACGTACCCCATTATTCTCTATGAATACACGAATATGTTTTTTATACCGCTATTGTGCGAGTTGCCTCATACGTGCCAGTCGCCCTCTGAATAATAGAGCGGGTTTTATTCCTTATTCCGTAAAGAACGAAAGATAAAAGTAAAGTGTTGCGAGATACCTTCGAGTTTCTCTCATATTTTCGCCTTTCGTATATCCACATAGAGCCACTCTATCCGGTTTATCGGAAATTTTATTGAAATCGTTGTATACAAATTGATCGAATTTGAATGGAACGAAGAATGCAGAAGAACGAACCTTCTTATCTCGACGCAATTCTGTTGCTGCAAATAAAAACAGCGACTTTTCCATGACGCTGGAGTAAACGCTGGGTTTTGTGCAGGCGCCGCCGCCGCCGCCTCCGTCTCAATCGAGCACCAGCGGCGATTTGTCGCTGAACTTGCGGGCCGGCTCCAAGACGACATCGGCGCCGAGTTCGCCGGCCAAGTCGCGCGAGAGCCTCCTGCAAAGGGTGCAATCGCTGACCGGCCAGGCGAGAGACCAAGGCGCCTCCATCTTGGGAGCGGCCGTCTCCAGCGCGTCCAGGGTCACCTCGGCGGTACGGCCTCCAGCTGCTCGAATTTTCCCTTGTCTACGCAACCGCTCCGTCTGTTACAGGGATCCGGCAGATACGTCACCTTGCTGGTGATCGACGACCAGAACACCGATTGGAGCAAATATTTCCGGGGGAAGAGGATCGGCGAGTATGACATCCGCGTGGAGCAGGCCGAATTCAGGGAAATCACCGTCACCGCCACGGCGGAGGGGGCGAATGTTTCGATGGCGGTGATTAGAGGCGGCACGAGAGTCGGGCGTTCTTTTCGACCGGATTTTCTCTTGGTAACTTTCGCGTAATACGTTCAACACCACAAAGATGATAAATTTTTAACTAGGTGAGACAAAACCTCAAAGACGCCGGCGAGGATTACAAGAAGCTGCTGCTGGCGTTGAAGTTCGGGGGGGTTCCGAGCATCAACAACTTGAACGCCATCTTCAACTTTCAAGTACGTAATGCGCTTTCGACGAATCCTAATAGCGAGTAATTCACGCCGTGATTTCCGCAGGATAAGCCTTGGGTGTTCGGGTTTTTGGTGCAACTTCAACGGCGCCTCGGCAAGGAGAACTTCCCGCTAATAGAGCAAACTTTTTATCCCGACCATCGCGAAATGGTAAGTGATTGATTAGATCCTGTTTTATTCAATAACCCGCCTGTGGCGCTAATTAGTAGAGCACTTACTTATCTTTATTCAGGTTTAATAGTTGCGTGAAACTTTACAATGAAGAGAATAGGTAACAGAGATAACGATTAAATAATTATTAAATTACTTGTACTCAACATTTGTTCATATATTAATATTAATACTGCATTATCTAAGTACCTAGTTATAAAAGAAGAGGGTTTGTAAGTAGTCTTTTTATTTGAAACTGGTGCTTTTAAAGCTCTTCTTTTATATCAACATACATTTTTATATACATAGGTAAGCTTTCGTACAAAAATAAAATATGTATATACACAGAAACAACTAACTTCTATTATGGCTTTTTCGAGTAACTGAAAGCATCGGAGCTTTCAAGCTAGAAACTTAAATAACTTTTAACAACACATCCGAAGGCTTTTACTTGATTAAAAACGTATTTGCACATACGCGTACCTGTTTGATGATGATTGGATTTAACTGTACACAAGTTCCTATACTAGTCCTCATACATGATGATTCCCAAGTAACCTAAAAATTTATGCAACCAAAAGTGCAAATGTCAAATAATAATTTTTAAAGTTTTGACAGCTTGAACTGTCATCTCACAACCGCGATTTATGTGTATCACGACGCTGATTGGCTGAGATAAGTTGGTCCTCGGATCGTTCGCTACGGTGCGGCGCAAAAGTGAAGCTCAAAAAGTCCTCAAATAACCGGACACATTCTCTAATGCATAAGCATAGGGAGTTTCCAGACCTTAGAAATATAGACCCGTGGGAAAATCTAAGAAAAATACGTTATTTCTACCGAGATTTCATCGAGTTGACGTTGACTTGACATTAATGACAGTGTTCTAGTAACTTATTTTGTGGGTACCAACTTAAACATAACAAATTTACTAGGTTCATTTCGAATTCGGTCACGTGGGAATCAATCATTTATGAAGACTCTGTAGTACATACACGGTTTTAGAATTAAAGGAAATTGTAATGGTGATGTGTCCCGCCGCTCCGAGTGCCATTTCTTCGCCATTCCCTCGTGCAACTTGTGAGTTTTTTCGTCCGCGCCCACATGCACGATTTGTGCGGCTTTCGCATGCATATGCCCTAAAAAAGAATCGAGCAAACAATCAATAAAACTCGCGTATTCGAGCGGTAATCTAAGAAGTGGCGGTCGACGAACCGTCGTTCGTAAACGCCGATAAAACTGGAATAATTGCGGTTTTGAAGTATTTCGTATTTCCCACTTACTTCGTTAGTTTCGCACGAATTTCTCCAACTGCAACTGTCCGGGCGCCTGCGGCATTTTTTGAAACCGGGGCATCGGTGGATATCGCACGAACATCCGTACGAATAGAGCGCCCTGTAGCCTTTGCGTTGACGCTTCGTCACTTTGCTCCATTCCGTGTTCAAATCGCACATGCTAATGTGCGCCTTCAAGCTCCGAATGCTTCCTGAAATGATTTATAAAAAATGTATTCGATATTAGTTTGGGGGGTTTCACGATTTTACCTGATAATACGTACAGTTTTCCGGGTACTAAACTAACACCGCACATTCCATCGTCGGAGGATGTGCTGATTTTGCCGGATTTCAGAGCTAATGTGCCCTTTTCTGAGATTTTGAATTCCTTCCTGATCCTCAATTTGTACACTCTCATATCGTTAACAATCCTCTCCCTTTTCACTCTGGCTAGAATTACTGGAAGCACGAAGAATCAATCGAGCGATATTACCAATTTTAGTAAGCAAATTTAAAAAAAAACCCATTTGGTTCATAAGTAATTTATTTACATGAATCACTATTTGAAGCAGGGACGCCCACGGTCCGACTTCTTCGCATATTATGCATGTAAAGCCGGCGAAAAATATAAATTGATGCATTACAAAATCGACGTGGGCATTTTATTGCTGCGAGTTAGTTTACTCATAAACCCATAAAAAACCGAAACGAATTGTTCTCTTCGCATGTGGGCCATACCGAGAAGTCCGGGCGAATTCGAGAATGGGATTTTCGGGAAAATAAATACGATTGAGTCACTTCGCATCGCAAAAATTCGTTTATTTGGGCGAGAGATGAAAATGGCACCTTTGATGTATTTTACGTAAGGCGAAGATAAATTTGTAATGCTGCATTACGTCAGGAAAAATTGAATTTTTGAAAATAATATTTGTGTTCTCGAATTAGAATCGGATCGTCTATTGCCAAATAAATTGTATTGGAAAGATTTTTATTAGCAATTTGGCTGGTGTTAAAATTTGATAAAAGTTTCTGCTATTTGTATACAAAGTTTGATTCGAAAAAATTGATGAGGTAATGCATGAAAATTTCATGTAAAAAAATTATCAACTCTCCCAATTCCAAGAAATCATCCTCTAAAATTTGTGATTAAAGGTTGTAATTATTTTCCTCATTATTGAAGGAAAACGGAACATTATAATTTGCTTGGGTACTTAAATTTCATTTTCTTCAATTTTCATTCATAAATAAAATATTTTATAACAAATTCGCAACACCTCGTGGAACTATTAATGTTTGAATTAACTTGTACATACCGAAATCCGAGCTGCAAAACGTTTCCTGCGGATGTTGCGGTAAGCAGGAACACGCGTTTGAATAAATTATCCCGTTGCAGAAAATCGTCAGAAGAAAAACCGCCTTCATCTTCATATCCTGAAAGCAAACGTATAAAAACTTCTATTCCTTTGCACTTGCACAACAGCTCAATCTCAACTAATGCTCGGTTTGCAAATTCGACTGATTTATAATTTAGCGATTAGACCATTTCTAAAAATTAATCTATTACAAGCCAACAATAACTTTATTTATTAAAAAAAATCGACTCAAGCTTATGAAATATTGATTTACAACTTCGTAAATTCAATAAAGAATCGATGCTTGCAGAAAAAATTCAAATGTGTACCAGCGAAATCCATGAACGTGACTTTTATTGCTCTCGTATATCTCATTCGGGAATAACGAGAATTTATCGGTTATCGCTAAATTAGATTTGTTATTTATTATGATTATGCAACGCGATTGATGCATGCCATATTCGATTCTTTAATCCCATCCATGTAAATATATTCTACTTAGTATTCCGAGGCATCGCTTTTGCATGGGAACTCGGGAATTTATAATCGGCAGGTGACGATACCGAATCCCCGAATGTTTATAAACAACTCGACGAAAATAGCACTTCTGAATCTAATTGCGTTCGTGCAATCAATGCAATTTGTTTAGTAATCACTATCATAGCGAACTCAGTTAATTGCTTTATTTAGTCTATTTATGGCGCAAAACAAAACTATTGAATTGAGATATTGTTCGCCTTTTATTATCGTTTAATTAGCGTATCAATGCGTGTTTAAATTAAATATTAGTAAATATTTAAGAACTTTAATAGCATTTAATTATTACACCAGCATTAATTCATGAAAAACATCAAATAAAACACTTAATACAACTTACACACTATTAAGAGTAATAACAATAAAAATCTTTTTAGGTGGGAAAATGAATCCAATAATGAATTAAAAACGCCGCGTAACTCTCGTAGCGCTCGGTACAGTACTTAATCCAGTTTGGAAACGATGTCAAGTTCAGCGCATTTAACTAGCATTTAAATTAAAATACATCTACTGGATTCGTGGCGCGTTTACACGTTACGCAAATCGGACGAAATTCCAAAATTTAAGGCGGTTTTTAATTTAAAAATAGTCGGTTTACGCGGTAAATAAAAGTACCAGAATGAAATAATTAGAGTAACGTTACATAGAGATATCGAAATGGGTGTATTTTAAAAACGGGACGGTAATAAAATCGAATTTAATCGGATTGAATCGTAAAATGCTGTTGTGAAAATAACTCGCGATGCCGCAGTATATTGAATGGCTTAATTTATTCGCTACGTTATTTCTCGGCTGAATAAAATTTTATCGTTTAGCAAATAGTTGTACTAAAAGTAAAATTTACAAAATTTAATTTTCCATCCAGTCGTTTCGCCGCTATACATTCCAGATGTTCCAAAGTAATTTTAGTTTCCCGTTTTACCGCGTAATCCTTCTGTTTGGATATATTTCACTTCCCCAACTCTCCAAGTTCCTAACGTTAATAATTAATCCATTCATTAACCCTCCGCTTGGCATGTCGTCCTGAAATCTCCACTTTGGAAGTTATTTTTAAACGAGTAATTATTTAATATTACGGGGGTGTTCATCACTCGTTAATTGCGTTTGAGCATTGTCTATTAAATACGCAACAATCCGTTGTAATTGGAAGATTGGATCGGCTGGAATTAATCCAGAAATTGTCCAGATGAATATATAATCGCGCATTTCACGATCTAAACGTGCGCGTAAAATACAAGTATTTACCTACTTTCTACGTTTATATTTCCACAAACACAACACATAAACTTACTTGTTGTACGTAGGCAAGCGGCTCCAATTTAAATATAATAGTGGGATTTTTATCAAACTCATTAATAGTGATATTATTCAAAATGATACACTATCATCGTCGGGTCGTACTTTCTCTCCGCATGACGTACAACAACGAAACCGCGACATTCCATCTGAAATTAAATTTAACCGGACGCCGAAAGCGCGAAATTTCACAACCACTTCGTCGGGCGCACGTGGAATGCGCGATATATGGTTCTTTTTAGCGCTTTTGCATGCACCGTCCCGACGCAACACCGAAACCGATTGAGCGGTTTTACGGTCCTCACGTCGTTATAAATACATCCTACCTCACACACATATGACTTCATAATATGCCCAATTGGGTACGGTGGAAAAAATCGCCGGCCATTAGCGAAATACATTCAGGACACGGTGTTTAATTGACAGCACAATACACGTTTCTGTTTATTTATTTCGACGATTAGATCCGATCGCGATATCTCTACGCGTCGATTCGCTTATGGGCAATAGAAAGGGAATTAATGTTGTCTATCAAATGTACTAGGTTTTTATCTATTATCATACAATTTTAATGTTAATATACAAGTGAAATGACGGATTGAAAGGATGAAATGGTTATAGAATTGTTGGGTTATCTACAATCGATAATATGACAAGATGAAAACATGGTTATTCCTCCATGGATCAAAAGAACCATGTTTTGAAAGAGTAGAAGAGGAGCAATATTAAATTAAGTACCATTAAGAATGTTCATGTATTAGTACAAATACTCTTGAACAAAATTGGGGAGTATAAGGAAAGTATTCTACGAGGATCCATCAATTGCTAAGAGTAGTACAATATTGTAGATATAGATAAAATGAATCAAAAATAATCAATGAGTTTATTTATAAACTTACGTGTTTCTATCAAATCGGAGTCGATTACACGGTGTTACAAACCTTGTTATTACAGAAAAAGCTCAGGATTTTCTGCGGTAATGCACACTGCAAATAATTTCTTATAACTAAACATTTTCTCTTCTGGTGATACCTACGTGTAGAAACTAATGGAGCATCCCGGATAATAATGTGTCAACAACGAAAACGCGCGTTACTTATTGGATAATATTTGTCGAAGAAAAACCACGCCGAATTATCATAAATTTAATGGTCCTTGGTTATTTGCTCAAGTATTTTTGTTTGACTAGTATTTCTCTTTTAGCCTTGATGTATGGTATTTTCGAGCTATTGGGTAATGTTATTCCTTATTTATTCTCCGAGACGACGCGTAAATAGTGCAGATATTCAATGAGCTTTAAATTATACTGAAATTACCGATTGATGCATAATGCATGCGATTCTACGATGTGTTGAAACTCGGGAGAAATAACCCGGGAAAAATGTAGCGAATTAGAAACGGATTTCCGGACGATATTCTCAGGATATCCCCTTGTTCCAGATAACATTTTCACGTTTTCCAATCGTCGTGAAAATCGGCCACGCTCACGGCGGCTTGGGAAAAGTCAAAGTGGAAAACTTGAACGATTTCCAAGACATGGCCAGCGTCGTCGCCGTAGCGAATACCTACTGCACGGTGGAGCCCTACATCGATTCCAAATACGACATACATGTACAGAAAATAGGAAACAATTACAAGGCATTCATGAGGAAATCCATTTCAGGTACTTCTAATACCATCATACAGCTTATTTTTCGAAACACGCCATGCGGAGTACACTTCTACAGGGTGTCTACCAGACTTTTAGTAACGTAATAATACCTAACAGGTTGTTGGAAAACTAACACCGGCTCTGCCATGCTGGAGCAAATTTCGATGCCGGAGCGATACAAGATGTGGGTCGACGAGGTGTCAGAATTGTTCGGCGGATTGGACATTTGCGCCCTCGAAGTTGTCGTCGGAAAGGACGGGCGTGAATATATTATAGAGGTAAATCAATACCTTTCTTTTTCCTTCGAAAGAATCGTCCCAAACTCCTACGTACAACGGACGCGAGTATCGATTTAGAGCGTCGCATTTTCAATATAACTTGTCGATTAGGTGAACGACAGCGCTCTAACTCTCCTCGGGGACACCCAAGAGGAGGACAGAAGGCACATCGCCGATCTGGTATCGTCCAGGATGCAGGCGATCTGCCGGCCGAAGACGCCGCCGCCCAACGAGGAACCCGTCCCGCCTCCCGTCGGCCCAAGGGGGATATTGGGCAGCCTGACCAGCCTGACCAGGGACATCACGGACACGCCGCCGCCCAGCGCCGCCTCCGACGCGCCCTCTTTGAGCAACATCGGCAGACGGGACAGTCAAGGTGCTCGGATCGCTTCTGCGTTAGTTAGTTGGGTTCTTATTGTTAAATTTCTGCCGGCAGCTTCGCAGTCGAGTACGGTGAGCAGCGCCCCGAGTACCGGACGTCTTCCAGACCCGCCGCCCCGGCCGTTCCAGCGCCAGGGCAGCCAGAGCCAGTCCTTGGTCGAGGACACCGAGGACACCATGAAGAACCTGCGCAAAACGTTCGCCGGCATCTTCGGCGACATGTGAAATCCGAGCGCAGCAGTAACGTAATCGCGTAATCCGCATAATATGAATAATTGTTTTCTCATTGTTAGGACCGTTAAACTGAGGTACCAGTTCAAGATTTGTCAGGAAAACTCAGGTGTTTAATTACTAGACCCGGAAAGGCGGGAGGGATTAGTGGTGCAGCTTAATAGCCTTCGTGCCGTAATTAGTTGTTACGAGACTCGATGGTACATCAAATAACTTGGTCAATTTCGATTTTCTAGAAACGTACTGATCCCTACCGCGATTTTCGGTTATCGATCTCACTTAAATTTTGAATTGATACTTAAGCAACTGCATGGTTAACTATAAAATTTGCTAAGCAATATGTTGTAAATGACACGATTCACTGCCTTCGGTCAGATGTTCTGGCGGTGGTACCGTCTTTGTTAAGTTGTATTTATTAAAGTGGGTGCATAAGGTTAAAGTATCCGCTCTGCTCCGAAGATTTTGATCTCAGAAATTTTATTTCTCCGCGTTGAGCAATCTAGAATGATCATTCTGGCGGAACTCTTGGATGCGACCCACGTTAAATGTGTTATTAGGACTTTAGTAATTACTGTTTTTAACTTACAGTGCCCCTTTAGTTAGCGAGATATTAAGAAATACTCCACTTCCAATTCCAATAGAAACGTAAGAGTTATGAATAAATGTTTCCAAGGAGTTTATCGATGTCGAAATAACGTTGTGGTTACTATTTATTTTTTCTCCATTACATTAGATTGAAACAGACGCGTATAAAAGTTTTATGATATATTGAAAATCTTGATCTCCGGATGTTAATCAAATTTACCGTTAGATATACATTGCGTAAGTTTATACAGGGTGTTTTCTACCAGTAGAAAGTGGATCTAAATATTTATTTATTTAAAATTTTGCAAATTAATTTTTGAGGAATATAGAGTTTAATATTCTTGAAGATTGAACACCTTGTAGCATTCATTTTTGGGGTTTTACTAACTTACAATTCGAGATTAAAATCTCCTACGACTTCTATACAAAACGTTGAAATCGCCACTTCCTAATAATTCTAAAATTGTACATAAAAAACCAACAAAACACCAAAAAAAAACAGATTTTATTCGATAAAATTCTTGTTAAAAAAACGAATAGAATACGTACCTCTAATTCGAAAATAGAATAGAAAATGACAATATTACTTATGTCCTAATCTTGCACTTCTCTGTATGTTACATGTAATCCCATGTGAGTGTGTATTTAAAAAAAATTACTTAATTTCATCGATTGATCCCACGCAACGAATAATTGTTTACGATAACGATAATAAACGACGAGCTCGTCGAGATATCGTGAATTAATTTACTTTATGAAAACGTCGCCGATACGATCTGATTAATTCATAAATTTCATTAAAACCGATCTTACAGCGTCGATAAAATTCGAAACCATTAATCTTCAACATACCAACGACAAGATTATTTAGATTGGAAGTCTCATCGGGTTTGTAATTGAGGAACTATTGTAATTCCGATTACCTACAGAACGATATCGGCAAAATATTTTAGTATTTTTTTATGCGATTTTGTTGAAACTGTTGTTCTTTTATCGTTGACAATATGTGTATTTTTCATATCTGCTTGAAGTCAAAATGCGAATTTAACTCACAATAAACAGAGATTTTACTAGACAGAAAACCCAATAAATTATAACAATTAATGGAGTGATTTAAGATCTTAAAAAAATAGTTTTGTGTGTTAAATTCGCAAATCGATTGTACGTCTGTGTTTGTTCTGTAAAAGAAATTAACAACTGTATTCGATTGTGTAAAAGGTATAAAGGTCTTATTCTAAGTGATGTAGTTGCAGTGCAATAACGAAATTTTTGAACAAATGTGAATACCACTGAACTGTGTCAATATGTGAATAGGCCTTATTATAATTATTAAACATAGATTTTACATGAAATGTAGTTGTTAGAATTGTCAGAGTTTGTAGCTTAATTATAGACCTGTATTATAGTTACCTCCAGTTATTTTATTATGTTTACATATTTTAATGTTTACTGTTTCACATTAGAAAAATCAGTTGAAACTAATTTTACGTAGACTTAGTGCACAAATAAACTTTAAATTTGATTTTGTGATTCATCTAACACGAGTAATAAATATTGTTAGATTTAAATGGATATTAAAAATATATTAAAGTGATTTGAAATCATATCATTTGCTCGTTCATTTATCAATGAGCTTGTTAACGTAAATTTAGTTGTATATAAATAATAATACCTAAGACTTTATTTGGTAATTTAATGTTCAAACAAATAGCGATTGTGTAATTTAACACGCTAAACAACGTAGTTTGTTGACGATTCGACGATTCGACGATTTAATATAAAATAAAAAGTCGATGGCGTTGTTACAAAGATTTCGCGAGACATTTTGTAGTTTTTTATTCTCCGTTTGAATGCCGAGACCGAGATGTATAAGGAGGTAACAGTAGTTGAAACTTTATGTAGTGAAGCAGCTTGAAATGTTAAATTTGCAAATTGTATAGTGTTACATTGAATGATATGAATAAAATACATATTATTACTTATATGAAGTTTTTTTTCTTTATGAAAGATAGCCAAAAATAGTTTAAGAACATTTTGAACAATTGCTTTAGTTATTTGAATTACCAATAAAAACTATTAAGGAATAAATATTACTTAAGTACCTATTGACTTTTAGACAAAAGTTTTATAAGGCATTTTCAATTTAAATTTTACCAAGGATTCCTAAGCTTTGTCTCTGCAAAGAAAGCGAATCTGTAAAACTGGTTGCCTACCTATTAATACACATGCGGAAGAATTCTTGGATATTTTAAAATAATTGTTATTTTTACAGTATCTGGTTATAAATAAATTATTGCAGAGTCACGATAATTCAGTCGACGTGTAGAACTCGTGCAGTGTTCATAAATATTTTCTAATAAAAAGTTACCTAAAAAATGACCTCTACATTTTAAAACCTCTTTGTTCTTTGGCTGCAGTAAGGTGAAGTAATACTGCCGAAGAAGACCAACTTCATATCGCTTCATTGAATGTCACGTTGTCATCTGTCAACTCGCGCCGCAAGATCCATAAGCCGAACGACGTGCGTCAAACAGAAAATATATAAATTTAAATAGTTTGCTGAAAATGGGTATAAGTGGATTGATCGATGGTAATCTCTGTCGACAGCAGAATGTTACGGTCAGTATAATTTTTTTCCGTATCAACAATAACGCTCCTGGTTTTGGTCGTTACGCCATTGAATTTCAAAAACCGTAGTAATCGATAACAATTTTTTTTATTCTACTCATAAGTGACTAAATTTCTTACGCGTGTTTTTTGTGTATCGGCATAAACGGTTCCTCCTATCGGCTTTCGCGTTATTTATTATTTCACTACAATGTCGATACTCGTAACACGAGTAATATTTTATTTATGATTTATTGATTTATTTTTCGCACGATCACATTTAAATAAATTAATAACCACATCCACTTTTTCAATCGCTTCAACCGGTTGATTATTGGATGCGTCAACTGCGATTACCTTGACCTAACATTAAAAAAATGATTATTTATGCTAAAATCTAGAAGGCGACAATTAAATTGAAAAATTATCAAGTAGGTATTATGGTATAATTACAAGCGCCCGTAGCGTGAAGAATCTTTCAAGTTTGTCAGTCTGTCTGCATTATGCACACTTGATAGAGGCACCTTAAATTTTTAATTTTAGTTGAACAAACATTCAAATCAAGTGTGTTAGTTTTTTTTACTTTAGTATTTATTTATACAGGGTGAGTTAAAAAAGTCAATCTACTTCTGCTACTAAAACATTTTCATGTGAAAGTTTCATTTATTTTTATTTTTGATGTACAGGTAGATGCAAAATTGTTACTATGGGCGCAACAAATACAACTTCTATTAGTTTCGTGTAAAGGAAAAAGAAAGAAACGATATTGTGGGGCAACTTTCGCAATCTAACCATTGTTATTTTAATAATCTTTCTTTGTTCAACTCATAGAACTGACCAACACATTCGCTCTTACCCATATATTTTAATAAATCAATAATTTCTACATTTTTCTACTTAATGAAAAATGCTTCCTTAATCGCCCTGTATAAGTAGCTTTTTTTATAAAATTTAATATTTATTTTTTGCCTTTTTTTGGTCTCCAGGTAATCGTCACGTTTCGATTCTATTGCGTCGGTTAATTTTGTCATGGAAATGGAACTTTTAGTTTGAATTTTTAATTTGATTGGAATTTTAAATTGAAATAATGGTTGAAGAAAAAGTGTACATTAGTGATCTGTCCTACCCCATAGAGGAGAAGAAATGCCTCGTCTACAGGATATTCGGTAAGGAAATTTTACGAATAAAATTTAATTGTATTTAAATATTTACTCTTTTATCGCAAAATCAATTCCACGATGTAATTTTAAACCAATTATAATATTATAACGAGCAGCATATTTTTAATTACTTTCGCTAATCGACTTTGTGATAAAAGGAAAATATTGCCAGTTTCCTGAATTGAAACGGAGAATTTGGTGTTATTATTTGAATGATTCACTATTATTTATTAGTATTAAAACAACATTATTAAATTTATCTGTTCACATTTACTAATAACTAATATTATCACTTGTTTTTGTTTACTAGGTAAACATTTTTTATTGTTTTTTGTGTTTGGTTAGAATTATTGCATACGTGTATATTTTATTTTAATAAGCAGCGCCTTTATTGATTCTATTATGCAGTGAATTTTTTTTATTTTGATCGATATAAACCTATCGCAACTCATTTAATATCATATATCAATGTTTAACTACATAACTTGAAGAAATAGGTTTTATGTTTTTAAAAATAAATTATTAAACTGTATAGTTTTGTTTGTAGTAATATTTTACCAAATTAAACTCGTATTAATATTAATATTAATATGTTATTATCAATACTTTAAATGCCTTTCTATGCTAATTAACGTTAAATTAGTAGCAAAGTTGAATTTACAATGAGTTTAATGACGCGTTAGTAAACAGTTGTGTAGCAACAACCAAATTGATTATTTTAATATATATTTTTTAAATATTACTACTAAAAGTAATAATTTTTTTATTTTTTTATAATGCAAGTTATCTGTAGGTGTTACGGCAACTGCTGAACTGTTACTAGATAATGATCTTTGATTACATCGAACATAATATTGAAACAGGAAACAATTTTATTCGACATTCAAGTGGCAATTTTATTAATTCTAAAATAACTCATTATCGGGTCTTTAACTCAAAAACGACCTTAGCGAATATATTGTTCTAATCATAACTAACGAATCGTTTTGCTTAATTCGTCCGAAACTCGAATCTTAATAGGTTATAGGAAATACTCCGCAATTACGAAATATTTTTACATAATAGTTTCATTAAAACCGGTATTGGAACATTCGAAGCGATTCGAAAATTTTCCAGCGCAACGCTAAATTGCTTGTGACAGTGATTAATTTTTGCGATTCCGAAAGAAAACAAACACAAAATATTACCACAATTCGATCGAAACTAATTAATCTCGGCCTTAACAAGCCACATGTGATCAATAAAATAATAACGATTAATTAACGATGAAAAGTTTAAACGAGTTTATTGGTGGAACGTTCCCTTGGCGAATATGCATACACATAAGTGCAAATTTGTACGTCTATGGGTGCAACAAAGACAACTTTCATTGGTCTCATATAAAGAAAAAAGAAAGTGATAATAAAAATTCTTTCAAAACATGAAGGAATTCCTTCAAGGTATATGCATAAAAAGAAGTGAAGGAAGAGAGGTTTTGCTTCGAGGACCTTGCTGTTGCTTTAGAACAAAAGGTTTTGTGGAACTTTTCCTCTTACCTTTCGCTTCTACCTTTTATCTTACCTTTATTTTAATAATCTTTGTTCAGCTCAAAGAATTGCAAACAAATTTGCATTTATCCGTATTCCAGTTGCCGGAGGACGTTGCGAATTTTATTTCTTTGTAGGTCAAGTTCCGGCGCGTCTGGTCTTATATCTGCTATCATGGTCCGGCTTTTTGGTATCATTTATGATGCGCAATGACATAAACATAGCCATAGTGGCTATGGTGAAAGAACAACCAAGGGAAATAATAAAAAACGCCACAATTGAATACTGTTATGTTATCGAAGATAGCAATTCAAGTATAGCTCCTGTGGTATGTTTATAATAATATGAAATATGATGCATATCTAAATTGTTTTCATTGCAGAGTTTTAAGAAAAGTTAAGTACTGTGTAATCCCATTTTGTTTTTCATTAATATTAACGACGAAAATTGATACATCGTAGAGCGCGCGATAAATTTGGCATTTTATGGGTTTGTTTTGTCTTCGTTTAGATCATCTTTTCCATTTAAATACGACGATTTCGATTTAATATAGAATGCCAAATATTTCCACGCTTTACTATCATCATTGTTATGCAGTAAATTTAATATCCAGCGGAGCACGTAGCTCTTCTGCTCTTGCTTCTATTTATATAAAACCTGCCTCTGAGCTAACTCCCACGTTTTTAAAGCTTCTTTAATAAGTAAAAATTTTTATATAAATAACTCATTTTGCGATATTAAATATGGGAATTGGTTGTTAATTCAGTTGGTTCCGTTTTATTTTAGATTTACTGCATACTTATTTTTCTACTAGGAGATACACGAATAAACGAGAATTATGTATTGCAGTATTGTACCCCTATCATGTTCGATATTATTTCTGTTATCGAGCTCCATAAATTGCATATTTTATATCTAGTTTTTTATCGATAACCTTATCAACATCTGGTATATGCTACTATAATTATACTTTTTTTTCATTAACGCCTATCTAAAACTTTATTTCTATGGTCTCGTTGAATTTTGGATTTTCAAAATATTGCGCAACATTGGATGATGTTACGCATAAATCTCGTTCTTTCGGACGCCTCCTTGTCACTTTCGTTGCTTGTTATTAATAATAAAAATTATAATAACTCTAATTGTAGGACTATGGCGGCACGTTGGACTGGTCTAGTAAAGTACAAAGTTACATTTTATCGTCTTTCTATTGGGCCTACATTATATCTCAGTTGGTCGGCGGTCTGGTTACGCAAAAAATTGGTACGAAAAGAGTGTTTGGTTACGCCCAATTGGCCACTGCCCTCTGCAGCATTTCCATTCCATGGGCCAGCGAAACGCATTTCGGCATCGTCATCGGCTTGAGATTCGTACAAGGCTTCGCATCGGTGAGTTTCAATCGATTGTAAATTGTTATTATATTCAGTTTGCCGTCAGGAGATTGTAATAGAAGCAACAAATAATGCACACTAAATCAGGATTTACTTCTATCTCTGAAGTATTTTGTTTGTGTATTAATGTTTTTTTTGATTTTTAACAGGGTTTAACATGGCCTGCTATGTACGCACTTGTGGGTCATTGGATTCCTGTGCCCGAAAGAAGCAGATTTATGTCGAGTTTTCAAGGTACTCTCGATTTTTTCGCTTTATACAAGGTGTTAATTAATCGAGTGGCGATTCGATACTTCAGGATGTGAATATTTGGATGATTTTAAGAAGAAAAGTTTATAACAATATATGTCCTAAACCTCTTAGTTTTCGAGCTACAGGGTGTTACAGTTTTGGAAAAAAAATAACTTTTCTATCGTAATTTTCTTTTTACTACAGATGTTTTTATGAAATTTCCGACGGGGACGTCACTGGTAATAGTAGAAAATTAATTTTTATCCCCAAAAAGTAGTGTTTCCATGCATGTTGTGCGCCTACCAAATTTCAACAAAGTCAAAAGCAGTCTCAAAATGAACTTTGTGAAAAATTGTTTTGGTTGTAACAAAAATTGTAACATCCTGTAGCTCGAAAACTTTAAGACATATACTGATACAAACTTTCCTTCCTAAAATCATCCAAATATTCACATTCCGAAGTATCGGCACTCAATCAATTAACGCCCTGTATATTATAATAATTTTATAAAACAAACCTTTTATTTTTCCAGGTTTTAGCATCGGTATCGGTATAACTTATCCACTGTGCGGTTTCCTTATCGCCCACCTCGGTTGGCGCTCCGTGTTCTACACGACGGGTTCCATCGGCATTCTCTGGTGCCTGATATGGTACTTGCTCGCCTTCGACAGCCCCGAGACCCATCCGAGGATAAGCCTGAGAGAGCAGCAGTACATCAAAGAGAACACCATCGTCAGTTACGAAAGCGCCAAGGCGCAATCGGTGCCGTGGAAGGAGATTTTCAAATCGTTGCCGGCTTGGTCTATCGGCATAACGACGTTCGGAAGGATATGGGTGCACTATATTTTCATCGTGTCTGGTCCCACGTACATGAAGAGCATACTCGGATTTAACATTGAAAAGGTGAATTGATCGGATTTATCTAAATGTTAATCTGGTACCGGACTTCCCTACTCTACAGAATAATTTTTTGTCGCATTGTACGCGAATGGGTGGGACTTTAAGATGCGTTCGATGGTACATAAATGAAAACTATCGAAATTGACATTAATGACATTTCGTGTGACAGAAGTTTAATAGAGGTGGGAATCATTTGTTGGTATAAAGGTGCGGTAACGACTGTTACAAAATAACCGTTACTCTTCAAACATTTCAATATTTTTCAAAAGGGGACAATTATTTTGGCAAATATTTATTAACTCGTAATATTTCAGAACGGTTTGCTGTCTGGAGCGCCATTCATTTGCAGCTACGTCGCTTCTGTTTTGTTCTGTTACATAGCCGATAAATTGGTTACCAAAAACTACATGTCTTTGACGAACGTGAGGAAGTTAATGACGGCATCTTGTAAGTTTCCTCTAGCTGTACGTTATATTAGCTTTACTACGTTTGGTTGATTTTAGCTCAAGTATTACCAGGATTATTGGTACTGTTGATCAGTTACCTAGGCTGCGATATAGAGCTCGTTCTCGTCGTTTGGTTCACAGCCGTTACTCTCATCACGGCGGCTTACGCAGGAGCAATGGCTAATATCGTAGATATAGGTAAGGGTTTTATCGTGTTTTTCTATCGCGTTGATTTCATCGTTTTTATTTGTTCGAAGCTCCGAATTTCGCTGGACCCGTATTAGCGTTTGCTCAAACTATCCACATGACCGCTAGTTTCCTCAGCCCTTTAGTCGCATTCCACATGTTAGAAGGCCAAGAGCAGAACATGTCGGCGTGGAGGAACGTTTTCTACATTACCGCGTTCATCTCTAGCTCAACTTATATTGTTTACCAGATTTGGGGCACGGGAGAAGTATGTTTAATGTTTGAATTATCGTTGGTATATTATTGTGTATGTTTATTATTTCAGGTACAATCTTGGAATTACAATAAGAGTGATTTGCCTATTCCTGAGCAAGAAGAGCTCATTAATCAAAATACCTCTATCAAGCCATCTATAGCTAAAAATGACATACAATCGGAGAAACTCGCCAACGCTTCAACTATTGAGATATAAAAAGTATTTGAATAGCAAACTTATAAGATCTGTTTTAATATTTAAGACTTAATTATCGAGTTATTTTTGTTGTATATAGAGATATATTGAGTGACTGGAAATTATCGCGACGGTTTGTTCCGTGAAAATGTTGCCTATATTTTGAAGTAATATCGGTGTATCTTGTATTTTCGTATTACCTTCAAGTATTTCGATGAATTAATCGCGATCATTTCCAATCATCCGGTAGAAATATATTTTAGTTATTTAGGAGAGTAGCAAATTAATACATCGTTTTATTTTTATAAATGTTAATTTTATAATAAGTACTTACTAAGATTTATGGAGGAAATCCAGCAGAAAAGTCTTCAAGATATTGTGCGATAGATAGCAGTACTGCTTAGAGCATTAATAAATTGGTGAAAAAAATATTTTAAAAATAAAATCTGTTTAATTCTGAGAGTAATTATTTTCTACGTGCAACCCAGTTTTTAGTTAGTTTTTACATAGAGAAAGTAAGAAATAAAGTGTTAATTAAGTACACTTATCTATTAGCAAACATCTCTTGAAATGATTTAATAATGGAATTATCTTATTATTCTTGTATTTGCCTTCTGTTTTACATTTAAAATCTTTTCTTTAGGCAAACATTAATTCCGTTTTTCGATACCAATATTATTTCTGGAGCTAATCGCAGCCCTGGATTCGGATTTGCCGGTAGCAATTTGAAGTTTCTCAACACTTTTGATATCGTGCTTTTCATTTCGAGAAGCGCAAATTTCTGACCTAAAAATAATATTGCTTATTTCACTCCATCTATACCTTGTTTGTATCCTTATAAAATGTTTTATTAGGGTACTAAATTTCACCCTGTAATTTAAGATTTAAAGCCTCTCTCTATGCATAATGGTGTTAATTAATTAAATCCTAAGAAATAATAATACTAGAGGAACACTTACCTATACAATTTCTAGGTCCGGCACTGAAAGGAATGTACTTAAATGGGTCCGTACCGTCCATATCTAAAAATCTCTCTGGAATAAATTCTAAAGGTTTCTCATAATTCTTGTCGCTTCTCTGACAACCGTACGCAAACAGTATTACTTGAATATCTTTCGGAAATATCGAATTTTCTAAAAAAGTCTTAAAATATTCACTGTTATTTCCTAAAAATATTAAATTACCCCATTCGAATTCCTCCTTTACTCTCCTTCCTAAAATCGGAACAGACGGGTACAATCTCAACGTTTCTTTTATGACTAATTCTAAGTACTTCATGTTCTGAAGATCTGCCATTGTGGCTCGGGTGTTCTTAAGATCTTTAAATATTTCCATTTGCTCTTCTAAAGCCTTTTGCTGAAAGTGTTTATAGTTTATTCGTTATAATATTCATTCAACAATCTCCTATAACATACCTGAACCAATGGGTTATTTGCTAGGCTGTATAAAGCAAAACCAATTGCAGATGAAGTTGTATCATGACCCTACAAACATATGAAATGCCTAGAAATAGGAGTTTTGATAATAATTTTATCTACCTCAAACATAAATGTATCCACTTCCTCTCTAATGTCTTCTCTGGTAAGAGATTTGCCATCTATGGTACTTCTCAGGAGCAAGTCCAGAAAAGCCATTCGTTTTTTAATGCCGCAATCGTTGGTCTCACTTGATTGATCAGAATTTACTCGGAACTCCTTCATTCTTCTATCAATAACTGCGTCAGTATGCCTATGTAGTACCTTTAAAGCAAACTGTTCTCGATAGAAATTCAGAGTGAAGGGATAGAATCGCCGGTCTAATGGGGAAAAATTCCTATCCGTAAGTATCTTACACATGTTTTTCACGCTTCTCACGTAATCAGAGGATGCGTTGTTGAGGGCGTTGATTGGGGTGCCCATGGATGTTTCTAAATTGGGACAAAATTACATCTTTTTACTTATTTTTTAAAGTGACGAAAGGTATACTTACCACACATAACGTCTAGAGTGCACAATGAAATTATAGGGTAGATATCGAAAGAGGGTTTATCAACGTGTTCTTCAAGTTTTTTTACGAATACATCGCCGACGTTTTCGAAAACATCTACGAAATTTTCCAAAATCGAGAAGTGGAATGATGGTGTTATCATACGACGGCGTTTTTTCCATTTTAAACCTATAAAAATTCCCAATTAATGCCCAGGAATAGAAAGAAACTTGTGCCTTTTATTTGTGCCATCTTCATTTAACAGAGAACAGTTTTCTCTATGACTGTCCATTTATATAGTTTTCTGACATACATTAATAAAAATTCTGTATCTCATTTTTAACACATAAATCTACATAATTATCTTCATCCCTTAAACCTGCAACGCCCTGTATATTTTACCTCCACTTGTTAACAATCCCGTTCCTAGCCATTTGTACATGTGCTCATATTGCTCGGATTTTTCTATGAATTTCATAGAGCTTAGAATATGCTCAATTAGTTTTACGTCCGTTATTAAAACGGCTCTTGTTAGAGGCCCATTGTAAATTATAACGTTCGATCCGAATTCGTCTAACAATTTTTGAGTTACCTCGAAAATTTCTGAAAATAAACGATGATTCTCAATAAATGAAAGTACAAATTACAAGTCTTTATCAAAAATCAATGTCTGAGTATTTATATTTGTTTTTTATTCTTTAACATTTCATACTACGTAACATACGTGTGAGTAGTTTTAATAAGTTTTCTCATACTATTTCTAGTAAAATTGAATGAGAAATCGTAATAGAGAAGTGTAATTATTCTTGAATAGATAATAAATAAACGCGAAAATTATTATAAGAAAAATCAGTAGATAGTACCTAAAATGTATCTTACTTACTGTATGAAGGTACTGCAAAGTGCAGCATATTGCCAAATATAGGATTAGGCTTCGGCCCTTTAATATTTTTCAAGTATTTAGAACCATTTCTAACTTTTATTATATGCAAAACCACTAAAACCATTAACAACGATAATACAATTGATATAATTACACTCGCCACAAACGCAATCATGTTTGTTGCCTCGATATAAAGATGCATTTGGCTTTGATAATAAACCTTCAATTCCATTTACTCAATTATTTATAGATTTTTTACATTGGCGTGGAAACATCTTTATTTAATGCAGATAACACGAAACACGCATTGGAATAAAATCACTGTCTCTGTTAAATTTATAAACTAAATGGACATTAATTTTAAACAAAATATCGTGAATTTAATATTGCCTAATTGTGGCAAATTTCATCGATAATAAGAATTATACACATTTAATTTTTCTAGCCAGTAAAATTGCATGTACAATAAATAAAAAAATTATACTCGTATAAATTTTATGGTGCATGAATTCTGATTTCAATACAATAATTTCAAAATGTAATTGTAAGACTCTACCTAAAGTTTATTTGAAAAAATACCTTTGCGTGCTATAAAATGTAGTACTTATGTACCTACGTTGTACCTATATACACGTGCATGTTTTAAATATATTTTAATTAATCGGTTAATTAAAACCCGTCTGGTTGTAACGAGGATCGAGTGACATGTGGAAAAACATTTTTTTCATTTTACTTTAACTTGTATTTAAATAGTATAGTAAATAGTAATTATATTTATTTATAATTGTAATAAACGAATTAAAGTGTTGAATATGAACGATTTTCTGTCAATAATCTACATTCTACATAAAAAATTACAGTTCAAGTAGTGTTTCTCATCAAATAAACTATTGACCCTGCAACTATTCGTCTTAATAATTTTTATGTTACAATATCTGTTTAATTCGGAGAATTGAGAATGATTATTTAGAACATGAATACAATACAATATTAAGACTAGCTTTTTAGGTAATTTTTGGCATAGGAAAAAAAACAATAAAGTGAAAATTAACGTTAATTAAAATGTAATTACACTTATGTACTCATAAGCAAATCTCTAAATAATGGATTATTGTAATCCTCATATTTATCCTGAATTTGTATTCTGCTTTACAAATTAAACTCTTTTCTTTAGGCAAACATTAATTCCGTTTTTCGATACCAAAATAATTTCGGGGACTAACATCAGCTCTGGATTTGGATTTGCGGGTAGCAATTTGAAATTTCTCAACACTTTTGATATCGTGCTTTTCATTTCAAGAAGCGCAAATCTCTGACCTAAAAAGTTATTATTTATTTCACTTCATTTCTAGCTTATTTGTACCATTATAAGAGGTTTTATTAGGGTACTAAATTTCATATTGTAATATAATATTAAAATCCTCTCTAATACATAATGGTATTAATGAATTAAATGCTAAGAATTAATAATACCGGATGTGACACTTACCTATACAATTCCTGGGACCGGCACTAAAGGGAACGTACTTAAATGGGTTCGTACCGTCCATTTCTAAAAATCTCTCTGGAATAAATTCTAAAGGTTTCTCATAATTCTTGTCGCTTCTGTGACAACCGTACGTAAACAGTGCCAAATGAACATCTTTCGGAAATATCGAATTTTCTAAAAAAGTCTTAAAATATTCACTGTTTTTTTCTAAAAATATTAAATTACCCCATTCGAATTCCTTCTTTACTCTCCTTCCTAAAATCGGAACAGACGGGTACAATCTCAACGTTTCTTTTATGACCAATTCTAAGTACTTCATGTTCTGAAGATCCGCCATTGTGGCTCGGGCGTTCTTAAGATCTTTAAATATTTCCATTTGCTCTTCTAAAGCCTTTTGCTGAAAGTATTTATAGTTTATTCGCTAAAATATTCATTCAACAATCTCCTATAACATACCTGAACCAATGGGTTATTTGCTAGACTGTATAAAGCAAAACCAATTGCAGATGAAGTTGTATCATGACCCTACCAACATATGAAATGCCTAGAAATGGGAGTTTTGATAATAATTTTATCTACCTCAAACATAAATGTATCCACTTCCTCTCTAATGTCTTCTCTGGTAAGAGATTTGCCATCTATGGTACTTCTCAGGAGCAAGTCCAGAAAAGCCATTCTTTTTTTAATGCCGCAATCGTTGGTCTCGCTTGATTTATCAGAATTTACTCGGAACTCCTTTATTCTTCTATCAATGACTGCGTCTGTATGGTTGTGTAGTACCTTCAAAGCGAATTGTTCTCGATAGAAATTCAGAGTGAAGGGATAGAATCGCCGGTCTAACGGGGAAAAATTTCTGTCTGTAACTATCTTGCACATGGTTTTCACACTTCTCACGTAATCAGAGGATGCATTGTCGAGAGCATTGATTGGAGTACCCATGGCTGTTTCTGAATTAGCAGAAAATTACAAGATTTTTACTTATTTAACTACTCATTTATTAGAGTGAAGAAAAGTATACTTACCACATATAATGTCTAAAGTGCACAATGAAATTGTAGGGTAGATATCGAAAGAAGGTTTATCAACGTGTTCTTCAAGTTTTTTTACAAATATATCGCCGACGTTTTCGAAAACATCTACGAAATTGTCCAAAATCGAGAAGTGGAACGATGGTGTTATCATACGGCGGCGTTTTTTCCATTTTAAACCTATAAAATTCCCAATTAATACCCAGAAACTTTTCTAGATCTAAAAAATGAGCGAGAAAAAATGCAAATATTAAGTTTTTCTTCTTATAACTCCAAATGTAACAAGATTGAGTCACCTTATACACACCATTTAAAAGTGAAATGTTTTCTGTATGCATTTCTTATTTTTCTTATTTTCAAACATACCTTAATATACATAGATTTTGTGTCCTCTTAATTCATAAATAAATCTTATTATTTTGATCCCTTAAACCTGCATATTTTACCTCCGCTTGTTAACAATCCCGTTCCTATCCATTTGTGCAAGTGCTCGTATTCGTCGGATTTTTCAATAAATTGCGTAGAGCTAAGAATGTGCTCAATTAGCTTTACCTCCGTTATGAAAACAATTCTGGTTAGAGGGCCATTGTAAATAACAAAGTTCGATCCGAATTCGTCCAAAAATTCTTGAGTTTTCTCGAAAAGTTCTAAAAAACCGCAATACTTATTATTAATAAAGGTACAAATTAGTAAGAAAAATTAGCAGTACCTGATGCCTAAAATATATTCTACTTACTGTGTGAAGGTACTGCAAAGTCCAGCATATTGCCAAACAAGGCGTTAGGCTTCCGCCCTTTAATATTTTTCAAGCATTTAGAATCCTTTCTAACGGTAATTTTATGCAAAACCACTATAACTATTAAAAATAATAGTGCAATTGATATAATTATTATACTGGCCACAAACGCAATCATGTTTGTTGCTTCGATATAAAGATGCATTTGGCTTTGATAATAAACATTCAGTGCGTTATATGTAAACCTAAATATTTATATAGTCTATTTTTATTAATCATTTACATATTTTTTTATTAGCGCGGAAAATCAATTTAATGCAGATTACAGTGATAACACCCATTGGAATAAAGTCAATTGCCTCTCTGTTAAATTGTTTATAGGGTAAATTTATTTTAAACAAAATCTTGAGTATTACATAATTCAGATAGTATAACATTACAATATAGTAGAATAGCTTGTTGATGAAATTTGTTGAAATTTATACCTGTATTATAATGGTATATACAGACAAGTAAATACATTTATTTGTAATTGTAATAAACGAAAAAGTGTTTTCTGAAGTAACCTTTTATTTTATAGTGTAGTGGTTCTATTCGCTGAGTGGGTTTCTTTCAAAATATCCTCTGCAAATTGCACTAGAACTAATTCGTAAGTAACTATCGAGCCAGCAATCTGGAAGAAAAATATTTCAAAATACTCTACTAAACCAATCGTATACAGAGTGATTCATAAAAAAGCAAAAGAAATATAGCATCAATACATCAACTATTGACCCTGCAATTCGTCTTTATAAACAATATTCATGCAAGTTATTGTCTCCTTTATAGATAAACATAAAAAGTCAAATGTTATCTAAGTGCCTGCAGAAAATGTCTCGATAATAAACCAGGAATTGTTTCGAAGTCTACACTGATAACTTTTGTTTAACAACAATATTATTATGGGTAATGCAAGAAATATGAATACTATAGGTACAAATTAAACTTACTTTTAGTAATATATTTCTACGCAAATAAAAGAAATTCATTCCAGAAAGCGCCATGGTATTTTTACCAATTTGATGTGTCAATCTTTTTATCTGAAACAAGACATTATCAAAACATATTAATTATTTATTTTATAACTTACTTCCACGTTGTACGCGTAATTATCAATAGTAAACAGATAGCTCAGGGGCTTTTGGCTCTCGTCGTTAATTTTAGCGCCGAAAATACAAACAGCTATCGTCTTTGAAAGCAAAAACAGGAACGAGTAATACAAATAGCTCCTTTCTATGACTCCGTGCACTTTTATGCTATTGTAAAGGTGAATCAAGAGAATACCAAGGTTCCCCATAAAGCATATCAAAACCGCCACGCCGATTTTCGAGTTGATATAACAGCAAAGCAATTCCAATTTATTGTAACTTTCTCTCAAGTTTATCCAAACTTCGTCAGATTCCATCTAAAAAGTTTCGTACTAATTTTAATTGTTTGTTTTATACAGTTTCTTACTCTTTTAAAAGACATTTCTTTGATTTTTTTGGTAATTAACTTCATTCGAGAGGCTAAACAGAAACTGGTACCCATTATGAACAAGTCCAGAAAAGTTCCAGAAAACAGTACTTGCAATTGGATAATCTAGAAATAAAATTATTTCGAAATCTTGGAAATAATAATGAGAAATAAACCTACTAATAGGCAAAGGCTGCTAAAAAAATTGTACGGGTACAGCTCGTAAATATACTTGAATATCCTGTGCTTCTGGAAGTGCTCCCAAGCTTTCCACGACAATATCACGCTGTGCTTCAAAATATCCTGCTCGGTTCGTTGGGTTTGAATCAAAACGTAATCGCCTAAAAATCAACAAAAAAAAATCCCCAACAATCAACCCATATCCCATGTACTCACCGATAAAAAACGCTATAAAAAATACCATCCCGAAATTCAGCTTCCTCTTAGCGCACTTGGGCCTGCCGAAGCGCGCCAGCGCCTCGTCCACCTCGTTCCACCTCACCAGCATGTCCTTCCACTCCCTGGCGAGGACGAAGAAGAACCAACTGACGAACCACGATTTCATGAAGTAGAAGAACCGCTGCATCTCCTGCGTGTGCATGTTGTAGATGAAGAACCGCGCCACCTGCGTGGCCAGCATGAAGAACATGCCAGCGCTGGTGAGCAGCGCGTAGAGGCTGATCCAGGACATCCAGGTGAATTTTATGGCGGATAAATCGCGTTTGAATATCCCCCGCAGAGGCATGAAGCCGAATAATTGCATGGCGAAGAACAGCCAGCTGAAGACGTTGTGGATGGACCTGTCCCAAATGATGTCCTCTTTGCGAGCTTTGCGTTTGATGTCCATTGCTTAATAGGGGGAAAAGGTAGCGAGAAAATCGGTCACATTGTTGGTTGAGTAAACTGTATTTTTAATTTAATTGTTGCTGGTAAATGTTGGGACACGAAATGAGTAAACTGTAGTGGTTAAAATATTTTATTATTCGTTTGATATGACAAATTCGTGTGCGATTAGTGCAGATAAACATTGGTTTGTTGTTTTAGTAGACATGCGAGGTTCCTGTTTAACTTTAATATTGTGTGTGCGTATTATTGAAGGGCGGTTTTTCGTGTTTTGTAAGAAAATATCAAAATATGGACGTTGGGGAATAAAATAAACAAATCCCCAGCTCCAATCGTTTTATTTAATTTTGTAAAGGGAAGTAATTAAAGACGAGTAAAACAGATTTATTGATTCAAAAAAATATCTGATATAATATTTGGAGTAAAGAGTCTCTTTTCAATAATTTTTTTATAACTTGTACTGCACAAAATAGAACAGAAACTCCTCCTTCGCCTATCATAGGTACTCGTAGTGTTTGCTTTAACGATTATTTACCGTATTTTCCATTTTTCAAAAATAACGTCCCGTCCATTAATAACTGTACAACCACGTAAAATAACACTTAATTTTCAATAAACCCCCGTGAAAATAAACAAGTCGATAGAAAAGCTTTCGACCAGCGTTATAGAGTTGTTTTGATTCCTCATGTATCTCGGTCAGTCATTTGCCGGTTTGAAATGGTGTACGTTGTCGCAGGAAACAAAATTCTAGATTCGATCCGTTCGAAAAATGCGGAGAGCAGGAATTTCCACAATTCATTGAGATATTTCCTGGTTATTTCGCAGGCGTTCGGCTTGCTGCCCGTCGAGAATATCAGACAACCCCACCAAAAGCTGCAGTTCAGATGGAAAAGTTTTAAAGTGCTTTACACTTGCGTATTGATTCTATTGACGGGTTTCTTCATTTTGACGACTTTCTTCGTTTACAAGCATGGTTATAATCTGTCTGATTTAGGTGCGAATGCGAACAATAATACGCAAAAAATATAGAAATTTTTGTTGCAGGAACGTTTAACGAGCTTTTTTATCATTCGGGTACGATCGTGACTCTCATATTATACCTGAGATTGGCCAGGAAGTGGCCGAATTTCGCGAAATGCTGGTGTCGAATGGACAAAATCATGGCGAGAAATTACAACTACCCAAAAAAATTAGATAAAAGATTGCGAATTTGTACAGCTATATGCCTAACTTTATCTATCGGTAATCGAACGCTCTTAAAATCAATCAATCAATCAACTAACATTAGCATTTTCAGTTGATTACATCTCTAACGTATACTGCCGTTATCACGCCTTAGAGAAAACGTTTGGAGAAAATTACAATTACAAAATATATTACGAACATTCTTTCCACAAATTTTTTAAAGTAATACCGATCAATATATTCACCGCATCTTATTGTTCAGTAAGTATTCATGATTTAATCAACGAAAATTCGTTTTACCCCAATTGCAGCTGATCACTTTCCACGCTACATTAGTGCAAGCTATCAACGATTTGTTCATAATCCTATTTAGCGTCGTGCTGGCTCTCAGATTCAAGCAAATCACCCAGAGATTAGAAGGCGATTTCCCGCAGGCGAGTAGCAGCGGCCTTTTCGTCGGAGCCTCAACTAATGTTCGTTTCCCGCAGCTCCAAGAAAAGCCGCAGGAATACTGGATGGAAATCAGGGAGGATTACGATCGGCTCAGCACCCTGTGCAAGGAATTGGACGATCACGTTTCGTACATCGTGCTGCTTTCTTATTCCACGAACATATTTTTCCTGCTGGTGCAGCTTTACAACAGCTTGGAGTAAGTCGGTGGAAGGTGCAATAAAAAAATAATCAGTTGATTTTAGGTTGGTTATGGGGGCGGTAGGTAAAATATATTTCGTGTTTTCCTTCGTGCATCTCATCTTTAGGATCGTATTCGTTTCCCTGCACGGGGCTTGGATCAACGACGAGAGCTTGGGGCCGGTAAATATACTAAATTCGATCTCATCTAAATGCTACAATATCGAAGTACGCGAATATTTCGAGTTATTGACCTGTAGATGAAGTATTGATAACGTTTTTAGGTGAGGAGGTTATTGATGCAAATCGGTTTCGATAATGTTGCTCTAACGGGATGCAGGATGTTCAAAATAACCAGAGGAATTATACTGAGTGTACGTGTTCTTCGCAGTTTATCGCCGTGGGATTATTTTTATCCAATCTTGCAATTAATTATTTCTTTTTTAGATTGCCGGAGCTGTAGTGACTTATGAATTAGTGTTAATACAATTTAACGTAGCAACCACTGAAGCAAATTAGTTACTGTATTAAATAAATAATTAATCTTATAGCGTACTAAATACTTATTAGAAACAGAATTATCATCATTAGAATTTTATGTGGGAATATCATTGATTAAGTACCTACGCTATGCTTAACCTTGAAAAACGATAACTCTGGAATAACCATTTTACAATAAACCTTACTCAAACAAAAATAAATTAATGACTAAATAGATTCTAAAGTCTCTTCACAACCTATCCTTTATCTCCAATAATGAGGTATAGCATTGCATTTTGCCCGATCGGCGTTTACTTTTCGTGTTCTTCAGTTCTAGCTCAACCGATTTTTATTCGAATACGCATCAATTAAACACCTTGAGCGGAACGAACGGTTAAAAATCGGTCAGTTTGAAAAATATTTGTTTCACAGGAAAATTCAGCAAGATAAGGTAGCGGCCAGGACTGTGATAACGAGGCAGTACTTCCTCACACAGGTCGATAATGAAATTTATTGTAATGGAAATTTCAGTTCCTGAATGACCGTTAGCGAGTATTTTATTTACAAAAAAAATGGTGGAAACCGGCAGTTACGATGTTACGAACAACAGGCGGAGGAAAGACACGTCTTTCAAAAGCTTCATATGCGCTTTATTGGCCTTCTTGGCTTTGCTGATTTTAATTTCGTTGTTGTTGTGGTCTTTGGGCAGTAAAAGTACAAGAAGCAGCGATTTGGTGAGTATTTCGTTTTAAATTAGAACTCGTGTAATCTTTGATAAGGTCTGTAAAAGTAATTCTATTCCAATTAAATTAAATATAAAGCAATGACATTGTGGATATAACATGAAAAGATGTGGTAGAATATTCTCTTCCTGCATGTATCTATTAATAGAAATTTTTATCAAAATCCTTGCAACTAACAACATTTTTAAATTATTTTACATGAATCAGTTAAAATGCACACTTTATTTTAATTTGTTGAAATGCATTGAAATGCGAATTACATATATTTAACATTTTTTTAATCTATTAACGTTTCCTGGTCAATATAATAGCTATTGATCAAAATTGTAGATTAATAGTATGTAAAGACCTATTTAAAAATTAAAAAAATAACCGGCACAATTTTCTAAAGGAGCAAATTATTTTTATTTCCAGACATCAGCAAGCGCATTTTCTTTTCGGAATGGCAACAAAACACAGTAAGTCAATGAAAATTAGTCCCGTATACATGCAAAATGCATCACATAATAATTTTGTCAACATTCTATCTTAGAACAACCGAAGCTACTACGGAAGCAACAACAATTAGACCAACAACAAAAACCAAAGGTAACATTGTAATGAAAACAACAACAGAAACACACACCACTTTTAATACCACCACTCAAACACCTTCTACAACACAATCGGTCGAATCCACTGCAGAAGAAACAACAACAAACACAACAATCTCAAAGAGTGAGAAACTGATAGTTTTGATCACTAATACAACTGATGCAACATTCACTGATACAACTGATGCAACATTCACTGATGTAACTAATGCAACATTCACTGAAACAACTGATGCAACATTCACACCAGAAACAAACACCACAACTCAACAAGACGAAACATCAACCGTTCAAATCAACACTACTCCAACAACTACTCCAACACCAACTGAAACACCCAGTACTTCAGTACCGGATGTATCAACTACTGTTTCAGAACAACCTTCAACAAACCCAGACTACACATCCATCGGTGAAGCCGATATAACGCTGGACGATTTAATAACCAAAACTCCCAATCAAGTTCCAGGTAAACCCCCAAACTGCTACCCCCGCAATGCACCTACCAGGGTTTAATTTTCAGCGCCCATCGTCCCTCCTGTTCCCACAACGTGCAACAATGGCGTGTGCAAGAGGGCCGCCTCGTCCATGCTGGCCACGATGAGTCACGAGGACAAGCTGGACAAATGCGAGGATTACTACAAGTTCATATGCGAAGGGCCGCAGAAGCACGACGACAGCGCCTTCTTCCGTCACAGCTTCAAAGGTTTCGCGAAGAAAATCGGCCAGGTGGAGGCTGCCTCGCCCGACCACATGCGGTTCTTCGCCGATTTCTACAACAGCTGCAATCGATTCGGCGATTCTCTCGATAGACTGCGGCGCCTCGATTTCCGTGAGTAACTGCAGCAAGTTGTATCTAAAGATTAGTAATAATAGACGTGTTAATTTTATTGCTTAGTTAAGGGAACTGAAGGAGCAAGTTTGACTGAAGCGGTGAAAACGTCAGTATTGAGGCAGACGTTTCCTTTCTTCGATATCGGCCTGAACGTGGATCGCAAGAATTTTATTCTGGAGGTTAGCAATCAATCGCGTTTATCTTACAAATTTATCGTCGAAATAAATTCTGTATTTAGATAACGTTACCGGGACTGACGTATTTCAAAACGACGTTAGACGATTGGTCGTTGATCCAACGGCTACAAGAACAATGCATTAACGAACAAGCCGATAAAATTGAGCAGTACACCGTGGAATTAGATAAAATATCCGATGGAATTAAAACTTGCGTTGCGGAGAAAACGGAGAAATACGTCGCTGAATTTGTTGATGAGATGAAAAAATTATCAGTGCTGCCCGGATTGAAATTCCTTGATGATAACGTTAAAGCTGTAAGTTTATAATTAAGTACTGAATCATTTTCTAAGTGAGGGATTACTCACTGCAATTGAACTACATTTATGTATTTTTTAGGGAACAGCATCAGATGATCTTAAGGAAATCTTGAATGCGGTCCAGGTTTGTTTTTTAACCGCTTAAATCGATTAAAAACGTAAATAATTTGAAATGAATCTTAGGATGGTTTAGCAGCATACAGAAGCAGCAACTCCAAGAAAATAAAACCGATCACTTTGGGCGATTTAAAGGGAAAATACGACTTCGGTTTGGACTGGATTGAATTCTTCAAAGGCATCATGAACATGGCTGTCATCGATGATAGCACTGTGGTGTATTTTTCCGAGAACCTGGACGGAGTTTTTAATAAATTAGTCGAGAAAAAAGCGTTAGTATTCACTTAAATACTTTGGCGAATCACGTGCTTTTCAAAATTTGTTTACAGCAATCTAAAGCAGTTGGTGGATTTGTGGTACAACTTAGAGTTGTACAAAAATATCGTTATAGAAAAAGAAGTGGACAACAGAGGTTACCAATGTTTGGAAACCGTTACTCAGCTAATGCCTGAAGTGGCCTCCTTCATAATAGCCGAGCTGAATGCCAACAAAAAGGACTTGTACAAGGAAGTCCGGGAAATAATAATAGGGCAGACCGTCAGTATTTACACGTCCTTCATAATGGCCAACATGACGGAGAGTTCAGCTAAAATTCTCCAGGACAGATTACCAGAAGTCAGAATACAACATCCGGAAGTCAAAGTAATCGAGGATTCGAATTATGCTGGCATCTTCGATTTCAAGGACCCTTATCCAAAGAAATTAACAGACTTACTCGAGCATTTTAGGAAATCCCTGTTTTCCTTGTACGACACGCCCATTTCAGGCGAAGAATTGTAAGTTATTCACAATCGAACTCTACCAGCAAACGAATTTAACACCAAAACTATTGCAGGTTAAAGTACTTTATCAACGCGTTCGCAACCAAGCCTCAGACGTACCCACCTTCCAGAGTAATAGGTAAACATGTTTTTGAGTAAATTACAAAATTTATTACATCTTGCTTGAAGCTTACCAGCCGGGATTTTTGTACGGGAAATCCACGAAGTTGCCAACCTACGTGAAACTGGCGAAGCTCGGGCTGCCCGTGGTGATGCAACTGTCCAAGCACTTCACGAAAAACGACTTCGAGAAGCCATTGGAAGATAGGGAGAGGAAAGTGTACGAGCAAATGGAGAAAACCTTCAACACGGAGTACCTGATGAACAAAATTAAATACACAGTGGAGAATATCGATTTCGAAATCGAGGTAATAATGAGACTGTCGAGGTGGGAATTGTGGGTACATTTTGAAATTGCAGGATTCAACCGGGAATCATCTGAATTACGATAGTATATTCGCCGAGAATATGGCGTTTAGATTGGAGACGGATGCGTTCGAGAAGGACGAAAATTTAGAGTATTTACCTTTTCTGCAGGACTTTGATAGAGCACAATCCTTCATTGTTATCGCTTTACAAGGTACGTGCATAAGTTGCATTTTATATCTAAATAATTTGGGTAATTTTTGTAGAATACTGTGACAAAAATACTCTACCAGATTTCATCGGGGATTACTACAAGAGGCTCCTTCCTGCTCCGATCAAGTTCAGAAATATCTTGAAGAATTCGGAGTTCTATTCCAAGTCGTTTAATTGTACAGATACTTTTGAACGCAAACAGTTTCCTTATATAAATCCTACTCCTTAATCTATGCGGTCGTTTATTTTTATACCTTCATTTCTGCGTGAAATTTGGACCTGGCAATAATGTTTCACTACAATGTACTGAAAAATTATTTACTTATTGAAATGGATACAGAATTGCTAACTTCAATTGCACGTGAAAAAAAACCAATATCGTTGTTTCTTGTTATTAAGAAGTGACAGGAAGACTTTTTTCCGTAAGCACTACGCGTTATTTATACAGACACCAGATTTATTTTCGAAACTTCCACAACGTTTCATATCCCAATATTTGCGACGTTTCCTCATTACATATCTAAAAATTACAGCAAATCCACAAAAAACATACGAAATTATTAGCGCACAAATGTAAATAAATCAACTGACTTTGCCATGAGTTGAGCGATTATTCGTCGTTCCTTGTCATCAAAAGATATGGATAACTTCACAGGATTATTGTTGTTCAATTGTAATTCCCTTAAAAATTGCTAAATTATTAAACGCACTAATTTTACAACGACAATATTTACCTTATCTTCTTTTCGTATTTGATGATAATTTTCTTGAACAGCGCCAATTCGGAACTGGACGTTTTGTCGCTGCTGAAAGTATCATCGGACGGGAACGCATCCCTATTTTTCAATAAATCCCTTAACAAAGAATTTTCGCTTTCCAGCGTCTCTATTTGCGTACGCAACTGTAGATCCCTTTCAACGTTCAACGACCAACTCTGTTCTCTTTTATCGATCTGATCTTTCAAGCATTTCACCGTACTCAACAGTTTCTCCAGCTGAAAACTAACCAACAAGGTAGCTCGATGAAACATCGATAAAACATCACAAGCCGCTCACGGTTTAATGATGTACGATCCCTTGTAGGTTTCCTTGACGGCCTCCAATTGCCTTCTCATTTGCTCGGCCCCAATGCAAGCCCTGCACAGGATCCCATCCCACGTTTGCTGGCTCTTCTCCCTGAGTTCGATCATCTTCCTACCGGCCGCTTGGTTGTATCTCATATTAACGTAGGCCTCCTTCAATTTCATGAACACGTCTTGGTTATCTCTGACGAATTGCAGCTTCTTCTCCAACTTGCAATTCTTCGTCTTCTCGTGCACTAAACTAAGTGTTCAGAATATTAATCAGCCTGAAGTGGAAGAGAAATGGAAGGAAAGTATCAGTAGGAAGAGGGTAAGATGTGGTGGAAGATTATTCAGGATACTTATGGGGCAATGTTGGTTCTGGTTATCATCAAATGGCAGGTAGAAATAACTACCAATTACTCCAAGGCAAGATATAAGATAGAATACGAATCTACTGTTTGAAAATTTGGAAACATGTCCTTAACAACCACTTCTCCACGTGCATAGACCAGCAGAAGAAGAGTATTTTAGCGGAAGGGAACTTCGAAATAGCTCACTAGGTGTTAACTTTCTCCACTTGATAATCCAACAGTTTGTTCTTGGCCTCCAGCTCGTTGACCTTGCGCCTGAGCAGCTTGACCTCCTCGAGCTCGTCGAGGATGCTGGTGCTGATGGTGGACTCGCTGTTCATGTCGCCGCCTTCGCCGCGGAGGGCGCTCGAATTGGTGGCGGTTTTGGTGAAGGCGGGCGTCTGGTCGTCGTCGCTGACCGTCACCTCCGCGGAATCGGTGCTCAGCGATTTGTCGTCGAAGGTGACGGAGTACTGCAATTTCCTCTTTGGCTCCATGACTGAAATATTTCTGTTTTGCTATCGCGAAAGATGGGGTGAAAAAAAAACGGTTAGACTTTCATTTGACTGACATATTACTTAACCTGTTACGGGTGATTGGAGGATAAGAAAACATCGTTTGTAAAAAAAAAAAAAACGTCATTTATTGGATTATTTAGGAGATGTCAACGAGTAAAATGTATGTTATCGATTACAGTTGAGTAATAAATTAAATTTTTTAAATCAACGTTATTAATGGTTGTACGAATAGCTGCTTTGACTGCCCGAGTACGAGGCTTTTCCGCTATGCAATTGCGACTCGTAGTTAGACTTGTTCTGGTCGTAGGCGCTTTTCAAATCGCCGACTCGCGCGATTCCGCCCACCTGAACGATTTTCCCCACCGGGTAATCGTAGCTGTAGAAAAATCCTTTAGGCGGACCGTTTTCCTCGTCCTGTTTCTCATCGTATTCGCCGGAACTTTGCGCCTGATTCGAATGTTGTTGGTACTGCCCGCCCTGTTGATACTGCCTCGCCGATTGGCTGTATCCACTACTGGAAGTTTGCGTTTGCGATCCGTATTGATCGGGCTTACTGGTGTCGAAGCCTGGTTTGGAATACACATTTTGGTTTTCACTGTATTGACCAGCAAAATCGATTTGATTTTCGGATTGTCCGTGTCCCACGTTCGCATTTTGTCCGGAAGGTTGCTGTTGATGGTACTGCCCTGGTTGTTGTTGTTGCTGTTGATGATACTGTCCAGATTGTTGATTATACTGTCCTGATGGTTGTTGATTATACTGGCCAGATTGTTGATTATACTGTCCTGATGGTTGTTGATGATGCTGGCCAGATTGTTGATTATACTGTCCTGATGATTGTTGATACTGTCCTGGTTGTTGTTGTTGATGATACTGTCCTGATTGTTGTTGGTACTGTCCTGTCGGTTGGTATTGCCCTGTTTGTTGGGATTGTCCTTGTTGATATTGGTTCGGTCGCTGTTGTTGGAACTGATTTTGACTTCCTTGTTGGTAGTATCCCGATTGTCCAGGTTGTTGATATTGATTAGGTTGTCGCTGGTAGGTGGTTCCTTGTTGGCTGTATTGGCCTGAAGGTTGGTTGTAACCGGTTTGTTGGTACCCGCCGGATTGTTGAGGTCCTTGATTAGCGCTGGAAGATTATTGGAAATATAAATTATTTGTTAAATGGGGCGAGATGGAATAGAGCGAACCTGACGGGGTGCTTGTTTCGTTCGGCTTCCTCGTGCCATCTGGCGAAGAAGGCTTCTTTCGCTGCTTTAACGTCTGGTGAATCTTCTACTTGTTTAGGAAGGATTTTATCGACGTTATCGACTTGGTGGAAACCTGTTCCATCATCCCAATATTCAACCTAGAAATAGTTGTTGAAACTTTAAACTCGTTATAAATAATAGCAAAGATGATAGACAATTACTATCCTCTTTAAAAATCTTTGTGACTGTTTTTACTAGATATATTTTTAATGGTAATACAACACGAACTAAATCGTTATTAACATTGTTTTTTAGTTTCTTAAACGTTTTTTTTGACATAATACTACATAATAACACGACCATTAAAAAGTTGTATATTCAATAAATTATGAATTATGTCATATTCGTGGTATTTTCTCTAATAGAGTGATCATTAAAAGAACAACAAATGAATCACAGGAATGTTATTAATTCATAATGTACACAGACGTGAATAAATTAGTACCGCACGAAATTACACGTAATTTTAGGAACCCGTTCTCGAACTATTAATACTTTTTAAGCATATCGTAGATACAACTAAAAAATTACGCTTACTTTGATTTCCTGTCCATCCTGCGCTATGTAATTGTAGGCCCCTCTCAAATCGCCGCCGGCGATTTTCTTCTCGGTCTTGGCGATGTCGGGGATGTTGTACCCGTAGAGGTAGCCCCCGAGGCCGTCTTGGCCGTGGTACTGGCGCGCCTGGTAAATGTCCTCCTGGACGTCGTGCGGCTCGCTGCCCAAGTACCTCACGGCGGGGACGTTGGAGTCCACTTTGGGGGCGTAGTGCAGCGACTGGTCCTGCTTTTCTATGACCTGCTGCGCGTCCGGGGGCTCCAAGTCCAGGAGCCTGACGTCCTCCGATAGGGAGGTTTGGAGGGCGAGTAGAAACGGTATCTATGTTGGGGAAAAATGGGTGAATATTGATAGGAAAATTTCATTAGAAAAATGTTGCGAGGAGTAAATTAAAGACCTGGTGCACGCTACTGTTAATGATACTAATGATTATAAATTACATACAAATGGTACATGTAAATGTATTTTTTTGTCAATTAGTTGAAACAATCCAAGCTAAATAGTAATGTGTAAGCGAAAACCTTGTAGGTGATTTTTATTTCTTTACGCTTTATTCCGATTTATTTAATCATGAGATGAATTTGCATTTTACAATGTTATTTGAATTAATTTATTAATTTTTAATTTCTGACAGTATTTTGTATTCTCAATAAAAGTGTAAATTATAATAGATAATTAATTTTACAATGTAAACAGTAACTTCCCATTTGATTTTAAATTGTTATTCAAAATTCTTAAGGTTAAATTACCGAATTTGGTGAATTACTTATAGAATTCTGAATTGGTGAATTATTTATAGAAATTCCAGTTGATACGCATAATATTTTAAAATAATACTTTTAATATATCAGTATATATTAATAACAATTTTTATTGATTAATGCACTATAAACACATCATTAAAATCTATCATAATAAATATCTATCAATTTATTAATAATAATCCCAATAGAAAATTAAATTACCTACTCATCAAAAATATTAATTCGATATAAATAAATAAATAAAAACAAACTTTCGATTTAAGAATACACCCAAAATCCTCAAATATCCCCAAATAGTATCCTTACCAAACACAGTGCTGTCCTCATTTTTCCTTATCTGTCTCAATCACAACACTAAACTGCAAGGATCTAGCTAGTTTCCGAATAAATATTAAAGGATATTATAATCGTCATCGTCATCATCATCTATATATAAACTATCAAATCCGTGAACTGCCCCTACCACCGCAATTTCAACAAAAGATGAGCGCATCTTCGGTCGAACTTTTCTCAGTAATTTTTTGAAATTTCGTTATCCAAATCAGTTTTTTCCTCTACGGGCAAAACGTTTTAAGGATGATAGTATACACATTATTAATAAGGATGTGATTAGAGAATGTAATCGACGTAGAAATATAATTATTGCTAATGAAAAACATAATTAAATGTATAATAATTATGCCATAACTGCGTGTTTACTCTAATGTATTCTTATTTTTTTGCAACACGATGGGTTATTAAATTTATTAAAGATTATCTTGTATGTATAGGTAGTTAATGGAGTTAAGTCGGTATATAAAGAGGATAATTATTGAAATATGTTTCGGATTTTATTAGGCTACCATCAGGAGGAACGAGTGAATCAAATTTGTATCGAATTTACTAGGCTATTATAATCCAAACGTGATTTTAGAATCGAAGGTAAAACACAAAAAACAAAAAAACCTAACATGTGAATCTTCTCGACCTTCGGCTAATTATTAATTCCACGATATATTGAAGACGTAAATTATTTCATTGCCTGGTCGTAATAAATTTCAGAAATCCTGTGTGGGTTTTTACAATTCGCGTGATCCTAATAGAAAGGGGGTATTTAGTAACCTTTGATTTCTTATTTTTGTTGCGAATAACAAGATTCTTAATTGATAAATTGTGTTCAATTTATTTTCTCGTTTCGCTCGAGCATGTACAGTTACATTTTATCTACCGGGTTTGTTAAAAAAAATAATTAATGTCGGTGTCAATGTTCATAACACAAAGCAAAACTCATCTTAATCATTGAACAAAATCTATATGGAAATAAAAAATATGTTTTGTAACCGCTTCTGATAAAAATATTCGGTAAATAATTTGATCAATTAATTACCTTGTCAAATTTAAGCGGTGATTAAACGGAATACACGCTTAGTAATCAATTATTAGTAAATTATTGTTTTATAGTTTGCGCTAAAAAATGGTAATAAAAACTTGTTTCAGGAAACTGTTTATAATTATCTTAAAAACATCGATACCTTCATGATACATAACTTAATCATATAATAAACAGATAAATCTAAGCCAATAGTGGTTATATTCTGTTTAATTTTAAAATTAACAATCGAAAATATATCCATTCTTCTAAACCGGTCCTTGTACTATAAATAAAAATTTTGGTGGTATTTTTATTTTCCATTTCTAGGTAGATGAGAATAACATATTTTTGGCAGTCTAATCCTTAGGTTTTTGCTTTTTTATTGGTAATATACAAGGTGTTTTGTTTAGCTTGAAATTGGTAAAAACAGAGGCGTACTTACAGAAGAAATCCAAATTCACCCAGAAATAAAATATATCATCATTATTATATAAAAGTCATTGCAGAAATAAAATTTATTCATTTAGATATAATATCATACTATGAAAGTGTAATAATTAGGTATAATATAGGTACAATATTTTTGCTTCATATCTTAGTGTGAGATAAGGAAATCATCAAATTTTACAAAATTATGGTGCTAGATATTTAAATATTTTTCGTTTTAACGAATCCAAAATGCATTCCCAAGTTTTTATATTCTCTTTTCTCGATTTTTTAGTAAAGTGAAGTAAGAGTACGCTGCTTTAACAGACTGGAAATAAAATTTCAAATTAAACTAGTTTACATAAAATGATAAACAATTTCTACACAAGTGGAAATTTTATTTTCAAATTACGTACGGTGACTGCTGTATTAGTTGTTAATATGAAAAACGGCCCCACTGAAATTTTCAACGGCCTTTGAGCTCTAATCATCACCAAACACAGCATTTTTTTTAATTCGATTGGAATATCGTACCATTCGCTTTCATAAGCCGCTTGAGATACATCTTCGCTCTGAAATAGATAATTAATAGGTAAATTAGACAGTTTTTGCTAGCAGTAAAATGATTTGTCCACCTGTAGCTTTATCTCGTTTGCGTGATACGCCAGGAAAAACATTTGTGTCAACATGCAGCTTAGGTAGGTGACGCTGAAGAGGATCCTTGCATCTATTTTGAACTGAAAAATTATGTAAATTTTCCATATGTAGATGCAAATAAAATTAATCGAATCTTACGAATAATATTTGAAATAAAATCGATGTTATCAGCATCGAATTGATACTAAACTCCAATAGCATGATGTACTTCATATTATCATCCAAGTTTTCTACATATCTGCAAAACAGAACCACCAAACATCTCCCGGTAACTTCTAATATTCATAAAATTTTAAATTTTTGATACAGTCTACAAAATACTTACGATATAAGTTGTTGGTGTTCCAAAATCAGTTTTTTCAGTACCTCGAATTTTCCATCAAAAGTGCCCGCTTTGGAGCAGAGGAATCCCAAGTTTCTAAACCGCTGTTGGAGTATCTCCAATTGCCCGGCGATAAACGTCAGTATAGAGAAGATGATCAATTGAGTGACCGTGTTGAAAGTGCATCCGATAATCGCCGAGAGAACGTCGATGAAGAAAGCTATGAAATAATGAGCGGTTTCGTCCACCGGTCGCCACACAACGTAGGGCAAGGGTTTCTCGATGACCGCGATGCTGCTCGAATTGTCTCCTCCCGAAGCTAGTTTGAGCTGCTGAGTGTAAATGATGAATTTGGATGCGACCAGGGTCACTCCGCACATAGAGGAAAATACGAAGAGCATTATGCAGATGCGCTTGGTGTATAGACCGTGGCTTTTGTAGATTTCGTAATCTTTTTCGTCGAGTTTGGAGCTTCTTTCCAAATTTAAAATGTACCCGATCAACGCGATGAATCTCTTTCTTTGGCATATGAAGATTTTTAACGTAATAATCATACACAAAATCGCCACCGACAATCCTTCCATGGTTTTTTCGGTATCGACTTTCCCTAGAGGGAAAACGGTTATGAACATGCAAACTACAAAACATAGGAAATAAGCCTGTATGAAAAAAGAGTAGAATTTGTAAATAGAATATTGTTTGTTGGATAGCGATTCTAACGGCAATCTCCACATCCCTATCACTACCATTATTATCTTTGCCACTTGCATATGCTCCATTTTAAATGACAAAAAAAAATCAGGATTCTATCACTTAATAAATACTAAATGTTGGTTCCAGGAGAGTTTTTACTTTACTGAAACATCCACAAGTAATTTAACTAAGCGTTTATCTATAAATCAAATAATTATACCCAATTTAAAAATGTTTTTCCAAGTTTTATATAATAACTAGATTAATGATAGCTCATTATGTATCTAGTTATTGTTTTGGAGTAGATACAGTTTACACAAAAATATAAAAAATGTCTTATTTGAATGTTTTCGAAAGAAACATTTGGGGAATTACAAAGAGATGCCTCTTACTAACTAGTATCCAGTCACCTTAATTTTTTAAACAAACATTTCATCGAATTCTATTTAATTAATAATAGTTTATTCCATAAATAAAACAATAGGTAGTTTTTTATTAATTCAACACTCTTTATGCAAATTTTATGACCGATAAAACTTATTTGTATAAGTACAAGGGCTGTACATGGCAATTGACATTGACAGACATTTCTAAAAAAGAAGAATATTTTGACTTTTGACATACATAAAGTCACTTTTGACAGTTTGAAATATTTTCTTCGCACGTAAATATTGTTTAAAACAATTCAAATAATGTGTTGTGATAAATGGGCTTCAATAAAAAATCACACAATACAGTATGGATAATAATCAAATGGAAACTAGCAAAGCATTAAAAGAGGAAGACGATATTATATCAATTGAGAATAACGAAGTAGAAATTAAAATTGATTGTTGCAATAGAACCGTCCCAGAAATAGTGCACGTAAAGCAGGAAAATCCTGATGTTTGTGACAATTTCTACGAAGAATACAACGAGACTTTAGTGTGCGTGGAAAGGAAACATAAGTGTACATATTGCGAAAAGGCCTATACAAGAAAAGCCCACTTAGACAGGCACCTTCAATCTCATTTCGATGAAAAGGACTTTAAATGCGACTTTTGTGATAAGGAATTCGCTCGGAGCTATCAGTTAAAAAAGCACGTTGCCGGTCACACCGGGGAAAAGAACTTCAAATGCGACTATTGCGAAAAAGCCTATTATTACAAAAGCGATCTAAACAAACACACTTTAACCCACACCAGCGATAAGACTTATACCTGTGAAATCTGTAAAAAATCCTATTACTCAAACAAAGGTCTAAGCGCTCACTACAGAACCCACAAAGAGGATAAATCGCCAAACGAACAGAGCATTTCGGACAGTAAATATATCTACCAGTACAAAAGGATATACAGTTGCATGTTATGCGGCAAAACCTACCCTTACAAAGCCAGCTTAGATCATCACATCTTATCTCACACTGGCGAGAAGAAATTCAAGTGTGACGTTTGCGGAAATCTCTTCACCACGAAAGCCAGCTTGCAATCCCACAATCTGATTCACAACGGAGAGAAGAACTTCACTTGTGATGTCTGCGGCCGGTCCTTCTACTCGATAAGCAATTTGAACCAACACGGGCTGACACACACCGACGAGAAGAACCACAAATGTGACACGTGCGACAAGTCTTTCCGCTACAAAAGGCTGCTCGAGAGCCACAAAATACTGCATTCGGGGGAGAAGAACCACAAGTGCAATGTATGCGGGAAGAGCTTCGCGTTGAGGCAATCTCTGAGGAACCACTATGTGGTACACAACGGGCAGAAGAACTACATGTGCCACATTTGCGACAAACTGTTCCATTTTAAAACTAATCTAAAAAGACACGTCGATGTGGTCCACGTCGGTACGAAGGACTTCAAATGCAGCATCTGCGAAAAAGTTTTCTCTTGCAAAACCAATTTACACAAACATTGTTTAGTTCATCATAAAGTCACTACTTCTTGAAAGAATGTAGTTGTTTGTTATTGTATGTGAATAAAAACGATATAGGTAATAAGTTAATTTTATTTCGCGAGATCTTGTTTAAAGCTTATTATTTTCATAGTATTTAAAACCGTTTTTCACAATGATAAATTGTACTTTCTTGAGACTCTGAAATTGGACTAATAGGACTCCGGTCATTAAGAACGAAGAGTTTCTATGTCTTCCTTACAACCAGTCCAATCTTTGCCATCAGGATTATCTTCAAAGTCTTCAGAGAAAGATGAATCCGAATCTAAAAATAAACGAGCATTAAATTTAAAGTAATTTGAATAATTATAAAAATAAAAATGGTACAACAGTAAAGGTTTTAATTCAAATAAAGACCAGGTATATTCGATTGACTAATATTTACTCAGCCACATAGAAACCAATATACCTACAAATAAATAACTACACCATAAATAAATTTAATTATTTGGTAATTTGTATAAACTTAAATACTGAATAAATCAGCATTCTAACTAATGTAAAAACAATAATAATATAAATATATCACATTATTCAGACTAGATAATATACACATTTCACCTTTTTAAAATCTAATTAACAATTAACAGTAATATAAATTGAATGTCAGTCAATAAATAATTGCCAAATTCCTACCACTCCCTTGTTATAAATTTTAAATACAAATTTCATTTAACTAATAATGAATAATATTTATGTTAAAAATACTAATTCATGATTAGCCAAGCATTCTTCGCAACCGCTTACTGTATGCTTAGCGCATACAATTTTATTGGGATCGATTCGTTGCGTCCCATTGGAATTCAATATTTCCACGCGATTCCTTTGATCAAAATTATTATATTCGCTGAATTCGATGGCGAGTTTCAAAACACGAATCGCGCTACCGGAAATTCTGGTTATTTTCTTAACGAAATAATAACCGAGCGTTGAGCACACATCGAAGCACATTATTGCGGGAATAAATGGCAGTATTCCCAAGTCGTTGTCCAAATATTTGTTGATTAGCTCCGGCAAATCGGAAATATCTGAAAAATATTCACAGTAAATTTTAAAGTGCAAACGAAGGAACATTTCCCTTACCATTAAAAGTAGTTGTTAGAACACATTTCCTTCCACCTCACGAAAATAAATTGCACGAGATTCGTACAATAGATGAATAAAAAATGTTAATCTAATATGTGCAATAAAACCGGTCAAATGTAATGAAAAGTGCTATTAAAATGAGTGAAAATTTTTATGTAATTTAGTACCAACAAACAGGTAAAAAACCAAAAAAAAAACTGCAGTAATCAAAAATATACAAACCGTTTTCGTTTTTTTGTTTTGAAGCATCTATGTATTCCAAATATTCCTCTGAATGGATGATTTGATACCAGCTTATCAAACAGACAACCGCAATAAAAAATAAATTGGCCGTAATACCTAAAACAAAACAACACGGGCGTTATTTATTTCTATTAAAATTATTCTAGTTGATTTGAACGAGATAACCTTTCACTTATGACATTAGTGATAAATTTAAGATAATGATTAGGAAATTCAGAACTAGAATTGGTTATAAATAAACCAATTTAAAATTTTATAAGTACCTACATACATTGTATGTACATAATAATATGTAAATTACTATTAATTTTTTTAAATAATTAATGAATGTCTTACCCATAGCAGCAGAGAGAACAGGCCAGTGAAACATTACATATCTCAGGCCTGTAAACTGAGCGTTTACAGTAAATTTAGCCGAATATATTTCTATATATCTTGACTGCACCTCCACGTAGATATCTGTAACGGGTTCATTCTAAAATCAAGATTAAAGTACATTAATTGCTACCAATTTAATGGAATCGAAAACTTACATATTGTTCCTCATAATCGGCGAAGAGTTCCACTTTTACATTCTGCTTTTCTTCGGCAGAACCAAATACGAAGAACGGACTGAAGAATAATTTATACATTGTGTCTAATAAAATTCCTTTATAATGTAACATGGCTGATCGGCATGAACTATTTATTAAAGTGCCATCTTTTCCCATAAACTCTACGCAAACCATAAACATACCTAAAAAATTTGATTACTTTACTAATCTTTTTAAATCAAGATTAATTCGTCAGGAAGAAAAAACGTACCTAATTGGCGATTCGTAGGCGATTCTGGCATATCTAAATCCAAATGGATTTTATAGGATTGTCCCAACATTAAAAGTTGTTGTTTTTTCGTTAATTTTACATGCGCTGAAGGAAAACTACACAAACCTTTTTCATTCTTGCAATCTTGAAGAGTACCGCATGGTCTAAAACACATAATTATTGAAAGTATAAGAAAATAAACGAATAAATCTAAATGCATATCAAGTAGATCGAACACTGATTAGCTACTTAAAATTAAATTTTATACAGATAACGCATATTGGTTGGAAATCTAATTCCCTGTGTTTCATATAAGAAAAAATATACAATATAAAAGTAAATCTTACTTGAATTTCAAATATACTGGTCTTTCGTGAGATATGGTGGGTACGTAAACATAATAAAACGCTATATACATGAAAATGGATAACCACACCAAGAGAGCTGTTATTAACGCTATTACTGTGCCTCGGAAAAGAACGTCCCTAACGTTATTAACGCCGGCTTTTGTCCTTGTTTTGTACAAATTTATCGTATCATGTATGAACTTCACCAAGGGTAGTTTGAATTTTTGCCTGGTGAATTCCCTGGGCCCCAAACGAATGACACCACCCACCGAACTCAGTAACGCGGACATTTTTAAAATCTTAACTAATTGAGGAAAACGCTGATAAGAAACAATTAGATATTTTAAGCACTATAAATAAACTTTTAACTTCTATTTGAATAAAATAAAATTTCAACTTAACATTGACGTTTGGAATTGACACTATTGACATACGTCAGATCAATTTCTTCTCTTTTGTTGAGTATTAATAACATAAGGATTTACGATAGAAAGATTTATCCTAATAGGTAATTAAATTTATTTATTAAAACTGTTAATTTACTTTTGAAATATAGAACATAAGCTTCATATAATTATGTTTAAGGGCTGTTTACTCCCAGCAGGTCAGACCACTAATTTTTTGAAGAAGAAGAAGATTTTAAACATTTTATTTATTTATCCATTGTTTATATTTGCAGAGAACATGTGATTGCGCTTAGTGAGTGAATGAAAGGACGAGAAACAAATTAAAATATTTAGAATTAATGATGTGAGTCATGCAAACTATGTAGTTCCCTATAAATTCGTAGAAAATGTAACACGATAGACATCCTTGAACAAAAATGTACATTTCTCCAGTCAACAATCGAAAGAGTTCAAACGGAGATCAAGTAACCTTTGTGAAACAGTGATTTGCGAAAACTAAAAGGTAACTTATATCATTTTGAATGGAAATTATTAGCTCGATAAATTTAAATAAAAGTGACTGTGGTACTTTAAAATTTAAAAATGCGTAACTTGAATTTATTAAACAAGCGGATGTGTTAGGCTGATTTTGCGGTCGAATTTGCGATTAAAACATACTTAGTTTCAATTGAGTTAAAAAGGATAAAAATAAACACAATTTCCCCAGTTTATTTTAACCTTGATTCGGTCGCAATTATGAAATCCATCGCATTTTAATCGTTTTATCTTGACTGATAATAATTTCTCAAGCATTGCGAGTTTCATTGTCTTTGCATAAACTAGGTTTCTCTCTCAATTTAATTCAAATTACTGCAATAAAGTGTAAATTTGAATAATAATTAGTTATTTCGATAATTTTTTTTTGTATTTAGTATGGATGAAACAGTTGAAGACACGGCCCCCTACGATGAGGATATTGCTAATAGACCGAGTTTGGGCTCTTTGGGCTCTGATGCAGATTACGATGATGAGTTGGGAGTTCCGGGTTCAATTAAATTGGTGGATATTGGTGATGGTCCCGTTGCCATTGAACATTCAGATGATGAACTCGAAGGTAGGTATTTTTTTTATTTATTTACAATCGATTTATCCTTGATTTGATTAGATTTTTTTATGATATAGGTGATTATGAAATATTTAGTAGATAAATTTATGTTTTGTGTATTTCTGCTTAGAATTTGCGCTATTAAAGGACATGTTTACATTAAAATGATAATTGTAGTATTTGCTATTGAACCAATTATCTATAATTTATGCATGCATTTCATAATTAATTAGATTTAATTATGTACATGCAAAAAATATGTCAGTCCAGGAAAAATATTGCATAACATAATAAAATATATTGTTTGTGTTTGTGGTAAAGTTTGCGGCGACGATTAACTGTAACAGAAATTTTTTGTGTGTGTTGTTTATTCAAGGAATATTGATAAAACTGGAAAAAGAACATTCTAAATTGAAATGTTCCTAATACCCTTTATAAATAAAAATTGATATTCTAATTAATAAAAATAATAGTCCATTTTTTGGTTTCTCAGAAGAACACATAGAAACCCTTGACTTCAATACAACATTGAACTATAAGAGATTCTCGTCCTTTCATCGCAACGTCTTCATACCCGGTCTCGATGTAACAGTTTCGATAACAGACTACGAAAGAAATCTCACCTCGCATATGCTCAATCCCAACTTGTAAGTTACAATGTTTCATTAAAAAAAGCACTAGCATCTAAGTTATTGCAAGTGCAATACTTATTGAGTAACCGTTCCGTACAGTTTCGTCCACCTCTAACGTTAGTTAATATTGTGTGTTAGATAGGGAAATTTATATTGGACTAGAGGTGGGCGTTTCTAAAAGTAATGTAACTGTTACTTTAAGAATTATGTTTTAGGTACACAATTTCGTTGAAACACGGCAATTTTACGTGGCAAATTAAAAAAAGGTACAAACAAATCCAGCATCTCCATCAGCAACTGGTTTTGTTCAGGACGAGCTTGAACATACCGTTTCCCAGCAAGACGCATAAGAACAAGAGAAAAACCCTGAAAAACTCCGGTAAAATTAAAGGAAAACGGAAAAGCGCATTGCCCAGGTACTTGGTTCAATATTTATTTAAAGTATTTATTAAACTGATTGAATTTTTTTTAGATTTCCAAAGAAACCCGAAGTTTTAGTATCTTACGATAGAATTGGGAATCGAATGAAACAATTGGAAAGCTACCTAAATAATTTACTCTCCATAACCATTTACAGAAATCATCCAGCCACTGTTAGTATTTAGAATAATATTTCAGTACCTCATTAGTACTTATTCAGAAGCACAAATCTATTATCATCAAATCATTGATTTTCTATTTGTGTTAAATAATATGCCGCATAAAACATTAAAATTAGTTTTTTTTATCTTTCATTAGATAGAGTTTCTAGGAGTATCTCATTTATCGTTCATCGAAGGGCTAGGACTCAAAGGACTAGAAGGTTTCATCAAGAAGCGAACAGGAAGCACTCACCCCGGACAAACCGGTTGCGGTTGTTTCGGTCTATCCCATTGCTCATGCTGCATAAGGTACAATTAATCGGTTTAATAAAAAACCAGAAATAACAGATTCAATTCCAGATTCCAGCACTTCTTCACCGATATCATCTGCCTGAGGTACCAACGACGGTGGTTCTTCATAAAAGACACGTTCTTCGGCTACATAAACCCCGACAACGGCATAGTGAAAGCCGTCATTCTCTTCGATCAGGGCTTCGAAGTGGCCACGGGCATGTACTCGCTAGGTTTGCGCAACGGTTTTCAAATCCAGACGCTCAGCAGGCAGATCGCCTTCCAGTGCTCGTCGCAGAGGCAGAGCAAAGAGTGGAGCCAGAAGCTCAAAGAGGTCGCTTCCACGTCGGGTCGGTCTTCTATCCTCTCTGCTGTCGTCAATCTTGTTATGGTTTTTTTCGGTTTTTAGCTAGAGAATTCGTGCAATTCAACAGATTTCGCTCGTCCGCTCCGATAAGAACGAACGTGACGGCTTCCTGGTTTGTCGACGGTTGCTCCTACCTGGCAACCGTTGCGGAAGCCATGGAGAACGCCAAGGAGGAAATATTCATAACGGATTGGTGGCTGAGTCCGGAGATTTACCTCAAGCGACCGGCCCTCGTCGGCGATTACTGGCAGTTGAATAAACTGTTGGAACGAAAAGCGGTAGTTTAATTTGTTTGCTACGTGCATACGAATTGTACTGATGAGTTTGTTTAAAGGACGCCGGCGTTAGGATCTACGTTTTGCTGTACAAAGAGGTGGAAATGGCGTTGGGTTTGAACAGCTACTACAGCAAGCAGAAACTGACGGCTTCATCGCCTAATATTAAAGTCCTCCGGCATCCCGATCACGCCACGGCTGGGGTTTTCCTGTGGGCGCATCACGAGAAGATGGTGGTGGTAGATCAAACGTACGCCTTCGTAGGCGGCATTGATCTCTGCTACGGGAGATGGGACGATCACAAACACAGGTAATTGTTACTGATCGAAACAACCACCTCTAATACCCGTTAATAGACCTCTCTTGGGGGTTTAAAAGTTACATTTGAGACTTCTGTACGCCATTTTCTCTTGGTTGTAGATTGGTGGATTTGGGCAGCGTATCGGTGAATCAAGACGTTTCGCATATGAAGAAGAAAACGTCTAGCATGCCCAATGGCGAGGCGTTTTACCCCATTCCAGCGCCGTATTATCAATGCAATCCGGGTTTGAGTACGATGGAGAAAGTAGAAAACGAAAAAAACATTCACGCCGCCGACGATTTGCCCCAATTGGCCCCGGGGGATCACTTACTGATGCCGGACACGACTGGAAAAGAGAAGGTAGCTAACGAAGTGCGTTCATGTGAGATGTTAATCGAAGGAATTGATTAAAAAATAGGTGAAAATTAACACGCCGCGACCGAACAGAAGACACACGTTTCTGGATAACATCAAAACTAAAGGGAAAGAGCTGATGCATTTGGTCTACACGCCTCACGAGTTCGACCAGCCCGAACCGGAATCGCCTCCCGACGAAAAGGTAACCATTTAAATACCATCTAGAAGCCTTAAATATACGAGTTGTCACTTGTCATATTGACGTTTGTCGTAAGGATGTGCAGCACACTAGATTTTTGTTTAAGGACAAAGTGGACGGTCAAACGCCCGAGGAGATGATCGATGGGTTGGACGGGTCGCCGAAATTCTGGATCGGAAAAGATTACGTGAACTTCATCGTTAAGGATTTCACTAATTTGGAATCGCCATTCGACGATTTCATCAATAGATCGACCACCCCGAGAATGCCCTGGCACGATATCGGTGTGTGCGTGCAAGGCGACGCTGCTAGAGACGTTGCCAGGTTTGCATCTTTGCACAAGTTCGTCGGAATTAGTAGTGATATTCTGGGTGTTTTAGGCATTTTATACAGAGATGGAACGCGGTGAAACTGGAAAAGGCCAAGAAGAACCCCTCTTACCCGTTTCTAATGCCGAAGAGCTACAACGGCTACAAGACGTTGCCCATAGCTTTCCCGAATGGTACTCAAAAAGTCACCGTGCAGGTACCCATAATAATTTGCATGTATATAATACACATAACTCGCATTTTTTTTGCTTTAATAGTTTCTACGAAGCGTAAGTTGCTGGTCGATCGGTTTCTTCGAGGCCGATGCCGTCGAGCAGAGTATACACGAAGCATACATAGATACAATAACAAAATCCCAGCATTATATCTACATAGAAAATCAGTTTTTCATCAGTTTAGCGTGCGACAATCCTTATACCAAAAATCAAGTGGGCGAGGCGCTGTATAAGAGAATCTTGAGAGCCCACAAGTAAGTAGATTTGAGGTGTTCTTACTAAATTATTCTAGGGTAGTAAGTGATTAATTTGAATGAATTTATTTGTGTGTTTTAGGGCGAAAGAAACTTTCCGGGTGTACGTCGTGATGCCTTTGTTGCCCGGATTCGAAGGCGAGGTCGGGGGACCCACCGGGACTTCATTACACGCCATTACTCATTGGAATTACGCCTCGATCTCTCAGTAAATATAAAGTAAATATCACACGCAGAGTTTTTTAAGAAATTAAATTTTGTAGAGGGAAAGATTCGATTCTAAACAGATTGAAAGCAGCGGGGATAGCCGATCCGTCCGAGTACATAACTTTCTATGGACTCAGAAACCACAGCCGTCTCAACGGAGAGCCCATAACCGAGTTGATTTATGTCCATTCGAAGCTGATGATCGTCGATGATAAAACCGTCATCTGCGGATCAGCCAATATCAATGATAGATCGTTGATCGGCAAGCGGGACTCGGAAGTCGCCGTCATTATTGAGGTATTTATACCTCAAATTTAACTTACTACTGGTTAAATGCTATTATTCTTCAGGATGAAACGTTTGAAGACGGTCTGATGAACGGCAATTCGTTTCCTAGTGGAAAATTCGCCGGTGGTTTGCGAAAGTACTTGTTCAAAGAGCATCTCGGTTTGCTAGATTCCAACAACGATGTATTCGAAATAGATGTAACCGATCCGGTGGCGGAGCGTTTCTATAAGGGCGTTTGGTACGATACGGCTAGTTTAAATACGGAGTTTTACGAAAAGATTTTCCATTGCTTGCCAACGGATAGCGTGGAGAGTTTCGCCGATTTGAGGAGGAATCACGATGAGAAGCCGCTGTGGATCGAGGAGTTGTCCAAGGCGGAGAAAATGTTGGAAACCATTCAGGTGCGGTTTATAGGCTTTCCAAATTTAATTGAATAATGTAAACGATAGGCCTTCGAGCTGCGGCAGGGCCCATCGTTATACAACAAAACTGTTCTAATATTTTCTTTTTTTTTAGGGGCATTTGGTGTTGCTTCCGCTGAATTTTCTTAGCAAGGAAAATCTAATGCCTGCTGCAAATTCTGTTGAAGGTTTTTTGCCTACCTCTTTGTGGACATGAAATGTTTGAATAAGTACCTTAAAATCATGAGTTTTATTACGGTAATTAAAGATTACCTGAACTTATGTGCCTTACTTGGATGAATCGTTACCAAACTAAAAAAATACTCAGGATGTTCTATACATATTTATTATACAATTTTTATACTTTATTTTATTAGTAAAGCTTTGTTTATATGTTACATGCAAATGTGGTGTTTTGTAAAATCGATAATTTCGTGTTTATAATAATTATGTTATTTATAATTGTAAATGGATTGTCGGATACTTATAATTATTTGTTTGATATTTATTATTTTAATTTTCTGTCAAATACTCTATGGGGTACTTTTTAATTAATTGCACTAAGAGTCACAATATGAAAATTGTTTATTGATTGAAAAAAGTTTTATACAAAAATTTATTTGCTGTTGTCACGTTTCGAGTTAATAAATAAATGTTAACACAATTAATGGTTTGCGTATCTAAAAACCTTACGTACTATTAATTATATCATTAAAAACATCATGAAAAAAATGAAAATGTCAAATTGACAGATCGGATCATAAACGTCAAACTGACAGCTGACAGAACTAATCAAGTTCTCATCCGACGATACTCACGAATTTTATCAGTTCAACCAGAAAGTGTAAAAAAAAGAAAGTAAACCGTACGAAAAGAAAAACACGTAATAAGGAAAACACTTTCGTAGGCGCAACCGAGTTGACAAGCGACGATCGAGCCGTTCGGATGTCATTTACCCGCAACTCAACTGGTCAAGTCGACGTAAATTATGCAATTGCTATAGCGGCTAATGAACGTAGAGGACGGAAGGCAGCGTTGCCACACTCCCTAAATTTCCAACTTACTACAACTTTAAATATTTTTCATTCGACTTTTTTTGTATATAGCAAATTTTTTTTATACTTCAATATAATTTCTGCATTAAGAGCTTTCTTATATATCTATTAAAGAAGAGGTTACTTACTTTTGGCATATTATTCGTCGATAATGTATAAAATAGGCAAGTTAAATTTCCGGAAATTCAGCGACGTGTGACAACCTCGCAATGCACCGAAACCGTCGAGTAGGCAACTACGGTGACGTCACGCGGATGCAAGCGACCCTCCTTCGAATCAACGCAAGCGCAGCAGCGTCGTCGTCGCTCGACGGCACGCCAGTCGTGTCCTGTGCATGCGACTGCGTTCAGTGCGCCTCAGTGTCACAAAATGGCAGACGGTTTGCGTACGGCAGGAGATGTAATCGACATTGCGACCGCAACGAACGCTTTCCACGCGTCCGCGATTCGCGAAACGGTTGCTAGTGATGGTGGACAAGTGAAAACCCAGCGCGGAAATCGTGCCAGTGGTGGAAATGTGTGCGCGAACGACGCCGAAAGCGAAGGGATCGCCGAGGAGGATTGCAGGAAAAAGAGATGCGTGGATAGATACGACAGCTCGGAATCGTCCGACAGGTACGTCTGAGCCGTTTCATACGCGAATTACCCGATAAATCGATCGATTTCATTCATTAAATCGTCGATTGCTTTTTTTCGGCGTGCGTACGTACGCTCGTCGAGTGGGCCTTGGCCTTTACCTTAACCGAATAATCGAAATTGAAAGTAGCCTACTTGGTTTTGTTGTTTTTTTTTGCGCGATTACGTATTTATTTATACTTGGTGTCGTTGACTTTGTTTTTAATTTATTTATTTAGTTTTTCCATTTATCCGCGCGACAGAATCGCTCGCACCTTTTTCGTATTGGTTTACTTTTTGGATGATTATTGTGACAAAAAAAATCCTCTTTGTCCTCGTCCCCTTCGTCGTCATCTGTCAATTGTCATCATCAAACGTTGTAATTGTCGGGAATTTATCGACATTTCTGTTAGGTTACGTGACTTAAACGCATTCTTTGATGTGATAGTGTAATTGATTGGAAATAGTTTATTCAGTCAATACATTGTTTACATATTAGTTATTTAACAACACTACTTATTCGTAAATCAATTATGTGTAAGGATTTTGAACAAAATCAAAATCCCTAACATTTGTGTTTAGTTACTTAATTTTTTGTAAGTCTATATGTCAAAATGACAGCTGACAGACCGAGCCAACTTAATTTTCTGTTAAGTTATTGAAATGAGTAACTAGAGATTATAAAGTTACGAATTTCAACTTTGCAACGGTAAAAAATTACTTTCCGAGTTCGGAATGAGCAGGAATAATGAAGCACACTTAAATAGAATTAACTACATTACAGAGTTCAGAGGAATTTTCATTTATTTATTTATTTTGGTATATTTTCATTTGTAATAAGTATCATGCTGGTCGAAGGCCATAAATAATGCATCGCCTTCGCATCGTTAAAATTGAAAAGTTGTCGCGGGTTAACGAAAAAATAAAACTATAAAAAGGAAGACGGAGAAAACGAAACGTCAATCAAATAAAAATTCCATTTACGAAAAAGTAATTATTATGGGACACGTCGAATTTCGAACGGATATTATGTAGGTAAGAAATCCTAAGCTGGTCGGATCGGGTTCAATGAGAAAGACGAGTAGCCGAACAAAATTATATGACGAAAACGTGCTTCTTGCATGTATTCTTGTAATAAATGCAGCAAGTTATTCTTGTGCTGGGGACTAACTTAGCTAATGGCCATTCGCACCGAAAGAAAATGGGATAAATTGAGAGCTTCTGTAATTACATATATCTTTGAAATTTTGGTGGATTAGCCCACTTTAATGATCATTCCTGACTTATTTCGAATCACCCTGTATAATCAATACAACCACCCATAACTTTTATGTTTTTAATCGAACCAACACCCGCCTTCCGTAGACCAACAAAGAGGTCACTGCTCGTTGTTCCTATCTATCTTTGGTGTGCTTCAAAGTGTTCTGCTTCTTTTACTTTTTCCTTTATTTTTTATTTTTTTTTAAAACCCGACCGGTTTTTCTTTCCACGTCGTTTAATCATCCGAATCCGATGGGAATCCATTTTGGTCCGCGGCCGGTTCGTCAAATAACGCATTCTGATCTGTTGAAAAATGTCCATTACGCATTTGAATCTCGATTGAATAGAGGATTTTTTGAGGTTTAACTCGAACGTGCGGCGATTTCGAATCGTAATCTAATCGATTGTAATCAAAGTGTAGGTATTGTATAATTTTATTGTTTTATTGGACTATTGACTTCATGTTGCACGCTGTTGAGTAAGAATTTACGTTGGGTGTAATTAATAAAAGAGAAGAAACGAATGTTAAATGAATATTTGCATCTTTCTCGGATCTTATTAAAATATTTGCATTTTGATTAGTTGTCTAATTGGATATTTTCTAATGAATAATTGTGTAGGAGTTTACCTTATAAAAAATTGTAGAATTTCTTAATCTAGCTTGTATTCAGTTTTAGTTTAACGTTATAGAAATTCTACAGGATAGAAATTAATGGGTTCTTGTATGAAAAGATCTATACAAAATGCGCCTAAATATAGACATAGCTATACACAGATTGTTTTAATGCTTGAATTATAAAAAAAATACTTAAAAGCTGTATAAATTTCAGTACAGCTGCGTGCCCAGATGGCACGAGCCTGTTATTTCGTAGGTTTCTTTCTACCTCTTCATCGAGTTTTTCCATCCTCCGCCGTTCATAAAAAACAATCGAATATCATCATCCTACTGTTTCTTTAGCGTCTCTTTCGCGTTCATTGCGATCATATGGTTTGTTTATAGTGAAGTATCGTCTTAGGTGGTCCTGCGTAAAAAGGGTGTCGAAAAAGGGATGGGTCTCGTTTGGTCTGGCCGCGTGAAGAATTTTGTTTTGCCAAGCGTAACAAATTAACTGGAAAATATACAAACGTTTGTATTTTCTTTGAAGTGTGTGAGGGTGTATCACAATTGATGAGAGAAGATTCACAAGTTTCTCCATCATTCAATGGTTATTTGATAAATGATACATTTTCTTCAATTCAACCCCTCAGAACCTCTATACAGATAAGGTTCTTTTACTCTTCTACTATAGGGGATTTGATTAGATTAGAACTATAGTTATTTTCTTATTTTGTAAGCATTTTCTATACATTTTTCTTTTCGTTCGAGGCATATTTTCCGGAAATGTAGCCATTGTTGTTTCCCAACAGGCAGTAACGAGAATGCAATTAACAATTAAGCAACGTTTACTATCCAACTGTTTTATTATTGTAATTAAACGTAATAAACGCCTACGAGGATTTGTGAAACGTCTAACCCACGTATACTTAAATTGGTCCCCTGCTTCCGTCTTATCCCCTCGGGGATACCCCAAAAACGAATCGAAAAACTTTCAAGGGAAAGGTAAACACCACTTTCGTATTTACCTTGCCGTTTCCGTTTAATATTGTTTAAAATAAGTTGATAAGAATAGCGGGTCGCTCTTCCATAAACAACTTACTTACCGAGAAACTCATCGAGTTAGCGAAAAATTTCGGGCTCAAACTCGAACTCGACCGTTCGAAACAAAAAAAAAAGAACAGAAAAAAAAGAAGGCGCAGAGAGAGGAGAAATAAGAGCAAAACGAAGGAGGACCCGCCGCTGCGACCCGCCTAGACAAAGACCTCAACCTGTTCTTTCTTCCGAAGCCCTGTGTCGAAAAGAGCCTCCTCGACTTCTCCTTGCCGCTTCCTCCTCGCTCCCCTTGGATATCTGCTCCTATCGTCCTCTAGCGCTTATCGGGCGCTGGCGTTAGACAAGGACGGCGAGCGTACAGCTGTGCGCGAACGACCGCGTTCCGAGAGACCGCTGAGCGATAGAAAGAAAAGAAGAGGAAAAAAAAAAAAGAAAATACACAAACAAGTTCGACTTTGGTTCGCGTAACTTTTAGCGGCGTTGTCACGTCGAGCGATTTTTATTTTTTCGAAAAAAAAAATGGATTTGGCAACGTCGGGACAACTCGTTGTCATGGGAACCGACAGCGAGCTGTCAAATTCTGGAGATTTGACTGAAAACTCTCGATAGTTGAGATTTTGACGTCACACGAGGATTG